TATATTACCCTTTAATAAATGACAATCTTCTTGTGACTTAGCAGAATGTTGTCACAGATTGCCGTTTCAGGTGATGAGGAGCTGTTCTATGTGTGGTGTGAATCAAATGGTCATGAGCAGTGTAGTCCTGAGGGAGCCAGTCTTGTGAGGGCTTGAAATACTGGGATGGTTAACCACACCACCACAAGATTCTTCAGTCTAATTTTTAATGATTGAAGGTAAGGTAATGTTGTTAAATTTCAACATGCATGCATACCCAATACTTACTTTTTAATTACCTTTAAAGGTGGTAAAACAATGACTGCTCTGTTCTCCAGCCTGTATACCCTTTAAAGGTCCCATATAAAGAGAGATTTCCATGTCTTTTTCGGTTATAAAGCAGGTCTAGGCTCTATATTAATATTGTGAAAGTATCAAAGCGCTCAGTCCACAGAGAGATGCGCACACGCTGTATTCAGAAACTGAGACTTAAGACGAGCTGTCAGGACTTTTGTGATGTCACAACAAAGCAACCACTGCCCTCAGTCACACCCAAAGTCCAGCCAACCCAGACCCACTGTCCAGCCGTGCAGGATTTGGTTTCTTTGAGTGTTTACTTTAAATCTGCTATATTTTTATCCAACCACTCAGAAAACCATAAGAGAGTCTCTGAGCCTCTCTTCTGATTGGCTCACCAACCTGTTTTTGCCAGAACTCCAGAGTGAAGCTGGAGAGAGGAGATGTAAAACTACATTGAGAGAGTTTTTGGTACTTAAAACCACAAATTTATCTTCTCATGGATATCAACACTTTAAATGTTCAAACTTTAAAATATGGGACCTTTAACTTCACTGCAAGTACAGTGAAAAGGGGATGAGTACCCTGGACTTTCACTCTAGTATGGAATTTTTCTGACACATTTTCAATGTTTTGTCTTGATGGTAGTGAACTGTGACGAAAAAAGTTACAGCCATTATGTCTACTGGAATTCCTTATGCTTGCTTTTCAGAAAAGAGTCCACCTCCCCCTATACTTGACATGTTTGTGTTGGTATAGGTACCCAGTAAGTATTGTGTTGCCACCCTGTACATACTATATAGTACACAGTAATTTACAAGCTGTAATCTAAGGCTAGGGTAAGGCAAACACAGTAAGGTTTGGCACAACACATCCCCTTCGTTTGCAGACATTTTGCTTTGACGTTATCAGATATCCGGAGAGCCACACTCTGGGATGGATGACAGAGCAAATACCACCAGGTGAAGGTTTACCTCTGCACCAATATTGGCCTGTGTGGGTGGCATTTATCAAGCTTGAAGAGGGGCTTACGAATACATTGGGATATGTTTGTGAAGAGGCTGGTGGATAAATATAGGACGGAAGCTAATCAAGACATCTATCAACAAAAGAAGTGCACCATTTGTGTGCTTCATCACTTGTCCTACGAGCTCTTGTGGCAGAGAAGTGGTGCAATTCAAGTATAGTTAAAGAACTCTCAGCAGCTATATGCATATCAAACACAGACAGGGATGTAGGAGGAGAGATATCTTGAGAAATCACACCGTCACACAAAATCACAGGCAAAATGATTTTCAGACAACATTTCTTTAATACAAAGTCAACATATCTACATACACAGTGGCTTTAAACCAATTATTGTTTCAGTTAGAAGTAACAGTTTGAAAGTGATAGCACTTGGCCCTCATACAAAGGAAAAACTATTTTGCTGAGTTTGGGTTCTTTTTCATTTTGTCGGTATGTACTGTATATGTTCTATTCTTTTTGATGTCATTTTTTGTTAGTGTTGTTTTTTTGTTAGTCCCCCCCCCCCACCCCCACCCCCAAATATTCGGCAACATATTCCGGTAAATTTGGCGGCTGTTTTCAAAAGTCTAGCATCTTTACATGAAGTCAAAAGAGTAACACATTGCACAAGCTTCCAAAGACTTCCACGGTTTCAGTTTTGGCATGGGCCCCTTTTACTAGTCTTTTTGAGTTCCAGAGGTCCTCAGTTCAGGATTTTAGTTCATTATGAAACATCTCAAGGTTCCCACTGTTCAGAAATGATGTGCTGAAAATGTGAATTTGCAGCAAGTTTTTGGTTGTCTTGGTCTTCCCTTGGTTGCACCGCACTGCTGTTTCAGTGAGTCCTGATTTCTTTCTGCATCCCATAATGAAACATGGTCGAACAAAAACACAAGAGTATGGTTCTATACAAGGCTTAAAAATGCACTAGGAAGAAAATGAATCAACATGTTGTGTTGCAACTGAACTATTTGTGGCCTTTAGCGTAGCTGCATTTGTCCATCAGCCAATGATATATTCATGGTTGACACCTTGGCATATTAGGCAGTTGGACAGCTGGGGACCTTTTGGGAGTTTGTGGGAAAGTTTTAAGGAATGAAGAACACCTTTGGGTGCTATTGTTTCTCAGTAGTAGTCAAGAAATTTTGAATCTACACCTGTGTAGCCTTTTTTTGTTAGGAATTCAGGGCTTTAGTGTTCTAATTATTTAAACACTATCAGGTTTTAAACCCCTCTGGTTGCTTTAGTTTCATGGTGTGAAAGAGAGAAGTCCATCTTATCTCTAATAGACTCATGCTATTGCCAGGGCAGGAAAAAAAGTTCTTGTCCACATTAATATAACAGACCCTTGAATTTATGGTTGATTACTAATTCAAATGGTAAGGTGGTAGAGTGGAGTAACCTCTCAGCAGATCACTGATGCTGATTCCATGCCCTCACTGAGGCAATAGGTGTGGCAAAACAAAGCTGGCATAGTTCCCAGTTTAACTACTAACAGGGGAAATTAAAGGCAGGAAAAAAAAAAGCGAGTGGTAATTAAAGACCAGGGAGCAGGGCTGGAGAAAGGAGGAGAGAAAACAGGCTTTACAAACACCAGGAAGTTGGATATGAGCAGAACCTCAATCTTTGTAGTTCTTTACCCATTTAAAGTATGAGATCTTGAGGGTCAAATGATACAAATACATATAATCTATATATTTGTTTATTTACAGGTATATTCTAGATCATAGTGGATATCTAACAAAATGAATGACCACATTATGTCTGAAAATAATAAAGTAAAAAAGAGAAAGAACTTAGGATGTTTCCTTAAAAACTGTGAGGGTCATAGTCTGTACATGATCATTCAAGGTACAGTTCGTCAAGTTGGGCTGATATAGATAACAAAAAGGTCAATTATGAAATTTTTGATTGATTAGATATTATGTAGACCAGTTGATCAACAGTTGCTCAAAGAAAAAATCAAAAACAATACTAATGCCTACAAGTTTATGATAATAAAGAATCTCAAAAAGATTTAAAAATGGCATCTCCTCATCGGCACAGGATCTACCCAGGGGGTAGAAGTTAAACATTGGTGAGTGGAGGCAGAGGATTCAGGCATAGCGCTAACATATCCTCTGCTCTTTCTAAAGAAACACACAAGGTTTTACAAGGAATACAAAAAAAAAACAAACTCACAAACAAAAGAAACTGGCTGGTATAAAAAAAAAAAAGATGAGGAGAAAAATTGAGTTCATACTAAGTGTTTGGATATATTTTTATATTCTGCTTTTAAATATATATGCATGTGTGAGTGTGCAGTATATGTATGTGTATATATACATATATATACAGTAGATATATGTATATAGATAGACATGCATGTATGCACACGTACACATACAGACATGTTGTTATACTTAACATTTCTACAGTGAAAAAATAGAATGTCTTTTAACGTAATATGAACAAATAAGCATTTCTCTTTTCCTGCTAATTTTAAAAAATGTGATACAACATCTCTGTTAAAAAACTAAACCAAAAAGAAAATAAAAAGTCAACTATGTAATGTAAAATAAGTTGTCATAATACAACATTAATGTTTTCATAATGTTACAATAACAATAAGGCTTTTTTGGAAATAAGAAAAGATTACACACAGTTCTGTCCATTGCTCTGGTTATTGTGCACACCCACCGGAAACGTCTGCAGAATCCGTACACTCGTTTATACCAAAGCGCTGATCTCAAAATGAAAACCTGGTGATTTCAAAAGCTCGATTTTTTTTTTCTTAATCAGACACATATACATTAGTGCGTCAACCTGCAGTTGTTTTTGGGGTATTTATTTCAAGTTTCCATTCTCTTTTTTCTTAGGGATGTGCAAGAAAAGTATTTAGTACCAAAGAATTTCATTATCACATCATGGCATTGAGATCCAACATGGCTGCCTGGTCCGGCTGTATCACCCACAGAGACATCATCTATAAAACGGAGGACAAAAACCAAAGCATCTACTTTGTTTATCCACCTGTTACCAAACACACATACAGTGGAACTAAAGGCCAATTTTTCAATCACAGGAACATAAAGCTTTGTAACTGCAACAGGCCTCTGCCACTTTTGAGTGTCTTGTACAATGAAATAGATGATTATAGAGGAGGCTTGAAATAAAAAACAAAAAAAGGAGGGCTGGAAAAGACCGGTGGACGATGATGTCATGTGGATGCGCTTTTTTAGTCATGTCCGCCTGGGTGTGAGCGGTTAGCAGAGCTGGCATCTTTTGTTCGTCAGTTTCCTCTCCCTCAAGAGTCACACGTACAGCATACACACGATAAGCAGCATGTTTGGTTTTGACAGAGAAGAAAACGAAAAAAAAAAAAAAAAAAATCCTCATAAGACAAAAAAGTTCTAAACAATGATGATGAGCGTTGGTCACTGTACACAAAGAAAGCCCCAACTTTTGCGGCAATCCTTGTCTGGTTGTTCCGTTTGTTCCAAAGCTTCTCACCCACCAGGTTTATCTCTTGTTCAAAATGGTGGATGTTAACACCGAAGCCCCATGATGCAATGGATCCAAAGAGAGGAGTGATTGTAAAAAATCTTGGGACACAGTTGCCATTTCTCCCACCTTGACCATCCACAAGACGACCCAGCCGCAGTGTCTTGCAACAGACGAGGTTTTCCCCCGAATCCTCTGGTGACTGAGACACAAGCCTCCTGGGACACTTTTTTTTTTTTTTTTTCTTAATACTGTAAATACTTTGTGGTACTTTTCAACATCATTGTTGCTTGTGGCTTAAGATACTGATTTTGCAGAAGTTCACAATTCATAAAACTAACTGATCTCAAGATATGTTTTGCTGATTTCTTCCCAACAACCACAGACAGTGCCTTCTCTAAGCTCCTAGTGCTTAAGAACAGGCAATTATGTGATGTGTACTTTAACAGTTGAGTGTTTTTCCACACGCATTACGCGTATCATTAGTGGAACAGTGTAAAACTCAAGATTTATTTGATGCCAGATGGAACAAGCATTCTCGTGGTAGTTGTCTTTTTTTTTTTTTTGTCCCATCTTGTTTGGGTGACCAGAGTTTGGGGAAAACCATTTGTGTTCACATAGGCAACCTCATTTTGGTCATTTCTCTGGATATCATTCACAAAATGTGTTGATAGAAATACTTGAACCCCTTTGACACCCAGGCATATCAAAAAAACAAGAAAGTCACCCCGTCTTGGCTACATCCATCTGCCTCTCACTGATTTTTGCTGTTGCCTTCTCCTTCATTATCTGTTGCTTGTTACCGTTGTATCACGAAGATATTTTTGAGAAGAGAAATGTCCACGAATGTTTACAATGTCCTCCACATTGAAACACTTGAGGTAAGGTAAGCAGTCTGACACTTTGATCGACTCCCGCCCCAAAGCTTGAGCCACAGCTTCTGGTTCCTCTCCTGATGAAGATCGTCTTTTCTTGATGATGGGCAATTTTTCCTCGCTTCCTCGAGAAGGGTCTCTTGGTCGAATTGGAATTAAAATCTAAAGTGACTGTTGGGCATTGACTTCTAAAAATCTACATTAGGATCCTGTTTGGTGTGTCTGAATTAGCGGTGGTGTTATCGTCGTCTGCTGTCGTCGTTTCAAATTTCAAAGTTACTATGGCTCAGGAGACTGTTGAGGGGGGGGCGACAGGATTCTGGGGGGAAGAGATGGCTTTTTACGTTGCATAGTGATCAAAGCTTCCTAAGTACTCCAGAGCTGCGTGATAGCAGAATTGGTACTCATCCTGTGCGAGAGAGAAGAAACACAAACACAAAAAAAACATCAGAAATCAAAATCTCAGCAGGAGTTTGAAGATTTTGCTATGATAATGAGAAATTAACAATTTAAAAATAAAACTAATTACAGTACTTGTCTGACGAGACGAAATTATAGATCTGAGAAGTAGTTTTTACGACATTCTTTACACACCGAGATCGAGGAAACTACACAGAGGTGATTTAATATAGAGTTTTATTGAACTGAGTTCTGTGTGTGTTTGTGATCTCCGACCTCAGTCTGGACCATGGCTGGCCTCTGTGTCCGGAGCATCTTCACTGTCTGGAAGATATCGACCACGCCTTCATAGCGCATTCTCTCCAGGACGATGCTGAGGGTGATGAAAACTCCAGTCCTGCCCACGCCAGCACTAGAAACACACAATTATAAAATGAATTAGTAAGGATATGTCTCGCTTACACACAGTGGCTGAATGGTGAATTTTTATTCGTACCAGGGAAATGTGTCTTTCTGTTATGTCTTGCACTCCCTAAGGTCCTCTAGTCCCTTCCCATGTATGTACTTTGTTATTTATGATCTACATCAGTCTAACCAAGACCTGCAAAATAACGTTCATGTTTAAATCATTTCTATCCTAAATTTCCTCTAAAATGCATGCTGTATCTACAACCAGACTCTGTCATAACAACTTTGCGCACTGGCTCGCTGTGAATACCTGAAACAGTCAACTGCCTGAAAACTTAAGACAGCCAGCGATGCTGCGGCAGTCCAGCGCGTCGATGCGGATAGCAAGGACGCAATCTGCATGTGAGAACTCCATGAATCCACTCTAATGTGTGCCCGCGTTCTCGTCGAGCCCAAAATGAGCGCTCAAGGACACATAGACGCTCTCCAAATCATGCAACACAAACAACCGAGCAAACATTTTGTCTCATTAAGCCCCTCCTCCCATGTGTCGAGAAACTCAGCCTGCTGCCGCTCTCCAGAAATACAGTCTGAGTCTTAACTCAGATCCTGAAATACTTGAGAGCTGCCTCTCTAAGCTGCTTTGCTGTGAAATAACTTCCACTTCACCAATGGAACAATAATTGATATGACAACAGATTTATTTGGGCTCCTTCCAGCCTCTGATGCTGTGTCGCTGAATGAAGAGTGAAAGCGATGGCTGCTAGCACACACTTTGAGTTTGTGTGTGAGTATCCCTACAAGTGTGTGTGTGTTGGAGGACACAGCTAGACACAGGCCAAAAGATGACATATCATCTGACAATAAATCAAACGATATCGAACGTGGTAGTTATTGAGCCTAATCATGCCGTATGTACGACCACCGCAAACACATACACACCCACATGCGACCACCCACTAACCAACCCCCACGCCGCAGCATCTCTCAGCCCACCCAAAGCCTCTTCCTGAGAGTCAGTCACAGCTTGTCACATGGACTCTTAAACTCCCTCAGAGCTCCTCTCCCTGTCTTTCTTTCTCTCTCTCTCGCTCTCTCTCCCTCTCCAGGAAGATCGACTCTCCAAGTCTGAAAGCTTGCCGGGCCGCTGCCGACTGAGAGGATTTGGTGTCCCCATTCACAGGAAGTAATCAGGCAATTAATGACAAAAAGCATGTGGGTCTATTAGATAGTGGCTGAGGAGGAGAGAAACGAAGGAGGAGGAAGAAAAGAGGGTGGGAGTGGAAGAAACGAGGGCTGGGAGGATGAATGGATGAATAGATGGAAAAAGAGGAGAGAGGGAGAACTCAAGTGAATTGAATTGAGAGAGAGAGAGAGAGAGAGAGAGAGGGGGGATTAAGAAATAGACAGATGGATGACAGACGGGAAAGGCTGGTGACAGAAGACGAAAGAGTAAGAGAAAAGGAAGGCATAAGCTCTAAACTCGGAGATGACAAAGCCTGAAGTAGGATGGAGAGAGGACGAGGAGGAGGAGAAGGAGGTGGCGGGATATCTGCATTTAGACAAAGTGACATCTACTTGTGAAAAAAAAAAGATAAAAAGCCAAATGAATGAACAAAAAGTATTTAAAAAGGACTGCAGGTAAGTTGAGCACATGATGAACAGCACTACATTTTAACGATGTAAGCTGAAGCAGTTCTGTGTTAATCCTCCAAACATCAAACAGAGTTCACTGTGATGTGTCAAGGATGCCTTAATTGTGCATTTGGCTGCTGAATAAAGCGTGGTCAAGTGACTCCTGCAGTCCACTTTAATGGGCCTGTGTGCCTTTTCGTCCATTACTCCAGTCCTGCGATTCCTCCTGCAATAACTGATCCTCTCGCTTTAAGACAGCTCTCTCCCCCTCCAATAATGGCCTCATAGAAGGAAGGAATAACTCAGTCTTATTGGAGCTTCCCTGACACATCTTACAACTCCCAGAGGGCCATTTGATGGCTGGTGACATCATTGCTTTTTAATACAGGGGAGGTGATGTTATGTTTTGGTGATGTCATGGCGCCTGTGTGATAGAAATGTGGAGAAAAAAGTGACACCGGCTCCGTTCCAGAAGTAAAACATGTTCAGGAGACAGCAAGGAAATGATTCATTGTGTTAATACCTTTGTTTGTTTATCACATTCAAAGGCAAAGCTTTTTCTGAATGCCAATCAAACCATGAAACACCGTGTACAATGGACCACATGCAGGCAAGTGTCTTCGTTAATGGAATTTCAAGGCATTTCTTTTTCTTTTATTTCTTTCCCTTTTTCTTGCAGCGCAAATAAAAACAGAGCCGTGAATGATGTCCATTGTCTGGCTACAAAAGGTAACAACTCATTCAGACTGATCTCGCTCAAGGTCTGTCAATGAATAAGAATAATCTGAGGTCTTGGTGGTGACCACTACCAAATATCAAATTCTACTTGAGTCTAGCATGTCAAGTTAATGATGAAGGTTACCTTGGAAGCTACACTCGAGGTGATCAAAATGCATCACAGAGCGATCATAAAACCCCAAAAGAATGGCTGTATCAGTTCATGTGCCTCCTCTTTGCAAATGCCAAGCCGCATCTCAGTCTTATCAATTATGGAGGAGATGGGCCTGTGGAGGTGCAGTGGTAGTGTACTGCGGTGGCAAAAAGGAGAGGAGGGATCATATCTGATGATGCTGTTGGAGCTGCACCGCAGGAGGTGCCGCGCTGCAAAACAATAACCACCTTAAGAAGTGATTTAATCTTGTCTTTTGATAGTTAAAGCCTTATATCATTTTCAAGAAAGGAAAGTGTGTCTTATGGGTGCAGTTTGAGGCGAAACAACTTGCAATCCCTGGTATTACGGCATATCACGCCCCTCTGTTCAAGAAAACCTTTATTATAATATGCAATTTTCGGATCTTGGATATTCAATATAATGCAGCAGAGAAAATATGGCCCAACATGGCATTGAGATGCCTTACCTGCAGTGGACAGAGATTGGTCCATCCTGTCCAAACTGCTCCTTGGTTTTATGCACCTGGCCAATGAAATCAATGAATCCCTCCCCAGATTTGGGGACGCCTTGCTCTGGCCAATCAGTAAACTGGAACTGCCTTACTGTCCTGGACTGGCCATCCTGCAAAATATAGAGGGAAGATGAGAAAGATTGTAGGAGATTGTAGATCACATAAAGAAGCAAGGAGAGAGTAGACACTTTTAAGGAACGCGAAGAGGAAATAAAGCAAAGGCAGGTAGTGGCTTCACTGTGGAACCTCTACGCACAGAGCAAGACATCATTAGCCTTAGAGCTTGTGGGTTTCACCATTAGTTTCTTCTGAGAACATAATGCAAACCAAGCAGCACAAATACAAAGTCTATGGGGCAATAAAAAATGAAGACAAATTGGTCTTTTAAAATGAAACCGTATCTGCCGGTGCTTCTTCTGCACAATGGCAATACAACAGATACACAGATGAAGTAAATGTACAATGACACACACATGTCACCACAGAGGGACAGTATGTCCTTTTCTCTCTCACATCACTCCTCTACCTCCAACCCCAATTGTCTCTATTTTCTCCTGCCGTTTTTTGTGTGTGTGTGTGTGTCTGTCTGTGCCGCATGAGTAGGTCCTAGTTAAAGCTAATCAATAGTGTATCTGCCATGACAAGCGTCTTCTCCCAGACACCATGTTGAATAGGATAATCCTGCGATGCGATCGATACAGCGACCTGATGGATGAGCCGAGCGAGGGAGGTAAGAAGCAAGAACGGAGGACTAACGGGGCAGGAGGTGGGATTGGACGATGAAAATTGGAAAGAAAAACCCTGACACACACAGACATGCCTGCTACACAAAATGTCAGTAACAATTTAATCTCATATTGATTCTTATAATCTTGTTTTAGAGGTGAGAGTTTTAAGTGGTGAGATAACTGAACCTGCCTCCAAAGCAAACAAAAAATAAATAAATAGAAAAATTTAAATGCATTTTCACAATCTGGTTGGCAACACACGAGGACAAGGAGGAGGCGATCTGCTTTATTTTGAGAGAGCTGATTGTCAAGTCTGAGAATGCGCAGGCAACACTTGTGTCCTTGTGAAAGAATGTTTGTTCAAGGTGTCTCGGAGGGAACACGAAAGTGAGCAGTGAGAAGCGTTTCTGCATTTTGAGACGCGCTCGCCGCTTGATGCCACCAGTAATTAAGACAACCAGGTGTTCATTCCTCCTGTTGATTCTCACGTCTCTGCGCAACAGACTCCAGTTTAGACATGATGTGTCATTCTCACACATTCTCCTCCCGTTTGTTCACACAACACAGGCACAATTCAATGAACGCTCAGTTTGGCGAGTAAACTGGGATCCTTTTTGTCCTTTCTGTTATCCCGCTATTAGATGGTAGAGAATTATAGATTCTAAAATTGTATTTATAGTAATTATGTCTAAACTGTGTTGTAGAATCAATGTAATAAGCAGGAATCTGAAGTTGCACTGAGAAAGAGATATTTTCACCTCCGATAAAACAGAATTATGCCCCCCCCCCCCCTTATAGATAATTCTCTGCACTTGTTTGAGTACCTTGATAATGATGAACAAATTACATTTTTGCCCGGAGCCAGTGAAGTGGTAAATAGACAGAAAGTTAACAACACACATAAGAAAAACCTGTATGCATTTATGGAGGCATCGCATGTCTCTGATGAGAGCATAGTGCTAAAAATTTAGATTATAGCTGTTATATTTGTCTCTTGAATGAGATGCTTTGTCAGGTAACCATCAAGCGAATGGTGGTGCTCCTGTATTCTTAAGAATTAATCGTGTAACTGATGATAACAGACTGCCCACGCTGGCAGATGGGTAAAAATAGCTAATGTTTTTTTCTTCTTGTTTCAAGGTATCATCCATTCTAACCAGCTATTACACATCAGATCAGCGGTGTTAAATAAACCTAATGTCAGTATTCCTTTCATTTGAGAGTGACCATGAAAAAAAAACAAAAAAACATGGTAATCTAATATTAAACGACCTCTGAATGTGTTGATGTAAACAATCACCTCAGGGTCTGTATTTATCATGGGTGATGGTGGCTGTGCTACATGAATTCATTCATTCATCCATTCATTCATTCTGATTTTGGCCAGGGAGCTAACCATCCCCCTCTACTGCTAGCAGGCTAAATGCAGATGGTGACTAATTGTTGAATGTAGAGTATGTGAAGCACCTATATTTATATATTTTTTATAGGATATACATAATCTTTCTATTGAATCCTTGAGCTAAGAATGTGAAGCCCTGCTGTCCTGTGTTGCTGTCTTATCTGTTGATATGTTTTTCACCGCTGCCGCCAAGATGTAGTCTTGTACTTTCATTGTACTTGACAAATACAACGATTTAGTTACTAATAAGTTAAGCTCCATATACCGACTCTCTTTGTACAAGATCTCATGTCTCCTTCCCTGTTTTATGACGCATTGCATGTTGTCTTTCTTTCGTTGCCTTTGTTTTTCATCTCAAAAACATTTTGCCTCAGCAGAGGGATTAAAAATGAAAGAGGGGCAAAGACAACAACACAATAAACCAAGCACGCCAAAAGAATGAAGAAGACGTGGCAGGTGGGGGGTGGGGGCTGGGGAGAGAGGAAAATTTAACACACAACCTGAGGGCCCACGCGGCGTGTCAAATTGTGTGATTAAATACGTGACTGGCTCGCTAGATGTGAGTGTTGAGGCGTGGAGTCTATGCTATTACTGTGCAGAGGCATGCGACATACGCACGCACGCACACACACACACACACACACTTGCATACATACACACACAGTCATACATATACAAACACATGCATGTACATCTAATGTATGATGTGTGGAGTTCAACCTTGTTTACTCACACTCTCACATGCATACACAATCAGTAAAATGGGGTTGAAAAGCCATAAATCACACATGCACCTACAGCTACACATACAGTGCTTCTTAACGGTTTACTCCGACCAAACCTCCACCTTCACATGTCAAGTACACAACACCTTCCTATACTGTATGTATAGACAATGAGCTTTGACTATCAGTCTGTCTGCTGCCATTTTACACTTAGATGATTCAGTCCCCATCATCTGAAAGACACCAACACTGACCACTGCACTGCAAAAGATGCATGTGTGTGTGTTTATGAGGGCTTAAAACATATATACATGTTTGTTTAATGTATGTATCCGTGTGTATGTATGATTACGTGTCCTTGTGTGTGACAGCCATAAAATACATAAATATACAAAGGTGAGTGTGTGTGTGTGTGTGTGCACGCATGTGTTTGTGTGTGTGTCTGTGCATGCATCGGTCTGTATATTTGTGCTGAGAATAGCAAATCAGCATGGAGATAGGTATGCGGCGGAAAGTGAGCCTGTGTGCACATTTGTGTGTGTGTATGTGTGTGCATGTTTGAGCCCTTTAAGAAAGTCATTTTGCACACTGCAAAAGTGTGTATGTATGTGTGTGTGTGTGTGTGTGTGTGTGTATGTGTGTGTGTATGTGGGTGTGTGTTTGTGTATGTGTCGGGTGATGGCATACCAGCTTAAACAGCATTTGTGTCTGATTTCCACACTGTGGATACTGTGTCTATTTGTGTGTGTGTGTGTGTGTATTAATTTTTTTAATACTAACAGGATGACTGCTAACTAGCTGCCACACTGCCTGGGAAATCGTTGGATATGTCAGCCTGTTTGGCAAAGAGAGGAAGCAGTTTTATTTCTGTGCTACAGTTCTGTTGCTGCTTCTTCAAACTGTCCGACCTAATTGGACCGAAAAAGAAATCCTGGGGTAAAGTGATGTCTACAGTAGTGTAGAGTTGGTTATAAACAGTTCAACAAGAAAAGTCACTTTGGTTTTGAACCCTCATTAATATCTGAATGAAGCTACTAGTTAGCTCAACATTAAGTCTCCATGATATCTTGTTTTGAGTGGAAACCCGTCTAATTACAGAGCAGAATTACAATCTCAAAGCTATGTAAGGAACTTCTGAGGAAAAAAAAAATACCATGTACTTGTGATATTCCTGTATTTATGTGACCTACATTTCCTCAAAAGGGTCTTTTGCTCTTTGGATCTGCCAAGGTTGATGTTTAAGATTTGTATGATAACAATTCAATATAAAGTTAATTTTAGCTGTGACGGAAAATATTTTCAGTTGAAATCAGGGTGTCGATTGTGTGGTTATGTCTATACAACCAAACAACAAAACTTACTCGGCAATACAATAGTTAGTCCAGACCGAACACTTCCTAGTATGTCTTACCCTGGCATCTGTGACCTTGAACTCTCTTAGGATGTACTGGGGCATGTTGTACTCGGCCATGGGATCCACCACAAAGTACTGATACCTGGCAGAGCGTTCCGCCGGCCAGTATTGGTGACACTTTTCCTGTTTGAGCAGAAGGAGAGATAAACCCCAGAAATTAATATTTGAACAACTTACTAATTCATTTCCATTTTATTTTACTTTGATTACTGTTTGTATCCTTCAATACAGAAGCAAGACAGAACCAGAAACAACACAAATCAAATGAGTGTTAATGCATGTGTGTCTGACTCCTACCCGTCCCATCTCTCGCAGTTTGGTTAACATGACTACAATGGTGGAATTGTTCTCCCAGAGCATTCTCCAGAAGTCTTCTGTAGTCTCTGCCAGAGGGCCCTGCGTGGCGATGTAGGCTTTCTGTTGCCTGTATATACAGAAAAACCATGTTAAAACCGTCTATGTTCGGCTTGTGTAATAATAAGTACCATTTTAACACCACTAATGCAAATTCTAGGAATACTTCACAAGTTTTGCCGGTACATTCCTGAAGACTGAGTGACTGCGTTTACTGAGTAATACATATTACTTTGAGGATCACTAACAAAAAAAAAAAAAGAAATGTGTTGAAATTCACTTTCCATGTCTCCATTATTCCATTATCTACTGCACCTTCTCTCCACAACGCAATAGAATCACCTTACACATGTCTCATATTGACATGTTTCCTCTTCCTACCTGTATCCATCAATGAAACTGGCATTGATGTAGTCGGATCCTTCCAGGCCTCTGATTGGCTGCAGGCAAACGCGTGTGGTCTCGTAGGGCATGATGTTGACCAGCCGATTCTTGAACTTGTTGCAGGGAAGGTTGGCACTAATGAAGCGCGACGTGTGGGCTTTGGAGTTGGCCAAGCGCTGGAGGGGAAAGATAGAGGGATAAATGGATGAAGGTAGGAAAAGGAAGGCACCGAAAAAAGAAAAAAAAAAATTTGGAAAAAAGTTTTACAAAGAAAGTGCCGAATGAAAGGTATGGGAGGAGGAGGAAAAAGATGACAAGACGACGAAAAAGAGAGTACAGTGGTGACGGGAAGAGGGAATGGATTGGCAAAAGCCACGGTGGTCACAAAGAGGAGAGAAGAGGCATGAAAAGAAAAGAGAGAGGAAGGAAGAGCAGGAGAGGATGATAAAAGGAGGAGAGATTGGGAAGGAGGGAGGAAAGGGAGGACAGGTGCGAGACAGATAAAGAGAGTAGAATATCAATGACAGAAAGTAATAAAGCACACTCAATCTAATCTGATCTTTCACCCAGCTTTACCAATGATGGCACAACTTCAAAGGGACATTGTTTATCAAGAATATATTCACCAGGAAGCGACTCAAAAACTTTATCCCCTTTTGCAACTTGTGGGGTCCTGCAGGGTCAGACGCAACGATGGAAAATATGCCACATACCCAGACTAACAAGCCTCTGGATCAAGACTGTGCGAAACAGAAAACTCGCCTAAAAGTGGGTCACCAGCGCCTTTGATAATGGCAGTGTAGTATGTGTGCATAAATCATAGACTCACACAGAGATGTTCAGAAAGACAAACACACACACACTGCATAATGATCAAAATGAAAAGCTGTACTGCTACATCATCATCGTCATAAGGACCTCAGTGGGAGTTTGTGGGTCAGCAAGTCTTATGATCGCCTCCTCTTGGCTTCTCAACAAAGAATTTGTGAGAGTGTGTGTGTGTGTGTGTGTGTGTGTGTGTGTGTGTGTGTGTGTGTGTGTGTGTGTGTGTGTGTGTATGCTTGCTTGTTAGCATTTGCCTGCAAATGGAAGACACCCTAGTCAGATTATTTAGGGCCCTTTCAGACAGAGAAAAGCATGGCGCACTGAGGACATTAGCAGCATCTTAAGAGGCCATAGAGAGAGAGAGAGAGAGGGAGACAGAGAGATGAGCTGCAACTGACCCCAATGAAAAAGTGGGCAGCAGGAATGCAGATTTTTAGTTCCTCAACTCCTCGTCTCTCAATGGCTGTCAAAACACACAAAGTGAAAGTGTCTCTCTTTGCACCTCTGTGTGAACAGGGTCTAACCTTCCATTTTGCCCTTTTTCCCCATTAGAGTAGTTTCCCCTTTTCCTCTCTAATTCCCCTATAGTACCGCTATCTCTGTCTCAATGGCTACTTGGAGTCCGTCCAGCTCTTCCCCTCCTCCTTCGCCCTTCCTTTCATCCTTCGCTAGTGTCCTCCCTTTGATCTGTGTTTCACAAAGGCACCTGGAAAGGCTTGAGGTGGCCTGGCAGAGCTAAAGAGGCCCTAAGCTACACCACCAAACACCACGGAGGGGGCAGGGAACGGAGCCAAGCCTGGCAACCTGTCATCCAACAGGGCAGAGAAGCACCTGGGGTACCTCTGGTCACGGTTGCCAGTTCCTTCTCATTTATAGTACAGTATCTCTGTTCATTTGGAAGATACATTACGTACATTAGGCATGTTACGCCGCAACAAGGATAATCATTTTTGACATTACAGTCAGAAACAAGGGCTTACAATACAAACAGACCAATACACCCTGACTATAACCCTGATTAACAAATGAATAATAAATAATAGATATATCATCAAACAAGCATCCTTAATCATCATTACATTTAATATTTCATCAATATTTATAGTTTCTCCACTGATCACTATCTATTTGGTCGATTGTGTGCATCACATAATGTTTGACTGTTGTCTATGTTTATGATGTGGCCACAATACAAGACAATGCTCTGTAAACTTCCTGTAAACTGTCAACATCAATTCTATTTAAAACTGTAGAGCGTTTTTGTCTTCTTGTTTGCATTTGGATCCCAATTAAAACCATGCTGCTGAATTTCAAATTATTCCATTGCTATTTCATTTCAAATGGATCCCAGTAGCCCAGTAGCTTTTTTTTTTTTTTAATGTTGTTGCTGTGATTTGTGTCCTGTATGTTTCTGAACACTTTGTGCAAGTGGGTTATGTGAACAAATGTCTTCTGTGCATAAATCTTCCTCTGAACATGTCTGTTATTCATTCACATACACCAGAAAGGCACTAATCTGACAACTTCACGACAAGTCCCTGTTCTCGGTTCAGTCTCCCCGCTGAACTCATGAGAGTCCCACCAGTGACAACTTAACTCTGTATGACGCCGTTTTCCCACCTGAGAATGACAATGCCCTCCCACTTTCCCTATAGTGCAGCATTCTGTCGAATCACTTCCTTACCGCCAAGTTAGCATACAGTTGTCCCTTTGTTCATTAGCCAAACGTTCCTCCCTCTACTTGCCCTGCCATCCACCTCCATTTGTCATCATCAAGTATTAATTACTTAGCTAGCTCCCCCACCCCTCTTCACACACACCGCTCCTCTCTATCCTGACTGTAGTGTGGACGTTATTAATCCCTGTTCGACTCCTGACGCCAGCTCAGCATTATCCCTGTTACAGATGGCGATAGAGATTCCATCACCATTGTGCCCCAGTGAGTTTAAAAAAAAAAAAAAAAAGGTTGAAGACACCAGCACTATTATTGTTTCTTGGCAGGGGGGGGGCGTGTTGATGAATGGCGACGGAAAGATGACGGATGATTTGGGAGTGAGCATCTGTGCAATTCAAGGTCAGCAGATAGTGGAGCGCCGAAGCTGAGGTGAGTTTATAACTTGATGATTCTTGAGATCTTTAATGGAGATCTATGTAAACACTGTGTCTGCCTGTCTATGCTCACCTACTGCTTTGTCATGAATTTCTGTTAGAGAGCATACACACTCTCTTACTCAAGCCTAAACTCAAATTCGTGCTGCTTCCAGCCAAAAATCTTTTGTCTTGTGCCTGCTAGACTAAACCCAATTTCTTTGCTTAAGCATATTATTCCAAATCCTCAAAAATGAACATTGCAGCCAAACAGTGAAGGGCTTCAACATTTCCATTTTCACGCTTTGCAAAAACAATGCAATAATAATTCAAATAGTGTGTATCTAAGTGATTAAATTATTGAAGTGAGGCTTGAAAAAAAAAAAGGGAGCTTTGCTTTCTAGTCCATCTGAGATCCTATTAATTGGACAGCATATGTAAACTGACAAATAGCTTCGACATAAATAAGGCAGGTTTAATCTATATTCTTCTTACCTGGGGCTGAAAGGTATTACATCTTGCAGAGAAGTGATTTTATCTCAAATGCTTAAAGCTTACTATGTTATACACTGTGTTCATTCAGGATTTCCATTATGTCTTTATGAGCAACATAAGCTCAAAGGGACATCCATATTGCCTCTTGCCTACTGCCAAATTCAGTTTGTCTGAGGTATGAGGATTTTCCGTAAACTGCATCCTCACTCAGCTGAAACATTATTCTCCCAGTTCCCCCAATCAGCTACCATAATCATCCATTTTGTGTCTTCCTCACTCTCTAGTTTCACTGTTTCCAGCCAGAAACACAGTTGTTGGTCAAGAACTGCCACAGTATATGTTCTGTTCAAGTATAAAAATGCAAAAAAATGTATGATCACGAATCAAAAAGCAATTACTGCAAACCCACAATTAGGCACATTGCAAATAATGATGAGGAGAAAAAATATGAAAGGCAAAGAAATTGGATTTGCATCCAAAATAACTTCTAGGAAGATAAAGCTGGCAGCCAGCCTTCCTTTAAAAGGCTTATAGCTTCTTAAGACAAGGTGACAGAACTCTCAAAACTTAGTGTTTATGTCTTCATTGTTTAGTTATGATTAAGTTCGAAAAGTGAAAAGTTAATACAAACAGTGATCTAAAACGTCTGCTATTTCTGATCTGATTTGTAAGTTGTTTGTAACTGTCTTGGCATCTGAACAGTTCAGTCTGCCAGGTGAGTTTTTCAGCTGTCGTTTGCAGTTTTAATTTGTCAAAATGCAAAACAGGGTCACCTGCACGAAAAAACAAAGGCCGTCAGTCCCATAATGTATATGTGAGACCCCAGTGGAGCACAAATGCCAAACTTAAGCTGAAACACTTTGTCACACACCGTCATGGTTTCTTAGTGAAAAGAAGAAAAACACAGAGCTTGAACTCTGCCCAAACCCCTGCCATTTAACTTCTAACAATGTACCAGGTTTCCCGTTATTTCCTGTACCTTGAACTCTAGCTCCATGCCAGTGACATGCTCGCCGCTCTCCACCTGGGCCAGCTTCTGGATGTAGGAATAGAGGCTCCGGGCAGCCACTTCAGTGTTGCCGCAGGCCACCGCCTCCAGCAGTGCATCGTGAATGAAGCTGTACTGGTCCTCCGTCTGCACCATGTAGTTCCGCTGTGACCGCATCAGCGTCACGTGGCCGTAAATGTCGACCGTCTTCTCGTGCTTGATGCGCTCAAGCATGGCGTCGATGACGATGAAGCAGCCTGTCCGACCAACACCCGCACTGTAGGAGGATTTGAAAGAAGAGAGAGAAAAAGAAGTTGGAGGTTTTAAGAGGGCCGTTGAATAGAAATTAATTTCTCCATTTCTAGAGTTTTATCCTCTCAGGATGCTCAGGCTATGAATATTTGTTTGCCTAATACAAAGTGCTTGTCACATTTGTATCGTAGGAATTTAATTGTGATTTACTGTTGTTCTCACGCCTAAAATATTAAACCGCAAGGTGATTATGTATGTCCAGTAATGTCTGTAGATTTGTTGTGGCATTACATTTTAAATAATTGAGTAGGAGAGCAAAACAGAGGGATGTAGTGACAGCTAGAGAGGGAATACAGAGACAACTAATAAAAATGACAGATAGAACAACAAGACGACGGTGATGGAGACTGAGTGAAGCAAGCTGTCGAATTTCAGTTTTATTGTGTAGCGCTTTGGACTGACTGAAGTCTTCTTATCTTGACAAAAAGGTTTCAATTTGAATAAGCCATTCAAGAAATATCGCTTGTAAAAGGGGGAAGGGTTAAGGAGCAAAAAAGGAGAAGCAGGAAAGATGGGAAAGGATTACTGTGAGGCTTTTCACAAAGAGGGAAAAAAGAGACGGAGGTGGAGAGAATGAAAGCAGGAAAAAAAAAGAAGAGTGCCTTAAAGAGAATGATGTGTCCAATGGAGAAAAGAAAAGATGTAGGTCTTCTAAGAAAGAGAGCGTGTGTTTGTATAATGTGTGTTACGTAATGTATAATAGCAGATACAAAGGGAGGAGCTCTGCCATTCTGTTTGCTCATGAGTATAAACACACACAGTCAGGGAGATGGGCTCGAGGTAAAAATAAAACAGGGATACCACTTCCATGTGTATAGGGGCGAGGTTACTGGAGTTACAGTTTAAAATCAGGCATTTTGCCTTTTAACCAACCCTAACAATATAAAATTTTCTAATGACCTGCAGTGGGCGATGATGGGTCCGGCGTCGGGCGGGTTGCAGGTCTTCACTCTGCGCAGGAAGGCCAGGAAGGGGGTCGGGTACTCAGGTACACCGTGGTCAGGCCACGCCGTGAACTGGAACTGACGAACCTCCCGCTTCTCACTAGAGCCATTCTGTAAGAGAAGAGAGAGAGGGGTGGGTTGGATATGGTGGTGGTGGTGTTGTGTTTGTGTTTAGCTGATTGACTTATTGGTGACAAAGCAAAAAGAAACAATAGTGTCTGAGTATTATATGTACGCAGACCTGGTATTAACATCCATCTCAGGTGATCTGATCACAACCGGACAGCTCTAAGTACAGGTGTGAACGTACCCACGATGCATTGAGGACGCATTTGAGATCCGATGACTCTGACCACATTCGGAACGCATTCTGGGCCCCACTGAAGGACCGCCTACTCTACTGACTTCCTCTGCCACAGTCTCATTAGTCCCGCCACAGTTTCATAACGAACTGAAAATATCTTATTATTTCAAATGGCTAACCCCTTACTTCATTGTAGAGCTGTGCGCAGTGCACCCTCTCACAAACACCACCTGCCATAGTCAGACTGGCTAAAAACAACACACACATGTTTGTGTGTATATAAAGCGGGCAAGTGAGATGCGATCATAAGTGTTAACTCGAGATGTATGTGGAGATGCATTTAAATACCAGGTGTGAACTGACGTACTTAGAGCTGCCTACTCCTGATTGCATCACCCGAGACACATGCCAGGTGTGAACAGGCGGCTAATCTTTTTACATACATCTACCCCCGCTGTCCATGGACAGTTAAACCAATGACTCGGCTAGTCTGACTCAAAATCTCAGCTACCTTCACAGGGGGTTAGTGTTCCATGCTTAAAATAGATTTTTGCTGCAGTATTGCCCAGGGGTTGTAATTTTCCTTTGGGAAACACTTTCACACATATACAGCAGATCAGATAAGCCTCAACATGATAAAATATGTCTGATAACTTCTATACTGGACAGTACAGGTGCTTGTATCTTCATGTTCTCATGTTACTGCTGCTCCCAGCATCTACAGATACATGCAGCAAACACCCACATTACACAGCCGTCTGTCAGCTCCTATCTAAAACTCAACTCTCGACGCATCAAAGATACAAGCTGGGACCCAGAGGAAGATTTTGAGAAGGATAAGTAAGAAGAAAGGAAAAATTTCTCCTTGCATATTTGTGTCCTCCTCTCCTCTCAGAAGATCCTCTAATGGAGCTACTGTTTGCATTTCAATGCACTGCTTCTGCTTCCCTGACAGAGGGACTTTTTCCATGCTGAATAAATGAATAAATGAGTGTGGTAATTAAAAGCAAACTGACCTAGTTCTTATTTCCCTTGTATTTTTTTTTTTTGGACATTCCCTGTTTCTGCGGTTGATGCAGGCTACATGGATGTGGTTGGTGCTTGGTTGCTGATTTTCTTTAAATTTCATTTTTTCTGGTAAAGGATTTATCAGCACACACAAATCTGCATCACTGCAGGGCATACATTCATACATACATATGGATAGGTACCATAGCGCTGCTTTATATGTTCGTGTGTCCACTGCCAGCTTCTGCTACCTTATACTTCACACAAATCCAACAAAATATAATTTTTTTTCTCAGAGATATAAAGTGAAAACAGCTCAGCGAGAAATCATAGCAATGACTGCAGTTATAAGGAGGAAGGAGAGGATAGATAGCAAAAGAATCATATCGGTGGGTTTGATGGAGGCTGAGAGCGGCAGAGTGTAAATGGCCCTGAATGTCAACCAGCCGGCTTTAAAGCACCGCGGCAGCTGATATCTTGCTATCTTCACCATCGCTGGTATGCTCTGGTGTTAATTGTTCTGCTGACATGCCAGCTAAAAAGTCAGCAGTGCCTTTTAATGTGGTGCTATCTGGTTAAGAGGAAAACTCTGGAAATGTCTACACACCTCCCAAGGCTGGTTTTCTGCTTTGTCTTCTAACAGCTCATTTTACAGAGGAGGCTGAGAGTGTGAAAGAGTTTTCATGTAGATGTGCTGGTGATTCTTTTCTTTGTTTTTTTTCTGTGTCTATGTGTGAGTGTCTGTATTTGAATACACTTAAATGTGTGTTATTCATGTCTGCTCATACTCTGACATCATACTCGTGGTTATTGAAATACATGCATTTGTTTTGGGTTTTTTTTTGTGTAAATGTGACTATAGGTTTCTGTACATGTGTGTGTGGGAGCTTGCATGTGCAAATGCCTCCTTTTAAGAATGTTTTCATTTGTTTAAAGACTGTGTATCTGCCTGTTTGTTCACTGTTCAAATTTGTGAGTGTGTGTGTGCGCACACACAGAGGCATGAAAGCAGTCTGCCAATTATGTATATTGAGTTTCTCTTCTGCTCACTTTACCTAAGTGCTCCAATTTGGCAGACGCACATAAACAGATGATCTATTGAGGAGAGAGAAAGCTGAACAAGGTGAGAGGGATGGACTGTAAGGACAATGGGGACGAAGGATTACAATATATTTGTGTATATCTTTACATCGAATAGAAAAATAGCATGCAGTCTACGCCATCATTTTTGTTGCTTAAGTTTGTGTCTGTATTTTTTATAAGCTGTGTCTTGTGAATAGGCCGTCTGTTTACTGGGCACTGAATAAGGATATTGTTATTCATTGTCAACCACAGTCCACTCCAGATTTCTCTGCAATGTATTCTTGAGAAAGGATCAGATGGTGATGGTGCAGTGGTGTGCATGTGTGTGTCTTTATGTGTGAGAGACAGAGAGAGAGAGATAAATCATCCTACCTTGTGCAAGGAGAAAGTGCGGACACAGAAAGTGGCCAGTTCTATGGTGTCCAGCAGGGTGACTTGGGTCATACCATAGGTTTCTGTGCCACGACTGGGCCAGTACTGGTCACACTTAATCTGGGACAGAGGAAGAGGGAGGGAGACAGAGAGACATACAGACAGATGAACAGTTAGCTGCATTACGTCACATTCTATTAACCAGTGTCTCCACTGACGAGCACGATCATGCACATAAATCAAATCATGCTCCCTCCTCTCACACAAATATGTGCGCTCACGCGCCGCTCATAAAAGGAAACCCTCCTGTGGATTAAAACACCAGGCGTTGTGGACTGAAGCACCAGGGTAGCTTCTCTCTGTTTCACATCTGAGAAACAACACTATGCATACTGAACATATGTGACCAGAATGCCACAGCAACTCCACTCTGACGGTTTCACTTCATCAACCAAATCCTGCCTGCCAGTAAGGCCAAACATCTCCACCACCAATTCTTAATTCAGTATCTGTCAAAATAAATGCCTAATATAGTGTTACCATTTCAGATCCTCATATTAAGAACCTCCTGTTTTTGTTTTTTTTTTTGTCCAGAGGTTCTACTGTATATCTGCAAATACAGCACCAGCTTCCCCCAGCCCACCCCTGTCTGCCCACTTAATAAAGATTCATTCAATATGGGGTGTGACGCGCCAGCGGACATCTGATGAGATGTGACAGCTAGTGAGGGAGATGAGCTGCTCTCCAGCTTTCTCTTCCATTTCCTGCTCGAGCTGACACTCAAGTTCTACCGCCCGCCAATCCTGATCACGTTTGACAGCAGTGGAACGCGCATGTCAGGATGGAGGATAGGTAAACAACTGAAAAGGGATAGAGGGAGGAAAAATGAGTGGAGACACCTGGGGTGAGTGTGGCTGATGTTGACACAGGTTTGAGTTGACAGGATGAAACATTGCAGTTGGCTTTTTGACATTTAAGTCCACTCCTTCATAAGAGAGAATATTATCCCCACAGATCCATCCCGAGGATGCACTCACTCTCTTTGGCTTTATTCTGTTTCTTTTTGGTAGCACTTACCTACACTTTCAGCTCCTAATTTAGAGAAATGGTTCATAAAACACTTTGTTTACATAATGACTAGCTGTCACTATGGGCAAACAGGACTGATACCCAACACTTAACAGACTTCCTTAACAAAACCAGTGTGCTTTCTACTGATCGCAGTAACAGCTGCAGTTCTTACATTTTGTTTTATTTTTAATCTGGTAGTTTGTGGTTGTGAAGTGCTGCTGCTGCTGCCTGCTTGGTTCTTCTCTAGAGTTAGTCGGCAAACGAACAAGTGTGAAAATCACTGGATGGCTTTTAACAGCGGAAAGCAATCCTTTCCATCAGGGTGAGACCCTTCCAAAAAAATACATCCCACACACTCGTGGCTACCTCGCATGGATGCAAATGTATAAAACGAAAAAGAAAAAACGAACAACAGTGGACTAGTGTGGCCACTCCCTGACATCTCATTCCTCTGTGCTGCAAGTGAGTCACTGTGCTCTGCAGACAATTTTTTCCTCTAACTTCCCCTATCAACAGATGATTGTAGGAGGCACTGTAAAAACTCCATGGCACTCTGTTGCTGAAAATTAAATTTTTGCTACCTGCATTGTGCAGTCTCAGAGCTAAAACCTGCTAAGCTCTCAGCGCTGTAGGGAGCATGCAACAGCTTGTAGTTTCCACTGCAAATAAGGAGAGAAAACATGGCCAAGTCTGTGAAGATACTCCCAGCGGAAACACAGTCTAACTTATCAGATGTGCACAGGTAGACCCTCTTTGAATTAACTCTGTTTTATCACACTCTTCTGCTGCTTTCACCACCCAATTCAAATTTCTACACGTCTCTGAAAACAATCCATCTCAAGAAAATGAAGTCTGATTACCTACCAATGACGTTCAGATGCACAACTGGGAAATCAATGTAAAGCTGGGCCATTTTCAGCAGCTGGTTCATGTACTTGGGTCTTGTGAAGCAGTGATTTGATTTTGAGGTTTGCTTAAAAAAACAACATTTTAAAGAGGTCTGTGAAGTCACCGGAGGGAGGCTCTACAAAGAAACCTGTCAAAAGCAGCACCCAGCTATGGTCCAAAAATTGGTGGAGCGTACTTACCCGTGACTTCTCCTCCAGCCTCGTCATCATGACCACAGTGGCTGCTCTCTGTTCCCACACCATCCTCCAGAAGTCCCCAAACGTCTCTGGTAATGGACCCTGAGTGGCAATGTAGGCATTCTGCTTCCTGTAGCCATCGATGTAGTTGGCATTGATATAGTCGCTACCTGTGATACCTAGATACAGACCACAGGAAAAAGAAAGGAAGGTGTAACATGGTACTTTTCATAGCTGTTCCCCTTTTAATCCTGCCTCACTTCATCACGCATAACTGAAATAAGTGAAAATTGAGATCAGTTCAAATTTTGGAGATGTCCAGAAACAAGTGGCACTGTCTTAAGATACGGTAGATCATGTCAGCTTTTGGGACTTGAAATATTATATGTATTATTTCTGCCCAGTATTTCTTAGAGCTTGTTTTGAGGAGTTAAAAAAAAAAAAAAAACAAGACATAAGGCAAGACTAAATACGATACGTCTGCACAGCTTTTCTCCCACTCTGTTGCTGTAGAGCTGAAAGAAACCTCAATTGTTGTTCCAATTGAATGGATTCAAATTCAGCAACTACCTCACTGTCACAACTTCCTGTACTGCTCTTTTATCAATTTTCTGTTTTGTACCTCTGTGGTTCTGCCTTGGTTTCTTTGGATATTGGTCTAGCCTCCATCTGATTAACCACAACCACAGCTGGGTTGTGCTGGAAGATGGAGGATAGCAAGGAGGCACTCAGCCGCCGCAGCCGGGAGGTAGATCCAGCTCCCATTCCTCTCAACCCGCCACCATGCTCTGTTACGCACCGGTTCCACTAAATCTGGCCGTAAGGAACCCCTCCGCATTGCTGCATAGATGGATGTGTACTGGCAGTGTTTTAATGCCGAGGATGGTGTATGCAGCACTTGTGAGCTCTATCGTAAAATCCTGCTTAAACTGACTGCATGTAACTATCAAAGTATTCCGTGGCATCCTTTAATGTGTCTACAGCAGTAACAGTAACACTTCAAAGATAAAATATGTTGCTGCTACTGCAAGGCTTCATCAGGACTGTTCATAATACAGAGAGTGCAAAGTTGTTTAACTGTGAAACAAATCTCCGGTCTCATCATGTGCGGTACAGAGCTGTCACCAGGCTCTGATCTGAGGGAATCAGGGTGTTGTGGTGGTGTGCATTGTCCCACATCATAAAAACGAAGGTGTCTTCAAGCCTGGTGCAAAGTCACTACAGGCTCAGTAATTTGAAGTTGTTCTAGGGGGGAAAAAAAAAAGATTTAAGCCAAAAACATAATCTTGCGATTAGAGCGTGTCTAACACAGCATCTGATGGTGATAAGACAGAACATCACCCATCTTCATTTAACCAACATCTACAACCCTGTCAGTTGAAAAGAGACTCCAGTGTGGCGGCATCTGTGTTGGAGAGTCACGTCTCTTTGACTGACGTCTCCTCACTCAAGCGACAAACAATGAAACACTTGAGTGGGCTAATTTAAGAGAGGAGACGCAGTGAGGACAACAACCAGGGTGGAGAGGAAGAGTAAGATAGAGAAAAAAAAAGGGGGGGGGGTAAAGGCAGAAAAAGAGAGGTGGAGGAGAAGGTACAAGGAAGAATATAGAAGAAAGAAGAAAAAGGAAAGAATGAAAGAATGGAAATAAAGAAGAAAAAAGAAAGGCAAATGTCATTAAAACAGATACCACGTCGCGCAATCCGACTGTGGTGCCTTGGCTTTAGTCATAGCTAAGTGAACAGAGAATGGTGGTGTGCATGAATTGTTCTACTGCTGCGACTAATGGCAAAATCACTGCAGTGTAAAATAGAAATTTCAGACTTGATTAATTTATGTATTTATGGACGAGGCGTTTTTTCCCTGGGATAATTTTGTTATGCATGTTGTCGCACCCTCAAATTGGCCCGACTATTGCGAGATGTTGAAATCTAGTTGGAGATGTTAGCTCACACAAAAGGAGAGTACTGTGGAGTTTGGCACCACTGTGGGGAGTCGGGAGCTCTTCTGGTGATGCAACGCCAGAACAATGTCAGCGGTGAAGGGTGACTACCTCTGACAATGTCCCTTGAGATTTAGGAGGCAGAGGAAGAGTTTTTCTGGCTCTGAGATTCTCAGTACTGTGTCTATGGGCAGTTAGAGGGAAGTCATGAGAGAGGGCCAGATCTGATGAGACAAATGGGACAGTGAAAACACTGGTTAAATGCCTGAGCCACTCTTGAGTGTGAGATATGACTGGGCCCAAAGATGAGCTGAAACAAGTCCTCGCCTCACTTCCAAAAATAATATGATTCCATAAACCACTTAGCTGCTCAGGACCAAGTTGAGGAACTGGAACAAGTCCTCCGTTTAGCCTCCAAAATTCAGTTTTGTTCTATAAATCCACTGTTTGCTGGGAATCGAAAAGAGCTGAACTGAATCTGAATTTCACATACCAGAATTTATTTTCACTTTCTTCTATTTGGCTTCATGCTACTGTGTTGACTCAATATAATAACTGTGTAATCCAGCCTACTAGTGCAGTTCTGACCTTTCTTTTTTTGCTCCATTCTTTTCTGGTTAACTACCAATTCAGCTACGGTGCTGTAATCTAGTCCAGTCTGTGCATGTCAGATTTCTTATCTACCCTATTCTATTGTACAGCACAATAACAGACAGCATTCTACTGTATTGATTATATTCAACATATTCTGTTTTGCACTGCTTTGTACTGTTCTAGTTTGGTCTTCACTGTCTAGTCCCATCTGGTCTCGTGCATGTCTGTTCAGTACAAATTCCTAATTACTTAAATCGACTCTGTAATTACGAGGATTTCCCAAATGATCCACAAAGAGCTGAGCTCAGTTCTGAGGTGGTGAAGGTGCAGAGAGTGTGAGGACGGGTGAGCCTTACCCTCGATGGGAGCCAGGATGACGCGGGAGTGGTCGTAGGCGATGACGTTGGCGTAACGATTTTTGGGCTTGTTCACCTCCAGGTTGGAGTGTTCCCAGGTGAACTGCTGGCCTGGATCGATAGACTGACGGGGGTAGAGACATGCACACACAGAGAAGAAATCAGAAGAGCTGTGAGGGGAGCTGAGCAATAACAATACCAACTGATTGTTATCATAGAAAGAACAGAAGGAGGCAGAGAGGGAGAGATTGAGAGGGTGATTTTCTCAAGGGAAAGAGTACATGGTATCATGAAAATCTGCCTGCTGACTGGTTTAAACACTCACAGCAGCTGCACACAGTACTTTATGAAGATCATTAATACAGCAGGTACATAATGACAAATAACAATATTGATGAAGGCAGCGGCCGGCTCTCCCCCCCTGGAGCGAGGGCTGACACTCGGGTGAAAGACAAATTCAGCCGTCTCTTTGAAATAAAAGAATTCCAGATAAATGTTCCGTTCCCTCGTCAGGATAATTAAGTATTCCATTACGATTCACTGTTTGCTTATGGGCGTCAGGCACTGGCTTGAAGGATATTTGCAGTTAGGGCGTCACCATGTAGGGCGGGGTGGCCGGAGAGGGAGACTGAAGCTAAATGAAGTCCAACTGGAAATGTGATCTAACAATTTGCATGTAATCATTAAAGCAATCTGAGCTTCCCTCTGTCTTAGCCTCTTTCCGTCTTTGTTCTTTCTTTCTTTCTGCCCTCTCTATCCCTCCTTCTCTGTCCCCATTTTCGTTATCTGCATCTCTCCATCTTCAAAGTCTTCTACTTTTTTGTCCATACTTCTTTGTCTCTTTATCGCCTTCTCCATCTCCTCTCTGATGTTTACAGTCCCTCTCCATGCAGCCACCTACTACCCTGCTATTTTCCATTTCTCTCTAGATTACCTTAAGGCTGAGTATGCGCGTGTGTGTGTGTGTGTGTGTGTGTGTGTATATAAAGATTGAGGTCACTTCCCAGACACATCCCTCAACTCAGAAATTGAAAACCGCATCAAATGATTTTAATAACTGATTGAATAACAATTACTTAAATTCTTCCTGCAACAACAAGAACCTCTCCCTCTCCCTCCTCCTTACGATGCGTCATGACATGTTTGATGATGAGTGGCACCTCCTGTAAGGACCACAGGGTTTCAGGACATGGCTGCAACCTGCCTGACAGCACAAAGACTACAAACCCCTATGGCTTCGGTACTGTTAGGTAAAACTCTGGCTGCCTTTTCGTTGCCGTTTGTATGTCAGATTATCTCCTCTTCATCTCCGCTCTCCAGCTGCGATGCTCTGCGCTCTCTCCCCTCACTGAGTCCTCATCATTAACCAGGCCTCCCCACCTCATCTCTCTCCTCTCTCGCCTCTTTCCTTCCATTTTTCCTCCTCCCTCACATCCCGCCTGGCTAAAAACCAATCAGTCAAAGCCCCGTAGAGCTGCGCTTGGCAAGCAGGGGCCCCTGGACGAGCAGCCATTCATCAAGAAAATAACAAAATTAAAATTACACTTCTCTATTTAATTTGGTCATTTATTTTTCCTGGGGGGTGGTTGTGCGAAGGGGCAGGGGGACAGAGAGAGGGAGAGAGAGAGCGAGGGAAGAGATGAGCGGGCGCTTTAATGCACTCTCAAAGCCAAGTAATTAGAAGTTGTAGTTGTAGCAAAGCGTCAACTTTGGCATCATGTCTTTCGTCTCTCTTCCCTCCGAATGGAACAAGCTTGTCCATTTGGTACACAGCCCGGATGTGGATTTATGAATAATAGATACGATAAGAAATACTGGATCACTATGAGAAGTCATTATCCACCAACATCCACCGGCAGGCATGATGACGGCAATCTTTGCTGGTGTACCCGCTTCCCTACCTTAGCCTGGCGTGCAGCGAGGCGACAGGCACAGTGATTTAGGGATGGCGAGGAGGGGATATTGCCTGTATGCAAACAAGAGCTGATTCAGCGCTCCTGATTTCTAATCAACTCTGGTGTCATTTATAACCGCCGTGGTCTCCAAGCTCAGACAGCTCAGTTACTCCTTCTACACACACACATACTCACCCTCACACAAACATACACACACGCGTACTACGTTAAAGCCTGACTGCCAGTGTGCTTTTCCCTGAAAACACATTAGAGGAGTTTTGCTTAAAGAATGGACGGACTGTGTTGTGTGTGAAGGACTTTCAAAACATTATATTTCCACAAGTCAATGTTTAAGATAGGTAAAGACTTCAAACTGTAATTTCAAACGCATTTAATTTTGACCGATATGTGTGTTAGAGAGAAACATTTTTTAGGTGTCACAAAGAGGACATGTTAAACTTCTTTTTTCATCCATGTAACCTGATGTAGAAGTGGATGCATTACAATAGAATGATTCCTTTATTTAGCAAAGAATTTGAGGAAATTGCATTTGTGAGTTTCATTGCCTTTCTTTGCCATGCTGAGAACGCAAATCTATCTGAGGAAATATAAGAGCACTATCAAGCACAAGCACCACCAGCTATAACATTGTCAAAAAGCAGGAACAAAAAGACTTACAGGAAGAGAAACAACCAATTTCCCATTTTGTGCTGAGAATGAAAACACAATCAGACAGAAATCTATACTCAAGAAACTGTGAGCTTTGAACCTTTGGCCCCACTCACCTCATATTCTTGTGAGAGCTTGAGGTTGTCGTTGGCCTTGAGAAGCTCTGTGTGTTCGGCCAGCTCCGAGATAGGGATGGGAGGATGATTCATCATACCTGTTTGCCAAAAAGTGGAGAGAAAGATTCCACACAGGGGAAGTAAGGAAAGATTAGAGGACACTATATACTCAAATCGAAACTTGACAAAAAATAATAAAAATCACACAACACACTTTTATGGGTGAGAATTTCTTGATTACATAACAATGGAAGTTGGGTTTTAGTGGTGAGGAAGCTTGTGCAGAACATGGTGAATGTCACACGGAGCAAAATGTATTGACAGGTGATGTTATAGGCACGGAATTGGACCAGGCCAGAGCTCAAAAATTGCTAAGTTTGTCAAGTATGGCTGACTGTTTGCCAAAGAAGCGAGTAACATACACCCACAGACCAAATTGTATTAATTCCCACAGTGGTCAGGACGCTGACAGAGAGATGGACCAATAGGACAAATAGGTGCGGAGTGCTGCCAGAGGAAAACCCAGACCAATTATGCCTCAAACATTTGGAGGCATGAATCATTTTCAATAGCTTGGGAAATTAGTTAAAAATTACATAAGATGAAAAACGTTTTGATGGTAAAATCACAGACAAGAAACATGACAGCCCTTTTTACTCTTTGAATAAATGAAATGCTTATGTTGACAAAAAAAATCCTTGTACTCCTCATTGAAGATAATCAAAAGCAACATTTCCTTTTAGCACGGCTGCTATCAACAAAGCAGGAAAATTCAATGCTGGCTCACTAGTTAGAAAAAAAAACAACGAAAATGAGTCTTTAAAGACTGTTTAGACTTTAAGCAATCTTACAAATTTAAGTCAACTTAGTTATTTCTTGTTACCTATAAATGAATATGGTACATTATTATTTTTAAATTTAAACTATTAAATTTAGCACTGATCCAACCAATCAAACAGTCTTTCAATCTGGATCAGACCCAAAATATCCCACAGACCTGCTTCTACTATATCCTTAATCTGTACTGCTCTCATTGTGCTGTGTTGTTCGCATAGTGACAAGTTTTGACTGTTGCCTCTATAAAAAGGCAGTTATTCTAAAACAGAGCCCTGACCTGGGGGCTTATGTGAAGAAAGGTGGGGTGAGGGGATAGGGAGGTTCAGGAGTGTGAGTGATGCTGAGTGACACAGTGAGCTGCTCCATTCCAGCCAGCCAGTGCAAAGCAAGCAACCTGCTGTTTCTACCCTTTCCTGATTCCCTCATACCAGTCAACACTGGCTCTAAGATGAACACCGCTTAACTTCCAAAAATCACAAAAAAACAACAAAAACAACAAAAAAATTTTTGCAGTTGCATGTCCAATATGTTCTCCTCCCAAATCCCTCTGCCATTTATTCAAAGGAATTCCCAGAAAGCACTCTCTTTTTCAAATGGGTGAGAAAATTGTGAGATTTTTCGCTAGCTCCAATATCCGCTGAATATTGTGTTGCCACTGCCACAATATTATCAGCACTGCTGTGCACTCCAGTCACTAATCCATTTAGGAGCATAATGCTGAGGCCATGTAATGGAATATGGAGCAGCCATAGATTGTGGCTCTGTCCCTGCATGCGGCCTGGCAATACTTAATGCTTTTGTATTTTTAGTAAGAGGCCTTTTTTCCTGCCAAGCGACAAGGTCAAAAGTCGACAAAATGTTGACATCTCTTCACTAAAAAAAAGTTACTCTGGCTTAATTGGGTGTGCAAATCGCCATAATCACATTAACCATCCTTAATATTCCTTTTTTGACAATGCTTAATATCCCCCCAATGTCAAGGGGGTCACTGATGTTTTGGTTGCTTTTGTTGCGCTTAAGAGGGGGGAGCCCAACCCTCTGCGCTGACAGTCTTCATTAGTAATGGTAATTTATTTTACACTGAGAGAACAATGCGGCGGTGTCAATTACATGAAGATTAACAAAGATTACAATGCATATATGAGAGAAATGGAGATGACACTGGATGGCGTGACATTCTCCGGAAAATGAATGGACACACTGCATTAACGGACAACTTGACAAGAGTTGTGCAATAAACACCCATCCTCTTCCTAATGGATCATTTGAATGATGTTGACTGTATTAATACTGTTCCTCTATTTTTTGAAAGCCTATGTTGAGTTTCTTTCTTTCAATTGGATATCTTAAAAAACTCAAACAAACCTTTACAAGGTAGTAGAGAACTCAAATTAAATTGAAGGAAACAGTGTGTTTATTCATACTTAAGTTTCTTAGTGAGCTAACAAAGCATGCAGACCGTGGTGGAACCACTTGAGGATGAAACAGAGTTATTAATCACTTCTGGTATGGGAATTCATTGAGATGAGTGTCAAGAAAAAGAGGAGATATTGCAAATTAAATTTGGTTGCCAGTTTACTCGCCTCAAATTGAGAGGGAAAGGTATGAGAAGCTATGAGCAAAATAAGTAAATGCGTATGCAAATGAGGGGCCCTCACTTCTCCTTGAGAGAACAAGAGCGGGTTGTTTGAGGGGAGATCAAAGAATGTTTGTGTTGGGTTCGTGTGTGTGTGTGTGTATGGTTGTGTAGTTTACTCTTTGTGTGTCTATGCGTGTTTGTGAGTGTGTGTGAGTTTCAAATGTTCCCAAACTCCATCAATTCCTTTCAGTTTGTGTTTACTGCCCACATTACTGTCTGCATGTATAAGTGCCTGCTACCGTCAGAGATATATCAGGCCAAAGTGTTTACATATACATCCAAATAAACCATGATGCACTGCCAGTGGGACAGGCTGCAGGTTATACATACTAGTGTTTGTTCAGCCCCTCGGACATTGGTAGAATATTTAGAGTAACTTGTATGGAAACAATTTGAATACTTAAAACTGTATGCTTAAATACATGCTTAAATTTGTTATTTTATCTTTATCCCACTTTGCCTTTTGCCAGCATAACCAACTGCTATAAGCTTTTATATTTACACAGACGAACCTCGCATCTAAACTTACCTGCTTGTGCGTCTATTTCTCTCTCTCTGTGTACTTTTCCAACCTCGCCCTTTTGTTTTGTTTTCAAGACAAATGAGCCGATGATGCCTGATTTGTTCTTGCTCTCATTTTGTCATTTATACACTGCACTGCACGCTGCAGTGTTTATCCAAGAAAAGATTTACTTTCAAAACTAGGCTTTGCCGTGACCTGTAGTCTAGTAATAGTCTAGCAAAGTCACTCAAGGACAAATTGTTGTTATTGCCTGCCCCCACTCCAAAGCCTGCCTCTTTCTCTACAAACCCCCCACCCCTCCCTCTCCCACAGATTTTTCCTATCCACGCACAGACTCTTCCATTTTTTTTTCACCGCAATCAACAGCGTGATCAATGAACACAGAAAAACAAACTAGCGTCTAATTACACATTTCCAATCTCCCAATCCGCAGTCGATGCGCCTGAGACATATAATGATTCTTTCTGATAAGTCAAAGCAGTGTCTCTTCAGAAGCCTATTTATGATGTTGCGTATTTCCATATAAAAGGGAAGAAGTCTGTCTGTGGGTAAGCAAAGAAAATAAAGGAAGGCGGGGGGGGCAGAAAGTCTGCTTTTTCTCTCGGCTGATCCTTTTGCAGTGAGCAGGGAGAGTGGGTGATCAAATGTCGAGCCATTGTTTGCCACCGCTTTAATTAATTCTGCTCGTTATCTCTGAGCACAGAAAAGACCCCGTTAGATCAGAATGGAAATGGAGCAGTGGTGGTAAAGGAGGAGGAGAAAGGAGAAGGGAGAACAACAACAAGGAGGTGAAAAAAAAGGAGGTCTGTGAAAAGAAACACCTCTCAACCATCTCTACATCAGCAGAAGTGATCACACAGGTTATTTATGCATGGTGGATTAATGCATAGCCAACAGCTCAAGTGAATATCGTGACTGACATCCAATTAAATAAAATAAATAAAAAAAAACAGCCCAGTATACCATTGGAAACCAACATCAAATTAATTAGAGCTGAAATTTTGCTGCATCATGTGAAAAAACAAACAAATGCAAATTATGTATTTGTAAATGGAGGCAAGCGGTGCTGGGAAAGAAAAAAAAGATAAGGAAAGCTGGAACGCAGATGCTAAAAGCATAGAGACTAACTTTCATAGTCAAAATCTGCTTCACTCTGAGGACTGCTCAGACCAGAATCTGTAAAGAACAGCAAACATAAATGGAAAATGGTTTCAAAAGGCTGTAGTGCAACAGAGAAGGCTATGTAGGAAGGAAAAATAAAAATGTGCATAATGATAAAAGACCATGAAATAAAACACAAAAGCAACACTACATTGTTTTACCATGAGTTAATTTCTCTGGGTGGCCTGTGAAAGTGACAGATCTGAGCCCAGGCTGACACACAGACATGAAAAAGTAGGGCAAACATTTTCAGATCACACCTGACCTTCCCTTCCGCTACCAAATCCCACTCAGTGCCACGGGCCTCCTCGGAGCAGAATGGTTAGCCATGGGTGTCAGCCCCTACTGAGAAACCCCTTCTACCAAGCCCCATATCAACGCTCATAGAGATCAGGATAAGAAATGGATTTGCTATCTCTAAGCTTTCATAAACACCAGTTAGAAGGGCCCATTGACAGGAACGAGAAAGAGACAGAGAATAGGAAAACCAGCTTATGTTTCCTGGTGAAAAGTAACTCTCAAAGATTCCTTTGTATGTGGCTTGGTCCTGAAGCACTGGGAGTGAAAGGTGTGGAAAAGTGTCCGCATTCTTGGCTGACAGCTGTGGAGCCAGAGCTGATGGGAGTCAGGGGTCTGAGGAGTGTGGTGATGGTTCAAAGTCTTATCTGCTCCAGAGGAGAAGTCCTCTGAGGCTGCAGCCAGCCGATGTTATGTCCGGGTAGACTCAGGTCTCCTCAACCACTCAAGCAGAAAGGAGCCATCTGTGGCAATGTTAACTGGACATGTGGCTGAGAGATGCAGTATGATGGGATGCTGGCAACCTGCCCATCAAGTGAAGGGAAATAAATTTTTGCCAGGGCTGAAAGTTGAAATCTGATCAACAGGGTCGCTCAGCGATAAGGAAGGATCACATCACCCAAGGATGGCAACTTTGATCCATAGAAAACAGATAATTTGTTCCAGAAGTGAGAAATGGAAGGAAAGGGAAATATAACTGGTGGGCAAAAAAAAAAAAAAGAAAAAAAAAAAAAAGTTTGTTTTTGTAAAACGAAACTATCTATTTTTTCCTAAAAAATCTGGTTCCAAAAACATAAAAACCACTTCCTCTGTAAAATGGCAAAAAGCAGATAGGTCATCATCCCCAGCTGAAAGCCTAAATAAGCTGTATTTCAATTTTTCCTTATAAGAAAAACAAACTAACATGATTAGGACGTATGCCAGCCTTAACACACTGCAAAGCTCAATTCTGCAAAATCAAAGTTGCTAAACTTGGTTTTGGTGGATTTACCTTTCACTGGCATCTTCACAAGAGGGCGTCAGGCCAGTGGAGCCAAATAAGCGAGGAGAGATGAAGACATCAAACATCTCCCTCTTACTAATTGATTTGTGACAATGACTAATTAAACCTTGCAGGGGGTGCTCTGATCCACTGTCTCCTAACGTCATTCATCACAGCAGGAGGGATGTACAGGCATGTCTGATTATGTTTATGTGGAAGTGTGTGCTGTGTGTTTTGATAGACCTGCTTGTGAGGAGGAGGAGGAGGAGGAGGAGGAGGAGGAGGAGGGCACGGTTGCTGCAGTTGTTGCTGTAATCTGGAGAAACAAGTAGGCTGCTGATGCATGCGCGCGACTGGCTGGTGTCCGTGGGTTTTGCAAAATGTGCGACGCTGCGGGAAAACATTTGATTTTTTCCCATGCTTGAATGTGAAAGGTACTTCTTCTAACAGACTTATGGGGGTGTGAAGTGCCATATGCGATGCTGCTGTATTGGGGGGGTCGAGGATAAAGAGGAACAGAGATGGAGATGAATAGAAAATACATAGATATGTTGAGGATACTGTATGTTGTAGAGCAAGCCCAGTGAAACTCAGTTCACCTGTCTTTTAATTTAATTTAATTTAATTTTAGGTTTGTTTCTATTTTAGCCTGAACAGTAACAAGGTAAATTCATATTACTTGGCACAGTAGGGAATGTCAAACTGATGATATATGTATTTCTCCTGATGGTCACCAACTGTTATAGTTTGCTCATTTTCAACTGCAACTGAGAGGAGTAGAAAAAAAAGCAGAAATTGAGAAAAAGGAATACACATTGAAAAGAAAAAGTCACGATTGAGAGAAAAGAGAGGGCTTGGTTGGAGATAGACAGTAGATATCCACTGAGTCGTGCTGCTTCATTACTTTGGCCCCATTTGCCAATTAAACCCCAGGCACCAATGAAGATAATGACAAAACGAGCCAGTCTGCGCCCCGAGGAATTATGGGAAGCTGTCACATGAGCTACAGGCTTTAAAGCACAAATACACAAGCGCGCACACACACGCACACACACACACAAGCGCGCACACACACACGCACGCGCGCACATACACACACACACACACACACACACACACACACACACACACACACACACACACACACACACACACACACACACACACAATATACACACTCTCAATTGCATTAGCCATGCTTAGCTTATAGCAAGCCTAATCAAAAACATACTTTTTGTTCCCCAGCACTAGGGGTCACTGAGCACACATTGCCAATGTGGCATATGCTCTGTTGGATTGGAGAGGCCTTGGATAAGTGCACTGCGAGTATGCTCATTTGAACAATGGTCGCTATTAGCTGATGGGGATGTTCACAAATGCTCACCGGCCCACTTAATTGGGCTAAAATGTCCATTCAAATTAAATTCCCCGGGTGCGGAGATAATGACATCGCCCGGTTCTGCAGAACAATGGCAGGGCTGTCAAATGAGAATGCTTGTCATATATAAGTGAAGTCTCAACATGTGTTGGTGAATATTGTGAAAAAGAGAGCAAGAGATTGCAACAAGAATTTCCATTATTTAAGGAAAGGAAGGAGGACAGTTGAGGGAATGCTGGAAAGCGCTGGAAGTCAGAGAGACAAATAGCTTGAATGGCCATTATAACCTTGTCATTACAGAACCACTGATAGGGCTCTGAATACCGAGCAAGATAAAGATGAGGACAGTAAATTGAACTTCCACATTTCTGTGCATAAGTGGGTTTGTGCATCTTTGTTTCATCCTAGTATTTCTGTGCTCTGATGCAAAGAAGTCTGGTTTCTTTCCAAGGTGCAGACTCAAGGCAGCATGCTGGGATTTCCAAAGAAGCTGAAGAGAAATGCTCCATTTTGAAATCGGAGCCTTTTGATGGAGCAGAGACTGGCCGTGGATGACAGATGGATAGCTGAAAGACCACCAGGCTTGGAGACAGAAAGGCGAGAGGCACAGAAAAGAGAAAGAAAAACAATGGTACACACAGAAGCAAAGGAGTGTGTGTTTATCTCGCCTCTGGAGAATTTACTCCTTTTTTCGATGGTTGCTTGGTCAGGTGAGAACAATGCCATTTAAACAAGGCAACAGGTCTTTGTCTTCTGTCAAATGAATTGATGGAGGAAAGAATATAATCTGAACCATCTACAGTAAAACTGAAAACACAAGGCTCCTTGTACAAGGTAAAAGGAGGAAAATGTTGATTTAGTGATACACCAGAAAGTGTAAAATGTTTTCCTTGATGCTCTGCTAGAGGCAGCTACAGGGATGACAATCACATTTATTTTAACTTTCCTTCCTGGCAGGATGCGGGGTTTCCAAACCGGGCCAACAGACATCCTACTTGCAAATCCGCGTCTTTTTCTTTAAAAGCCATGGCTTGTAACTGGGCAGTGGAAACTTAAGTGAACCAAATATAAAAAACACAACCAAAGACGACTAACTGTGGATGCCATCGTTGCCGAAATCACAGGAGGCTGAATAACAGACAGGCATACCGATTGATAATGGGTCTGAAAAGGAGGCAGGAGGAAGATGTCAGACAGGCTTAAGGTGGAGAAGCCTTAGAGAATGAGTGTGGGATCTAACGCGCTCTGTTGTTAACACCGGGCTTTAGCTCGGATGAACACCAGAAGGAAAGTAAGACAAAAGTGGAAGCAGGTAAAAACCCAGACATCTTCAAAACAGGATTTGTTTCCAACATAAAAACATCCAGTCCAACAACAGACACCATTTTCTAATTATTTGTTATTTATAAATTGTTACATGGAAAACACATAAATATGGCTTGAAGGTAGTAATGAGGGAACATAATGTCAAACAGGATGATATGGGAGCACTTGGACATCATGTATGCTGCAGCATTAATTTAAATTGCATTATTTGTTAATACCTGTGTAGGCTCTGTCCATGTGTACTCCAATGTTACAACCTGCTGTCACTACACATGTAAATTATACTAAAACATGCACATGTATGTTTTGTCTTATCTGATTTGTATGAAAAAGGTTTTCACTGTAAATGAATGAACCGGTGTCAAGAAGGGAGGTTTTCTGCAGATCCGTGTCTTTATTTGACCACAGTAATATAGTACAAGTTAGTGCGAGGGCAGCCAATAATGGTGTTTTTGGATTAAGGCTGCTGCTAATTTATTCAACATTTTAATTAACTTTTTTTTTTTTTTTTTTTGCCAAATTGAGAAATTTGCTTTCCATTTCAGTATGTTCCAAAAATAGGGATTTTAGGGTTCCTGCAAAACTTGGTTCTTTGCTTTTTAGTTTGTTAAAGCCTCAGAAACAGCAACCTCTAAGCTTCTTAAAATTCTTTTTTTTTTTTTTTGTATATTTATTTATTTTTTTTGACAACTTTCTTTCCCAATAAACCCTGTAGGTTAGCCTAATGCTGTACTCTCCACTGTCACTGCAGGGATAACAGGCATGAGTACAGTACAATACAATATTACATTAACTTATATTCATATTTGTGAAAATAAGACAAGTTTTCCTTGAAACCAAGGTGAGAGAGGGTTTCTTTGTAAGTTTCTCAGAGTGGCCCCACCTACAGCTGTATGAGCAAACTTCCTTCTTCACATCTATCATATCAGTGAAATGGACTCTGTTTTTTTTTTACTTAAAATCCAATATAGATAAATATGCCTAAATATACTGTATATGCAGAATATCAGTCTTACTATACCCATATACATACGTCAGTGTATGTGCAGTGTTTCATTCATGTACCTGGAGTTTGGAAATTGATGCGTCTCATCTCCACGGGGTCTGTGGGGTGGTGGGGAGTAATGTCTGCGTTGTTGAGCAGACATTTTGTCCGTGGCTCTGACTCTTTTCTTTTGCGGCTGGAGAGTAAGACAAACAAACAGTAGAAAAAGGGGAAGACAAACAACAAAAAAACAACAGAATAACTTTTTGTGAGCACTTGATCCAGCAAAACAGTCACCACTCTCACTTAATACATTTCCTAAACAACTCAACAGCTCCAGCTGACTGGTAACCCAGCGGGTTGAGATTGCTTGAATGAAACCAAATCAAGCATTGGAGAGCTGAGAACGCGTATCAAGTGCGCAAAACTCTCCTTCACCCTCACTAATTATAGGGATCTCTTTTTTTTTTTTTTTTGCCGTGGCAGGCTATTTTGTTTTCCCCTGTAAATTGCAATAAAGTACGGCTAAGCCTTACCTGTCAGGTTTGCTGTTTCCAGAGAAAGCAATAGGAGTCAAATAAATATATAAAGATGGTGAAAACACAACACACAAGGAGAAAAGGAGAGGGGGAGGCAAGAAGAGAGATAAATCAATAGAGAGCAGTTTAAAATTCACAGGGGTCGCTGCTGGGCTCGCAAAACGCGAGATAAGGCTCATCAGCATTTGGTGGGGGGGGGCGTGTGTGTGCCTGTGTGTGAGTGTGTGCACATGTATCAGTGTGTGAACTAGTGAGTATTCAATGAAATGTGCAAGTAAGCGCATTTGTGAGCCTGTGTCTGCATGTCTATGTATGGGTGAGTGTGATTATGTGTGTGCACAAAGGACAGATACAGACGGGGAAGGGGAATGTCAGGGCCAAGGGCAGACCCGGGAAACACTATTCACCAGGGTGAGATGGAGGGGGAGATGGGAGAGTGAGGTGGAGAGAAAGAGAAGAGAGAGAAAAGAGAGATCCAAGGAGAGATGTTACTCTCCCTAACCACCAAGACGGAGGTAAGGCAAGGTCAGACAGTCAGGGATCATCTGACAGTAGCAAGCTGTACTTGTGTTGCTCACACCAGCCCTGCCCCCCTAACACAATGCAAGGATTTTCCCTGGTATGTGGGGAAACCTCTTACACCACTGCTCATTTGGGACCTGCAGTCACTGAGGCTAAAAGGTACAACTAAGAAATATTGACTAAAACTTCTGTTCCAAAGTCCCAGGACGCTGAGGAACAGTAAATTCATTTGGACTTGTAACAGGAACAGAGCTGCCTCCTGTAAGGTTGATTAAGCATGAAAGCAGAGTTTGATGTGCACCACCAGAAATTATGGTAACTAACACTAATAATTGTTATAATGACCAGTAAGGCAGTTTGGGCAACACTGGAATAATATCCATTCCAGAAATGATGGGTATTCATTTTACTGCATGCCATCTCTTGAGTGGTAGATTGTATCATCTCATCTAATTAGTGAGCACCATCTCAAAGAATCTCCTCCTCTCTTCTTTCTCCAACCCCCTCACTTCCCACAACCATCTTTTACACATGAAAAGCTCTTTCATATTTACATGCAACAATGTTGTTGGGTCATTGACTATCATGCTGCTATAAATACCAAAATAAGCCCTTCTTTCTTTTCATGCTCCCTAACATGCAATTACTTCCCAATTGCCCAACTCCCCAGTTATACTGCAAACAACTGGTTCAACATCAAATGACAAGATGATATTCCTGTGTGTTGCTGTGTTGCTGGATTAAAAAAAAAAAAAAAAAACTATTGACAATTACAGAACAGTCAACCTAATCCACTAAAAAACATGGATCACATTTATATTGTTTGTGTCTACCAGTGGGCAACAGCAGGGCACTAACTATCAATGCTAAAAGCTAAAGGTTTCAGTTCCATGCGTAAGGTGGACAGATTGGATTTTAAATATCTTTCCAGTGTCAAGCATTTTATACAGCCCACTAACCCTTCCACTGAGTGTTATTTTCATCCATCATTTGAAGTTGAACAATGTTATTTATGTACTGTAAAGTCCGTCTGCATTCACCACAAAAGCTACAACTCCCAAGCCAACTCACTTTTTATACAGGAGAATGGCGATGACGATGCAGATGATGAAGACCACAGCCAGGACTGGGCCCACCACCCATATGAGTCCGTCACCAGTCTCTACTGGCAGGGGGTCCACCACCAGCTCAGGAGTCATCACTGTGTCAGTGTAAGGGCTGGTCGCAAACATTTTCTAAACAGAAAAATAAAAAGTAAAAAAATAAATAAACTTCAGTGGAATGAATAGAGACCTGAGAGTAGCTACACTTACAGGCACAAACTGGACATAATGTGTACAGTGAGTGAATTTAACTGAACACAACCTTTAAATATGACTAAAATGTATTCAGATGAACAAAAAGGAAGTGAACTACAATTTCATGTGCAGAGCCGAATTATTAAATCCACTCCACTGAACAGAAATTGACCAAAAGTAAGCCAAATGAACTGTGCTGAACTACTAACTCACCCCGGCCGTGGCATTGAGTTCAGCCAGCAGGAAGAAGACATACTCCTGGCCAGGTTCAAGAGGCTTGTTCTCACAGCTGCTGTGGCGGTGGTCGGATCCCACTGTGAAGCTGGAGGGCAGCTGCCTGAAGCAGGCTGTGATGTAGGGCTTCCTCTGGTCCAGCTGAGCCAGCTGACGGCGTGAGCGACGCTTTGGGGTCACCTCCCGCAACAGCTGATTGATGTAAAAGGGTATTTGTTTACTTTTTGCTATTCCTTTTTCATATCTAGTTTTATCTTTGCAGTTTCTACAACATCAGTCCCAAATGACTGTTTTTTATAGTTACATTTACATTTACTCATTTGGCAGATGCTTTTATCCAAAGCGACTTACAAGCGAGGTACGACACTAAAGCTTAAGTACAGTAGGAGACCTTGAAGTATTAAATCTGTTTAATAAGACAAAGTGCAAAGAGATCAGGTAAAGAAGTGCAACAAACGTCCACAGTAAATGCTTGTTAGGCATGTTACGGTGATAGAGGTATTAGGAGAGGAGGTGAGAGAGACAGACGACCCTGATCTGATAGCATTTGGTAGCTTGTTCCACTATTAGGGAACCACAAACAAGAACAGTCTGGACTGTGATTGCCTCGTGCGCAGGGGTGGCAATGCCAGACGGCCTTCCTTGGAGGAGCGCAGTGGCTGAGAAGGAGCATAAGCCTTTTACAAGTCCTTTTTACGAGGACTAACACCAGAGAGCAATTAAGTCTGAGCTAGTAATGTTTTTTGATGCTGTCTAAGGTTTCAAAGGTTTCCAGATTAAAACATGTCCAAAACTGTCAGATATGACAATCACATGAGATTTGTCAATTTGTCATCAGTAAGTGAAAGTCTTTTAGAATTATTAAGATACAAAGTCTTTTTATGTTCAGTTCAATAAAGCGTTTGGAGTCCCCCTCACTCCTACTGATAAAAATTTGTAATTTGGCAAGATGAAGGGTTACCACATTTTCCGATAAAGAAGTTACTTGAGGATCTAAGAGACTGTTCTGTGCAAGAACTTGACCCCTCTCCCTGGACTGCCTGAGATCAAAGAAACAAAAAAAAAAACTTTAGGTGCAACTGCACCCGCAGATTCAAAAAGCTGCTAACTGTCTGGCAAAGTTTCATGTAACCAGGATCCCACCCCCTTAACATCCAACCCCTCTCATTCACTTCAAACTGCAGACAGAGGCAGGCACTAAGCAGAGGGAACTTGTGTAATCCCCAATCCAATAGGGATGGTTGCTGTTGATCTGGCGCTCAAGGTGACCCTGAGCTACGGGAAGAGTGGGAGAAGACTGTGTAAATCTCTCTGCTGTATGCTTGGGGGGATAAATTAGCATAGCTGAGATGTACTTATGTCTGTGTTGTGTGTGTTCCCATGTCTGGTGCATGGTGTATACAATGCAATTTGCCTAGCGCATGCAACCGCTCGTAACACAAACGTGTCTCTGGAATCCCTCCCTGAAAACACACAGTTTTGCCAACAGAGAGAGAAAAAAAAAAAGAGGATAGTCTCATCAAAAAATGAATGTGTTGCTGAAGGTTTGAAGTTGCCTATTATATCTACATACTGTATGTTATTCTTCATTCTGTTTGACCCAGCACTCCCATCAACACAACCTAATCACTTTTTGTGTGCCAGTTTAACACCAGGCCTCTACTGTTGAAGATCATACCTCTTCCATGTCCATCTCATCAGGGTTCTTCAGGTTTTTAACAGTTCCAGAGGTCCTCTTAAGTGGCACCACTACCACATAGAAGTTCCTGGAAACACAGCCAAAAAGTAAATATTGTATGGCAGTTTATATTAAAACATTTACCACCACCACCACCACCACCACCACAGATTGACAGGAAATTGATGTGGTAATTCAATACTTGCAAGAGTTCTAGCAATTATTGGCTTGTCTCAAAAATCCTCAAAGATCAACTCCAAATTCAACACATCTCAGACATCTTGAGATTTCAATCCATATTGCATCAGATCTCAAGTATCCGGAGACTTAAACCTAAATGCTCCCATCCTCAAAAGTAATTCAGACAAAGCTTGCAACATCTTTCAGCAAGCTATACTCACTTGACATCCTTGGCATCGACCGGTGGGAAGGACATGGTGAGCATGTTGTCAGGCTCGCCGTAGATGTCCAGCTTGGGTTTCTTTACCAGGATGAGTGGCGCTGTCCTGGCCACCACCCGGTGTCTTGGCCCACCATCCATGCTTTCTTGGCAGGTCACCCTGAACTCGTAAGTGGTGTTGTGCCTCAGCCCAGTGACGAGCACCCTCATCTGCCTAGCATCCACATCCATCTTCTGACGGTTGTATTCAATCTAGAGTTCAATAGATGGTGAAGAAGTTGAATTGATAACTAGTAGGAGGGATAAGTTGGATGTATTACTCTGGTAGGTTCAACACATTGGTGGTTGAACAGGCACGGATGTAGGTAAGAATAGATGTGCATTTTGATGATTACGTAAGTGAAGAAATGGGGATGATGGAAATGAGTATGATTGGGAAATGCAAATGACAAATGCATAAAAAACTGCACTAGTGTAAAATCAAGCCATTTTCAATTTCAGAAAAAAACGGATGAAAATAAGTTCTTCAGAGTGGGATTTTCAAAATGTTTTGAAATTAAAATGCCACTCATGTATCAGCTGGAGGATTTTTTTTTTTTTTAAATCCATTAACTCACCGTGCATTTGTATGGAGACCTGCCCTCGGAAAACTTCCATGCAAGGACCACTGTGGTCTTGGTAGCCCACTTGACAGTGAAATTCTTTGGGACATCTGTTGAGTGGACAAATGCAAGAAAAACAAACAAAAAAAAACAGTGTATGTTCAGTGAGTGGAACATGTAGATAGACAAAGGAAAGAGAAACAAATGAAGAACCTTTGGTTTAAAAAAACAAAACAAACAAAACTGTTGTTTCCCTGGAACGTTCCTTCGGGTTGTAGAGTGAGTGTAACGGTGAGCTGTGATTGGCTGTGAGAAGGGCAACGCCATTGGTTAAGACACACAGCACGGAAGACTCATGGACGACAAACCCATGGAGCACAAGGGTGCGCCCACTGGCTAGCTATCGTGGGTAGTGCCAACCCCTCTCACCACTGACTTTGAACCCATGACCACTTGAGGATTAACGACTGACCCATGTGGTCTCAATGCCAACTGTTCCTACACCTCTACTGAGTCTGGGTTGGCACTGCCAACGTGCTGCCAGGCAGGCATAGACACAAACCCAAAACACAGCATGCCAACAGTCCTCAGCAGTGCATCTGGGGGATGCCATGCCACAAGCTGTCCCCTTAAGGGACAGAGGAAAGGAGGAGGAGGAATTAGGAGAGGGAGGGAGTTAGGAAGGGAGGAATATCTCAAAAACAAACCCAAAACGAAAAATAAAATAAAGAACCAAAATCTACTTTCTGTCATCTTAGAATAGTCCAAACATACTCTTGTGACTGGGTTTGACTGAGGTCCTACCTTGTTTGAAAACTGGGGATGTGAGATGACATTAGCTGCGTGAGTGTGCTTGGCAAAGGGCTGCAAGGATGACTGACAGGATTGTCTGATCAAACAGCACTTACCTTGAAATTCTACGCTGCTTTCCTCTTTCTCAAAATGACTGACTATAACTTACTGACTTGTGTTTTACCTTAATCGGGTTAGTGAGGTGAGTATCCCACGGCAAACAATTTCAATATCAATTTTTTTCTGTTTCTTGAGGAGAAGTGGAGGTAGTTGAAGGAGGGGGTGGGGCAGTTTTCATTTTTGTGTTGTTGCAGATTGTTTTTAGCCAATTTCCAACCCCCTGCCAACCTGGCTGGGAAAGAAATAGGCAAGCCCTACCTGCTGGATCAAAGGCCACCGTCCGATACTGGATAGGAGGGCTGTAGGGCCCTGGACCTACACTGGTGTGCGCACGTATTTTCACATCGTACGCTGAGTTCGGTTTGAGGCTGTTGAGCACGTAGCTGGACAGACTGGGAGGCAAGCGTAGCTCCCGCGGTGCTCCTCCGGCACCGGCTTCTTTATACGCCAAAGTGTACTCTGTGATTACCCCATTCCTCTCCGCCAGCACTGGTGGAGACCAGGACAGCTGCACTGAGCAGCACGTCACATTGGAGCCCTCATTAATTTGAGGGTATCCCCCTGGTGTATTCTCGGGCACATTCAGTTCCACAACAGCCTCTTCTCCAAAGCCCCCCCTGCTCTTGGCTGAGATTTTAAAGAGATAAGTGGCCCCCCGGTGAATGTTGCCCACAGAGTACTGTCGTTCTTGGGGCGCAAACTCCAGTGTGGCCAAAGGAGAGACATCTTTCCGGCCAAACTGGAGCCGGTAACCCTGCAGGTCCATGCCATTGGTCAGGTCTGGAGGGTCCCATCGAACAACAGCTGATGACTCCGAGTCCTGAACCACTGACAGATAGGGTGGACCTGGCACTGTAAAGAAATAAAACAAGTCTTAATTTCTGTGCTTTCCAGTTAAAAGAACATACATATCATTAAAGTGACAGGCTTTAATACTACATATGGAGATGTTAATTACAAACTGAACAGACTATTAGTGCTGTTTAAAAATCACTTTTGTTAAGACATATTACAGTCCCTTTCAAAAACAATCAACAAAACCATCAAACTAAAAATAAGTTTCTTTTAAAAATCATGAAAGAAGGATTTCATTCCTCTTTACGTTATCAAGCAAAATGTACCTCAGACCTAAATGGGTAACAGCAGAAGTGTGCATGTTTCACAAGTACAGCACTGACTGTATGTATACACCATTTCAATGCCGTTTAGATAAAAACATTAGAGACTGAAGTCCTGACAGTGTTGCTAGTGATACCTAAGGTATACTGCCGAAACATTAATTTAACATGGAAAACAAAAACCTGTATTAGCCCTGCCCAATTATACTGGTTCAATAAAAGAATCAAATATTCTTAGTGGCTATGGTAAATATTAACAAGATTACAGAGTCCACACTTACAGTACCACTTTATATTTCAGCCATCCATCAGTTAACATCCTAACTGAGTCAGGTTGTGTTGCATGGAGATATGGAAGGTCCTCAGAGCCTTTTAATTCTTGAGTGATCGCTGTACCCATTACCATTTCATGACAAATGCAAGATCCAGCCAAAATCATTTCTGTACTGCAAAGCATCACTAAAACTTTAAGCAGAGAACAGTGCCTCTTTCAGCGGTTAGAGTCATCTCTTGTTGTAAAATGGATGATCTACACTTGGGGTCTAGACACCATTCTTCAGAGTGGCCCAGTTTTGCTGCTCTTATGGATGACATGCGTCTCATCTTAACCCTCCTTTTAAGGCCCCATCAGTGTGATAGAAGCAGCAGCAGTTATGGGAAACCTTCAGTTCTCAAGTTGCCGTCAAAGCTTTGTGAGCAATGAGTGTGGCTGATTCGCACTTGAGCCCTGTCCCTCTGTAAATAGATTCTATCATGACTTACTCATCTACAGTACATCCCTCTCTCAGAAATACAAGGCACTGGCAGGACAGATAACTGTTCAACACAAGTGAGGTTACAACTGCAGACACACATGCCGTTAGTGCTCCTGTTATTTTTGTAATATAAACCTGAGTGAATAATATAAACCAGGCAACAGAGCACTTTCAGTTTATTCACTGTAATCAATTTAATTTCATGCCTCTACATGAGATTGTGAGACCACTGGTGAGAAGATTGGCTATCTCTGTGTATTTCTGAAAAAAAAAAAAAAAGAAAAAAAAAAGCTTGCCAACTGGGTCGGCATCAAATTGGTTGGTCCTGGCAGTGAGAGCTTTCTCAGCATAAATTAAAAACGCTGAATAAGCTCAATGCAAATCATCAACTAGTATACTGTGTAACATACATTTCATCACTATCTTAAGCAGCCGCAATTATGGACACATTTGCCCTCTTTTTCACTATGTAACGCTACGTGAATTTAAATTGCAGCATCTTTTTGAACCTTCTTTTCTTACAACTTATCTCTTATGTACATCTGTTTGTTCAAATCTTTGTGCATAATTGGCATCGTGGACGAACATGTACATATGTGTGTGATGGTATAGGCGCCAGTTTTCTGCCAGCTCCAGCTCCTATATCACTATTCCAGCTGCACACAGAGCTGCTTGGCTTGTTGCCCAGTATGGACTTAAAGTAATTTGGGGAAGCTAACATTAGTCTGAGGCAACAGCACTCCCTCTCAGTGGAATAGTATCATTGTGCATGTGTGCGTCTGTGTACATGTGCCTACATATCTACATATAGTATAGGTTTCTGTCCCGAGATTCAAGTCTTAATGTGCGCGTAGTTAAAACACACACACACACACACACAAAAAGCAATCCACTCCGAACAGTCTCCTCCCTCTGCTCGTATTATTCATTTCCGTTTGCTAATGGTCTTCTTTCTGAAGACTGTTGCCAGAGGAAGAAGGAGGTGGGTGGGTGGGTGGGTGGGTAGGTGGTGGCTAGTCAGCTGAGCCTTTGCCGGTAATGGAAAGGTGGGGGCGCTGAGTGCTGGGCGAGACGAATGCTCCTAATACTCCTCAGCTATATACTATAGCTCAGCTTGGTGTCATTTAAAAGCCCACTCTGCCGTCATGCTCGCCACTAATCAAGGAAATAGAATCAGAGATAATGATCCTGTGATGACTCTGTGTGAGTGTGTGATATCCATTCTAAATTTCCGCACTTTGCTTCTAACCTCAACAGGCTACCATATGTATCCATTATTCAAACTTTGTATCCCTGAAACTGTGGTATTATTTGTACATTTAAAACAGTGGCCTATTGCACACTGGGGAGAGGGATCACGACTACTGAGCCCGCAGATTGGTGTTGGAAGGATGTGGGGCACAGGGGGGGTTGTTCGTGGTGTGTACAGTGTGTGTGTGTGTGTGTGTGTGTGTGTGTGTGTGGTGCTACAGAGTGTTGAGAGAGAGAGAGAACGAGGGCATGGTGAGGGGGTGAGAAATGAGTGAATGAGGGATGATGAAGGTGACGGGGGACAAGGAGCAATCTGCTGCGGAGAGGGCCCAACAGGGATATGAGGAGGCAGAAATGTGTGTGTGACTTTGTGTGTGAGTGTGTACATGAGCAATTCTGTGGTTCTTGGACACCTTGATTGTCCCTCTCCTTCTCTTCTCAGTGTTCATCTCTCTCTGCCCTTACAGTCTCCCTTATTCTTTCCCCATCTCTCCAATTCCGTCCTTGTGCACTGCCCAATCCTAAACCCCCCCTCCACCCCTCCTCTGTATGTCTATTTCAGGGTCGATCCTGGTTCAATCCCTCCTTGTGGGCCTCCCAGCACGCTTCCCATCAGGCCACAGTATTAACAGCCTGCTGTTGACACACTCTCAGCCTGATTGAGAAAGGGGTGATCAAGTTACCTTCTCATTTCCTCCCTCTCTTATGCATGCCACACATCTGTATGCACAGCATCATATGCATACAAGCAAACATATTACCCCTGTACTTGTCCGCAAGGGACACTGTGCATATGTATGTGCAGTTTTAAATAATTTTTTTCACCGGGTCTCTACATCAGAAAAAAACTCCCACTGATTAACCTGCGGCTATAGCCCCGTCTAGTGAGACTTAACATATCTGAGGACATGTGTGGGGGGAGGTATGAGGTCCTTTTTAACCTTCAAAGTCATGACGAATACATCATTCTCACATTTTCATTTTCCTCTGCTTTTAATTTAGTCTGCTTACCGTAGGAGTGCATGTGTGTGTGTGTGTGTGTGTGTGTGTGTGTGTGTGTGTGTGTGTGTGTGTTTGTGTGTGGCAGGGGTTCTTGGAGGGAAGTAATTTGTAGGGTAGGAAATGTCATGGAGTCAAATCTGCAACAATTTTCACATGCCCCATTTGAAGAGCTAGTGCTATTAAAGAAAGCTAGTGACAGAGAGAGAGAGAGAAAGAGAGAGAGAGAGACAGAGAGAGGGCGCCATTACATTGATGTTTTCTTGCTGGATCAAAATAATGATCAGGAAGTTACTAAACATGCAGCGAGGGGATTGGAGCTGATGTCTGATGTTTCAAGTTAGCTGTCTGCAGCCAGCATTGGAATAAGTACCCGTACCATTTTAAACACGCACACATGCATCCCTGAGCATCCTTTTACAGGATGCAGCAGTCCCAATGCAGTGCTGTGATGTGCTTGGGTGATGGGAGTTTGTGAGCTGACAAGATGCTACAAGGGCAGGATACCCCACTAATGTCTTCAGAGCCTGTCTAACAACAGTGTGACTGAGTTCATTTGAGTCTACAGTATATCCACTTTGACTTGCAATACAATTAGTGAATAATGCAAACCACTTAACACAATTACATAGCAGAAATAAAACCTCCAAATATAATTGCATCTCTCCGTCCATCATTGCAAGTCTGTACAAAACAATACACAGTGAGTGCAACTTCTTAAATACTAACTGGAAAAAAAACTGTGCACTATCAACATGAGTAAACTGTATATTACTCTATATACCGTAGTGTAAACTTTCCAGGATTAGTAAGGATAGATCTAGAAAAATTTATCAGCATTACCTTGCTTTCTGAGTTTTTAAATATTAAAGCTTCAGATACCTTTTGCTGATATCTGGGGTCACCAAGACTGTGGGAAGTTGCAAAATGTAGTTTTGAATTATTATTATCATTATAGGCTTAATAGATTGTTGCTACTTCCACTTATGAACCTTTATTTTATGATTATACTGCTCCCTAATAAGATGGCCAAGTCTCCCCTCCCTTATATGAGGATCTACACACAGATTAGCCATCCTCGTGGGGCATTTATCTCTGACTTTGCATGTCATAATTTTATATTTTTCATAAGATTTCTTTCGGATTTTTTCCTTGTACTGCTCAGAGGGTCTCAAGTCAGAGGTGTTGGGAAGCCCACTGCATATGCTACGTATAGAATCTACGAATCTTTGTAAGATGTTGTTTTATTTTGTTTTTAGGTTGTTGATCTGTTAGTTTTTTGAAAACTTTCTTATAATGGAGCACTAAATACATTTTCCACCTCATCGTGAACAAGGAAAGAAGGTCAAAAGAATGGTCATCGATTGCTGCCTCCTTTTAGCCTGGTAAAAAACTTCTTAATGGGCAGATGAGATGGCAGAATAACAGTTTCAGACAAAGATTTTAATCTTTTGTCAATAAAGATTCCTTTAAGCATTCTGAAAAACTTCTTTCATCGGCCACGGTTAAGTTTGTTCCTCAAAGGAAGAGTTTGAAAAGTATGAATCATGAAAAGACACTTTTGAAACTTGGCTTTCATTTAGCAAACAAGGACAGTTCTTGCAACAGAATAAATGTTGTTTTGTCTGTGACTCACAAATAAATGTGCATTTTTACCTGTTTTTATATCCTGGAAAATCTGCCGATAGAGTCTTTTGGATACTTTCTGATGCACCAAACTACCAGTGAGGCTTGTTGAAATGTTTGGAATATGAAAAGACTTTGCCACTGATGTGAATGGAATTTTAAGTGGCACAAATATATACTCCCTTTGTCACCATGCTCTATATTGATGTTGCTTTTCAGGCCTTTTCCTTTTTGTTTCCTCAACAGAACAGGACTATGACGTCACAAGTATCTGGAGGCAATTGCTTCTCTTTAAGTGCATGCTTGTCTGTAACAAGAAATGAGCAGTTGCATAAGTTATGTGTGTTTGTGTGCGTTTTAAAAATGCATACATGCATTCATGTGGTTGAATATTTCATTCATTTGCATCACACTTTTAATGTGTGCCAGTGTATCGGTGAGTTAACTGTAGAGTAAACTGCATGAAAGAATGTTTTTTTGCGGAGGACAATTAAACATCAGTTTGTATGGTGGAGAACATGAATGTCAAAAGTCATACAGTAAACATCTGCATCATACCTTATACAAACAATTTTTTAGAATGTATTCCATTATATACTGTGTCAAAATTAGGATATGTGTTTTCTGTATGTAATCATATCAAGAAATTGCTATACTGTAGTTAAATGGCAGCATAATACAATAATATGTGAAAATAGGCAAAACTAAGTAAAAAATGTAGGTGCACCCATCAAGTTCAGTTTTAACATTACATTTATTACATTTAAATTTTTAGGAATTCAGCTAGCAGACTATAAGAGTGAATTGAAATCAGTGAGAAAAAAAGGGCCTTGTTGACTGGTACACCTCCTGTGGAACTAATGTATAATCTGATGATTTTGTCTCATTTGTTCCTGTTGTTCATGTTCTCTTTATAGCTTGGAAATTCTCTAAAGCTGTCCAGTACAGTTAAGCTTTCTCTGGAGGAAAGAAAAAGAGAGACATTATACAAAAGATCTGGGCTTCTTTCTGAAAATTAAACTAATTTTTAAACTCACTGACATTTCACAAAGTCCCTAAAGAGCATTAAAAAAATCTCTTTTGTTCACTGCCTGAAACAGATCTCAGGAAATTCCTCGGTATTTCAGAAATCCCATAACCAGTGGGATCCCTGCTATTCACTAGGCCATCCTGACATCCCTGAGACAACCACTTCACCTCTGAAAAAGGCAGCCGAGGCTCGTCTTCTCCCCACCTCTCACCCCTTCCTCTTCTCTATTTATCTTGGCCCCCTGGCACAAACCATTTCTTTACACTTCAATAATAAAAAAGGAGAGGCTTTCCGTCTGAGGGACAGGCTGAGTGCGTTAGACTGGCATATCAGTCAGCCGGCCCTGACAGGAGGATGGAGAGTGACAGCGCTCACTCAAGCCCCTTTGGCAGAGTCGCGCTCCCTGACACCTGTAACACACACACCTGACCGGATCTGGGAAATTTGCCTTTGTTTGTGTGTGTGTGTGTGTGTGTGTGTGTGTTGGGTTGCGAGAATGTGTTGTGTGTGTATTGTTTTGTGATCTTTTTATTATGACTGCGTGCATGTTATGGCTGTGTGCATGCACAGTGGTGGATGCAATGCCACAGTATAGATCCGCATATACTGTATGTGTGTGGCGACTGCACGTGCTCATGAGTAAGTGTGAGTGACTAGGTGTTTATGCAAGTGTGTGTGTGTGTGTTTGTGTTTGTATAAGTATGCATGCAGTTGTGTACATATTGGCTCTCTGAAGCCTCCCAAAGCCGACTGGCACAGATGCTCCCACAAAAGGATGCTCCTATATTGGCTTTACGCCTTAAATTCTCTCAAAGAAGGCTTTCACACTCTCAGGCAGCCAGCCTCACAGGTTTAGATCATGTTTATGGTAACTCAACTGCTAGCGTCCAAACAGGCTCAAGTGGTCCAGTTTAAACTGGTGTGCCCAGTGGTGGCAACAAAGCAAAAAATCTGAAGGTAAGACTTTTTGTAGTGTGCAGGCTTTAGCCTCCAGAATTTCATCCTTAAAGCTCAAACCAAAGACCCAACATCTGCTTTCAAGCTGTCATAATCTGACTGAAAAATCTCCAAGTATCTCACACTTACTCCTTGATCTCTATAAATATTTGGACAGTCTTCTGAACATGAGTGAAATGATAAATACTACCTTTACAGACACAAACAACTCTAAGTAACTAAACCGTTCTTGAATCTAGATATAGCTCAGATTGGTTCCATTTGGAAAAATTTCTTGAATGACTGTTAACTCAACATGTATTTCTGGAGCAGAAGTCTTAATACGAGATATATTATTTAATAAGGACACCTAATACATTTAATTAAATGTCAGGAATTCATGCATTCCTTGCTTTTCCAAATCCTCCGACTGTTTAGATCAGTTAAATGCACCACATTGTGAATAAGGGCCTCTTCGATGCTGTTTATCACAAATGGTAGCTGAGCAGTAACAGCTGTATGGGAATGATGAGGAACCCCCCCCCCCCCACACCCCCCACAAGCAAGTTACCCTTCAGCCACAGGCCGAAAAAAGTATATGTTGCCTTTAATACTGCATGAACAGAGGCTGTACATGCCAAAACAAACAAATAACTGATTCGTCCTTATACTGACCTGCCCCTTTGGTCACCACCAGTTTGGGTTTGCTCCGGGCTCCATCCCCTTTGGTGGTGTACGCTGCCACCGTGATGGAGTATGTGGTGTCTGGCTTGAGTCCTCCAATGACCATTTCCTATGGTAGACAATGTAGAGACAGGAAACACGAAAATGTCAAAATGCGTCTGGAATATTTGATGATTTTGCCCCAGTTCATGCAGCTGAAACTGCTTTACACAGAATGTTAATCTGAGTGAAGTGTGTCCTGGTCCTCTTGATTAATTTTCACGAGGCATGCATTAAATGTAACGTTTTCCCCTGTGTAATGGGAGACCACTCCATTAGGTAAATCCTTAGCGTTGCCTATGTGGAGGAGAGACATTAGATATGTAAATGGAAAGTAACCCCCCCTTACTTCTCTAGCAATATTCCAATCAACAACTTAACTATGTGATGAATGTATGCTGAATACATCCTAGTAATTCGCTGGCAGTTTTTACCTCAGCCATTAAGTTTCTTGAGTCCTCTTCAAAGAGAGGCTTCCGATCAATTCTAATGAATCTTTCAAAGGAGCAGGTTTGAACGAACACAGAATGAGGTTTTTAACGGGCTGGTTGGCTGGAGTGATGGGAGAGGTCAATAAAGGTAAATGAGCTATAAGTACTGTCTTGCACTTGAGATGGTATTCACGTAATGTAGAGGCACTGGGGTTTCAAATTTGAGTTCAAAATAAGGGTACACTTTGCTGCCAAAAAAATAAATAATTAAATCTGCAGTTGTGAATCATCACCATGAGATGTGGTGAAGATTTTACAGGAGATTTCACGGATCATACATGGACATTATTTAAACTACTGTCTCAGTATTTTTAATGAATGAGAAAGTGTATGAACTTAGAGCATGATAGTAAATCTAAGGCAAAAATTAAAAAATAGTTTAAAAATCACACAGAAAAAAAAAAACAACACACACACACACACACCACCAGAGCACAAGACAAAACGTACTGCATAAACACACAGCGAGACACTAGTAGCATTAGCATTCCAGGCACAGTGGGCAGTGGATATTGCATCAGCCACCATTTTGTAGAAGCCAGACGGCAATAGAAGTTTGTCCTTTTTCCCTCAGTGGCATATAGAGATAGCGGAGAGGTTGGCTGGCCAGACAGCTGAGGTGAAACCTCTGAGCCACTTTGCTATCCAAACTTATTGAATAAAGATTGGAGGGGCTGTGTAAATTGTGAATCCAACCAGGTTGATGCAATACCCGCTGTTTATACCCTTTCAGCTACACAAAGCACTCAGGCGAAACTTCGTACTCACATATTCAGCTGTATCGTCCGTTTCCCACTAACCCCCCCCCGCCAAAGAGGAGAGTGCAGGAGAGAAAGCAATATTTTTTTTTTCAAAGAAAGAGAGAGAAAAGAAAGGGAAGAAATAGGATTGTGAGAGACGGGGGCATTAGAGGTTTGGGAGCAGAGGGTTGGTATCAGAAATAGGTCACTGGTTTTGTGAGGTCAGGAGAAAGAGAAACTGTTTGAAGCTTATGTTATGAGGAGCAGCTGAAACAAGGCTGAGAGTTGTGCGGGTCTGCCTGTGAGGCCTGGAGATGTTTAACCATGTTACTGTGCAGCTACTGATGAACTACCTCAATGTTAAATCACAGACAGCTACAACCAGTAGTAACATTAAAACGTAGCTTTTAATGGTTTAAAGATGAGGTCATTTTTAAATATACAAACAAAAATCTGCAACTAAAAAGATATTCCTGCCTGCCATTCTGTGTTGACTGCTGGGTGAGAGCACTGATTTGGATGTTATAATTTCAGTGATTTAAGATCATTTCTCCTCTTTGATCCGTTGGACGGCTACATGCCAAAAATGTAAACGTGGCGCTGGTGGCATTTGGCCTGAATGGCTCCTTCATTCATGTGCAAAAAATAGACTTTGATTCATTCATTCCCAAAAAATGTAGCATTGCATACAACTATTCTTTTCTGTCTTGTTTACCCTATTGCTTCAAGGCTATAATTTCCATTTGGATGATTGCTACAGTGCACAACAGTCTCACTTTGGCAGAATTCATCCAACACTGTGTTGATGGTTTTGTAAGTTTTGTAAAAAAAAAAGGAAAAAAAAAAAAAAAGAAAAAAAAAAAAAAGAAAGAAAGAAAAAAGGCCATTGTAAAAGGCTCCATTACAATTCTATCTGTCAGTGGAGGCTGATTTTTGGTGAAATGTTTTCATGCCAATTTTACTTTCCTGCCCCAGGCACAGAATACTATAATCAGCATTTTCTTTGAGTCTTTGCGTTTGATACAAGCACACAATCAGACATTTCATGGCACATGTTGCCATAAAGCAGGGGTCTAGACATTCCTAATAAAAGCCATGGAGGCAGAAGAGGGAGGACAAGATGAGTGAAGCTTTGATTACAGTTCTTGTTGTGGGCTGAGGGGGAAAAGAATATTACAGCAATATGAAATGAAATCCAAGAGGGGGAGAGCAACCTATCGCTTTCTCATACTCCAGCAATATTTGCACAGACACAACAGGTGAGGATGAGGCACACCATTTGCGACCTATGTCAGAAAAAAAGTTGGCCAAAGCTTCTTTGATGTGCCCATTGAGATTTTAATCATTAAATCGGTGTAGCAGTGTTGAGTTATAATGCTACTTAACTAGTAAAGTGTTTCTGTGTCATGATTGAAAAATAGATTCAAAGGCAGACACGGGCGTGTGTGCAATTTCACGTGAGCAAAAACTGCAGTGATGCGTACGGTTTACATTCTTCTAACTGACTTTGACTGAGGAAGCTGTGAGATGGTCATACCTGGGCATCAGCCAGCATGACGTCCTTGATGAGGGGCAGGCCCCTTGACTCCCCATTTTCCACACGCACATAGTGAACTTGGTAGCCACGGATCTGACCGTGCTGCTTGCCTGGGGTCATGGAGCGCCACATCACCTTTAGCGCTGTGGAGTTGAGGACCTCCACCTCCACCCGCCTTGGAGGAGCCCCTGGAACTATGGGTAACAAAGATGAAAACTCAAATAAGAATCATTTTTGCAAGAAAAAAAAATTCTGATCTACTATTTTCAAATATTAGTGGAAATGTCCCTCTTTCAACAGCTGCAATAAACATACAGTGCGTTGTCTCGGTGCAATTTCTCCAAATCCTTCACGCTATTTATAGGAGCAATGCAAGATGAGAGATGCACATAAAACTGTGTCATGACATTAATAACACCCTGACACACACATGCACACACAATATCCATAAAACATACTGACAACTGGCAAGAATAATAGACAGAGACATTAAAATATAAAGAGAAACACAATCCTGTGTCAGTCTCTCCACAAAACCATATCCACCCACCACAAACACACACACACACACAACCACTTTTCCTCATCTCCTCCACCTTTTCAATATATGTCTGCTGTGTCTGTCTGCCATCAATGGGAAGCCTTGCCTTTCAGTCATAATGACAGGCTTTTGTGGAAGGCACCGCTTCCAGGCCTTTTGGTGTGCCGCGGACTGGCTTTTTTCTGAGAAGGATGTGCCATTAATAAAACTCTTCCACTCAAACTGCCTCCATTTGCTCCTCCGCAAACACTTAAAGTCCCGCTTTTCCTCCCTAAATCACAACCCCATTCTCCCCCCCTCCCCCCTGTCTTCCCCAGGATCATTCACCAATCTTGTTTATTGCCAAAATCTTTCCTACCTTTTAGCCCCGGCTCTTATTTCTCTACATGGCACTTCTTGGTCACACGTTATTATCGTAATGACACCAGAAAATTTGTTACAGCTCTTGTCAGTGTGCTGTGGCTTTCACCTCTGCAAACCCTGATACCGTTGTGTTTTAAAACAGGCATGGTATGAATTTAAGCTTGCCTCTCCTGTTGTGCTCACTGTACATCAGTGTCAGAAAAAATGCTTTAAAATGCTGTGGTAATGGACGTGAAAGGGATCCTGGAGAACAGAAGCCAATGTCGGCCATCCATCAATGATTCTGACTGTGACATGCTCACATCTTTACTTGTCAGCTTATGTATTTTATTGTTCAACTGCTTTGCTCATTTGTCATTTACTTCCTGCTATCCGACTCAGCTGTGTGATGTTTACTTTTTATGTGCTTGTTTTTTTTTTTTTTTTGCAAGCATCTTGGCTCTTCTGTCTTTTTCAATTTTATTTGTGCCAAACTGGTACACAGTTGTCGCACACACATAGAGGAGTGACCAGCTGTGCACAGAAGCAAAAATCTGTTTGTGGGTAAAGTATTATACTGTTTTCCAGGGAATGTCAACTGAGCCTATTTTCTCTTTTTCAAAAGCACCTTGGTTAACACTCTCATACAGTGACACCCATTACCAGGCTCTGCGTTTCAGTGGAGTAGGTCAGGCCTGAGTACTACGCTCCAGAGCACCACAACAGTAGTTAAGTGAGGCCTGCGAGGGTGTTATTAATTCTTTTTTTCTTTTTTTTTTTTTGTCAACCATACTTTCCTGCCAGGGGATTTGTGCTGCAACCTTAGTGGACTCACACCTGCTTCTTTAATGTCCAGCCTGCTGTTTCCACCATAAAAGCACAGACAGATATGGCCTTGCAGTGTAAAGCACTCACAAATGCTTATGGCTCTCAACTGAGCAGCGAGATACAGTTAAAAGCCTACAGATAGAGGCAGGATATGGGATGTGGTAGTTATTATGAATTACATTTGGTTAGTTATGTTTTATTACCATCACACTTGATTTCCCAAGTGTGTTGTGCATTTTAAGTGTTTTACTTTCATACAGTTTACACAGCTATATGTGGTCCTGTTACTTATGGATAAAGATGTAGGTATGCTCCTGAAACCAAGCAACTACACATTAGAGACTCGTGTACCGTCTTCGTCTGTCCGGCAGATCAGGGGCTCGCTCTCAGGGCCTGGCCCGATCACGGTGAAGGCGGACACAGTGATGCGGTACTGGGTCCACTTCTCCAATCGCTGCAGCAGCACCTGCTCTTCGGTGGCAGGCACCGTCGGCTCCTCCGTGGGTTCGCTGTCGTCGCTGCCGCCTTCTGACGGGGCCACCACCTGGTAGTGCACCCTATACCCCGCCAGGACACCGTTCTGACTCTTCAACGGTGGGGGGCGCCAACTTACCAGCAGGGTGGTGGAGCTGGTGGTGCTGCACTTAATGTCTTGAGGGGGGGCTGAGGGCTCTGGTGGGGTGGAAAGGACAGGAAGGGTGGGAGTCGAGGACGAGGAGTTTGGGGGAGGAGGAAGGGAGGGTTGAAAAACAAAAAAATAAAAAGATGGGAGAGATAAAGAAAATGATAAAAGGAAAATTCAAAACTCAAATAAAAACTATAAGAGTAATTCAAACAAAAAAAAAATTGCAAAGCAAAGACGGAAAAATAAAAAAAACAAGCAAATGTCGACAAAAGAGGCATAAATGGACAATGGCACAAGCTTGTGTAATAATGAATCAAGATGGCTACCCTTGTATAATAGCTAGGGACATGCAGGCACATTTGGTTCTGGTACAGGTTTTTTTGGTATTATCAAAAGTTTTATATATAAACCTGACATTTTTCAGACTTTTTGACAATCTCCATCCTTACGTACAACAGAAGCTATATGTCTGTCATGTAATGTATTACCATGTAGGCCGTGGGGGATCTGACACTGTCTTGCTCATGCCATCCTTGGGAAAGCTTTCAGTTAATATTCTAAACCTGAGACACTTTGTTATCCACAATCACTACTTTCACAGTGCAGTGCCAGATGGACAGGGATGAATGTATCCATTGTGCATTTTATTTTCAAGCACTGAACTGAGGTTTTAGTTCTTTACCAATTTAAACTAGCAACCGGATAAAAATGGCAGTCATGAGTACTGAACCCCTAATTTTCCCCTGCAGGGTCTCTGCAATTACTACTACCATTAAGACACTGGGCTGTCTATATACAGTTTAATAACATACTGTCATGTCAACAAAGCCACCATAAAAATGAGATGAATATAAATAAATTAAAATTTGTTTAGTGTTAATGTGCTTTGTTTGTGTGTTTCCTTCTTTGTCTTGGTAATAGCATCCATCCTTACCCCGAATGAGGACAATTAAATAATCGATTGAAAAACAAAAGTAATTTTGTACAGGAACTTTCAGTTAAATTAACACAAGCTAAAAAAAAAAAAAACAATTTCCGAAGTATAATCTAGCAGGGAGGTGTCATAATCTCTCCTTTTTAATTTTTTTACAGTATAAATGCTTTCCAACATGGTGGCTGTTCCAAAACATATTAAAACCTACACATCTGTGAACTTTCTAAATGCCTCTTGCGGCTAATCTGTGCCAAGCTCTTTCACAGCATGTGCTTGTCTAGAGAGTGCTGTGCATGGAGTGATAAAATGTTCTCATCACTTCTCATCCAGCGTTTGGTATTATACTGTACGTACAGAAGGACATGTATGAAAGTATTTCTATCCAAGTCAGGTTTCCTCTATCCCCTACACAAGAATCTATTGTGTCCATCTTGGTGTTACAAAACCCAGTTCATTATTACATTTTTGTCTGTCATGTAAGGAAAAAAAAAATTGCACGGTAGCCAAAAACAAAATGAAATACTATCGAGGGGGAAAAAAAAAAAAGGCATCCCACACACAGCAACTTAGGAAAAGAACTAAAATGAAACCAATGGAAACAGGCAGCATGATCTCATTCCAAAACAAAGGCTGAAGAAATAAATTATGAACTGAAGGAGGGTACTGGGAAATGAATTTCTCTGTAACCCAGGTGACTCGAAAGAAAGAACCACAACAACAGTTAAGGTTCAAAATGACAACTCATGAGAAAACATGAAAAAACACGATACTCAGCATAAACAGAAAATAAGAACATTTAACCTTGAAAAAAACAAACGGAAAACCCAAAATGAACAAACCAAACAAAAAGAAATCACAAGCATTGTCTGCATCATACGTACCTGACTCCCACATATACTAAATTTTATAGACTTTCTTACCACCAGCACCTGACTACAGAGTATGCTTCCTCTATAGCCAGTGAGCTGCAGCACTTTCCTTCCCAGAAAGCATGTCTTAAATTTTCAGATCAATTCCCATTTTTAATCAGTTTAATTTTGATTCATTGAGAGTTAGTTTTGGACCCATTTGGGGGCTACTGGGAGGGAGAGAGTTGGCTCTGTGCTGTAGCCAGGGCTGTTTAATACTCATGTATCTTTGGGCCGGAGGGTCCACAAGACTGTGAGAGGGGAAGCCATAAAGGTGGGGAGTTGGGGGGGGGGGGGACTCACTCCCAAGATATTCTATTCTTCTGCAGTTGGCCACGTACACAAAGATCCTTCCTTGTTAACAATTTGTTCATATAAATCCCATTTCATAGCACCGTGCCTATGTGTCTTCCCAAAGCTTACTGCCATTTTGAGAATACCAAGACACAAGAACAGAGGAAGCAAGACGGAAAGCTTGTATTGCTGAATTCATAAAAGTTTAATGATAGTGTTCTGACTGCAGTGTCACTTTTGGTAGAACAGCTTTAAAGAAAAAATAAAAGAAAATAACAGGAGTTTTGACTGTCAGAGAAGCCTCCTACCGGTGAAGACCGAATGTTCCAGCACACAACAAATAGGACAGGACCTCAGCTACAGTTCCCAAACCCTTCTCTGTGTCCAATGGGCTTATTTACTTATGGTCTTACTGGATTTTGAGCCTTTCAGCTTCTTTCCTCCGCTCATATTGTATTTGCAAACTCTCCACGTCAAGAATGATCGCTCAGTTCTCAATCTTTGTGGTGCGGAAAACGGCTGTGAATCTGACAGCGGCCAGGCTATCGCAGTGCACAGGCATCCTCATGCCTGATAACGGTTTAAGACCGGCTGGGGCACAGCTTTAATAAAGTGCATATCCCATGAAGGCCAGTGGTAGGATTATGGATACTAGAACTATACAACCACAAAAGAAGAAATTCAGCTAATGCTTCACTTGAGGTTCTTTTGAAGCTTCCCTGAAAGAGTTTCCTAAATGCTATTTGACAAATAATTAGTCATGTCTGCATTCATATCCTTCTCTTTGACTTTTAAGTCTGTTGTGATATGACTGGGAGCTCTGGGTACAAAGTCTGCAATGTCAAGTACTGGTGGCATACCTAATCATTATGACTACCCTCAGATTAAAAGTGCTTTTAGCGCGACATCTTCAGTGGATATAAATTACACACATTAACGCTCACAGTTCAGCTACACAGGCCATTACTCAATGCCTGTTGTCAACTCTTAAAATGACACAGATTGCCAATGCTTTTGCTATCAGAGTAAAAGCACATGTCTGCATTTGAATTGTATTTTCACCACAGCCCTCGAACGACAGGATGTTCGTATTTGTAGATCATTATGGAATTAATCCCCCCCTGATGCCAAATGGCCATGCTGTGGCTCACACAAATATTCCAATATATCTAAAAACCTCCTGCAATTACAGTAAGTGGGGGAGGGGAGGGAGGGGGCTAAACTGCTTGTTTGGCTAAATACAGAGGATTTAGAATCTGCCACTTTAATTTGAGAGATAGCACTTGACTGGCTACTGGCAGGTTCTAGGTATAATCTAAATGTGTAACAAAGCCTGACAATCCAGGGGCCTGGCTCATAGCTCATCGCAAAGCATGAAATTAATTCTGACGCTATGAAATGGGATTCTTATCTGCCACTCTGGGGCCCTGCGGTCCCCTAACACCCACTCCCAGGGTCCATCTTAGGTCCTGTTACCGTGTCTTGCAACTGGGTAACAGCTAGAGGAATGCTGGGAAACCCACCCGGCTCTCGGGTTGTGGACCCACTCCGGCCACGTCTGAACGATCTCACAAAAATGCTCTCTCAACCTGAGCTGACTGTGGCAGCATACCCCATGGGGCCTTGCTTCTGAATGAGGGCCACTCTTGCCAGTACCATCTTGTGTATTTATTTCAGCCTGCTGTGATATTGACCAAGGTAACCCAATAAAGTGATTGCAGAGCTCTTTGATAAGTTATTTAGCGTCAGTTACGCTTGGAGCAAATGAGTGATATCGAGATTTTTTTTTTTTGCAGCTACGTTTCACAAGTTTGTGACAGAGTGGTCCCCATGACAATAGCCCCTGGTAATGCTGCTTGGACTGAGCACAAACTTCAACAATCTGCAAACATTTTGTACCACAAGTAATGACAACAAAGCAAACAGGGAAATCATGTTGTCTGTCTTTCTTTTCACTTAGTGGCAAAGGGTTTCAGTCTGCCAGAAACTGCAGAGGATTCAGAAGCAGGCTGAAATGGTTTTGTAGGGCGACGAGTAGAAAATGGCATTAACAATGCCCAAAGCTGAGCTTGTGCATTAAGCAATATTAAAATTGTATGCAGTCATTGCTCTGTAATTTGTTTAGGAAAGAAGTGTCCAACTGGCATCGGCAAAATGTGTTTATTTTTTGCTTTTTACCACAGTGTATTTCTGAGTCTGTGCAGCTACTTCAATCAAGCAACTAGTACATCAGGTTTACTCGTTTTAGTACAGTGTAGGATGTAAGACTATTTTATTGTATATGAGTGGGGCTTTTCTTAGTGTGTGTGTGTGTGTGTGTGTGTGTGTGTGCCACACCCATTATGATAGTATACTACTCAGGACTCTAGTGGTACATTTTGAATATTTGAGTAAAACTGCAATATAAATGGATATTTATCTGACAATTGCGCCAGTTTACTACCGTTAAAAGAGAGACCTTTGTGTTTCTGTGCACTCGCATGTTAATGTGTGGGCTATGTAGTATTTATACATACACTAAGCTTTACTTGTGTTCGCCCTAAAGACTTACAGTACAATTTCAACTGTCTATGTTACACTGAGCTGTGAGGGCCCTTAATATGAAGTATATATATATATATATATATATGCGTATATATCTATACGTATCTATATCTATATCTATATCTATATATAGATATAGATATATATCTATATCTATATATATATATAGATATATATATATTTCAGGGTTCCTTGCTGACTTGGATGCATAGAAATGCTTTCCTATAGAAATGCTATTCCTAACCTGTGTGAGCAGCCAAACTGCAGACATGTCAGTTTAATATTTAACCGTGTCATGTATAAAGACTGCTTATTCTATGCGTCGAATTCTCTGTTGGTGTTTCAAAGAAAAACACTGCATAAAGCGGTTAATTGGATAAAAATGTGGACATCCCTGACAGGTCTTCTAGAAAGGTTATGGCAGACTGAATCCCTAAACCACACAATCACTTACCTCAGAGCATCCAAAAGATCAAGTTATTTATTGTGTTGTGTTGTGGGAAGTCTTTTGCTTTGACTGACTTAGTCTGTGATTTTTCTGACCTCAGCAATGAGAAACCGATGGATATATCTCACACCTGCTTGAGCAGGGACTCTGGATAAAAGCGTTAAAAAAAAACCACTGGCTGAGAAAGTCCAGGAACAATGGTGAACTACGGTGAAACCATAGAAATAGAATGGATTGAAAAGGTAAAGACGGCTGTTAACCTTAAAATGACAGCCAAAGAATATTTGATAATATTGTCACGGAAACCAGCACTTATGTGGAACACAATATTTACAGTTTATTGCTGCTCCGAACATAAATTGATAGTCATTTCCAGGGCAGTACTATCAAATTTCTATGGCGGGCAAGCAGATACCATTATGAAGCAGCAGTTATCCTTTCTGTCCACTGTAATTGTATGGATGAGGGAGTTCAAAGGAAGAGTCCCTTGTCTCAAGTAGAGATATGAGAACAGCCATCAGATAAACTTATTCTCCCCCGTATTTGCTCAACGGGGAAGGGTATGTCAGCGCAGTCTGCACGTGTTGCTCTGCCTGCTGCACTGTAGTTGCTTGTGGCTGTGGTGGGCTTGGGTTCATGAAAGAACCCAACAGAAAGAAGGAAATAGCAGCAAGCCACTATCTGGAGTGATGTCAAACCAATATTCTTTCAGACAACCCAGAAAGTAATATAAATTAATAAGAAAATAAAAAAGAAATAAAAGATCTGACTCAAAACTTTTTTCCAAAAGACTCAACATAAAAGGAAGAGGACACAAAGTGAGCAAGGTGATGTCAAGCCATTCCAAGGAGAGCTTTTGTTCCATTGCACAGGGGAACAAGTGGCGAAGAGAGAAACAGAGCTGGAACAGGGTGATGAGAGAGGAAGAGAGAGGAGTGTATCCAATCCAATCTTGCGGTTGCGGTTTACCGGTCAAGAACAAATGCAAAAACAGAGGTAAGGAAATCACAAACACACATCGACAGGTGAAGATGTGCACAGACACTTGAGAGACGCCAAGACAGAAATGGGGCTGGATGAACATAAAGTATTTTCATGCCTGGACTGATCAAAGATCAACGGTGCAGTGATAGGTTCTCAACAGCACCCCCAGTGGGCAGGAGTGAGTGTCGCATGCAACTGGCGCTCTCCTCAGTGACTCTGCACTGTCTGTGTAGCTCTGCTGCCCAGCACTAACAAAAAGAACGGTGAAGTGGTTGTTCCAAAGCCCCCACAGCCCAGATGTGGGGGTACAGCCAACAAGTTGCACTGGTAGAAACAGAAAATGTGTTAAAAGAGGTCTACTCCCATCGCCATGGCTCTCCTATGTCCCAGTAAATTTTCTCTGGTTGAAACCTCACAAAATCTAACAAAGCACAGCCAGTTCATTAAGAAGAAAGGCAGACAATCTGACAGTGAATGTATGCATGTATGTTTGTCTCGGATTTTCTATATTCTGTATCATCAGGATCCGCAATGACTCGCTCAGATCCACCCATAATCCCATAAACCCAGCTACATTTCCCAGGTTCTTTACCATTAATGTATTAAACATCAATACACAACACCATTGTTAATCTTTGTGTGCTGTGTAAACCCAAAAGACGTGAATTTCATACCCTGTCATCCCAACAGTCCTTCAGCTATTGGATATTTGATTGGATAAGCTGTGTGTATTTTCTTTTCTCTACAGCTTGCTCTACTGTGTGCTATGATATCACTCCTGTTATTTTTAGCAGGCTGGTTTAAATAATTCAGTTGTGTTCCTGCCATCTGTAAAATAAAATAATCAGTGCAGAACTGATATACTGGAATAAATTCCAGGGGTGGGCATGTGAGTACTGTTGGTGACTGCTGATAGGGTTTTTTTTCTTTTTTTCTTTGATGACTAAAATCAAATTCAAATCCCCCCATCCCCATTCTGAATACAGTTCATATGAGAGCCTTGGTGGTGGGAGAACTGACATTTTTTGTGTCTCTGTCACGTGGAAGAAAGTGCACTTGCTGTTGACAAAGGAAAAGCAAATATGAACAAAAGTGAAAGGGAAATAAAGAATCTGCCAAAATTGTCAGTCCACATAGACTTGATTTGTTTGACAGTGCCGGGTACACTCATACATATTTGGCACCAGAGCCAAGTTAGAAAATAAAATAATATCAGATAAAATGAAAAGGTTGTAAAGCCATATGTGGCTCAATTTCAACCTCCAACTGTCCACAAAACAATCAGTTCACTATGCCTAACATATAAAGTATCATTGTCTTATTGTTACATTAAGGTTAACAAAGTTAAGGTCAAATGCAAAAATATTAAACCATGTGTTTAGGCAAGAATTAAACAACACATCAGTTAAGTCAGTTTGTTACGTAGGTCATCTTTTCTGAAACAGCTTGGAACCCTGATTTTGCCTGACAGAAACACAGGCGCAGTTCAAAGGTGATGACGCAGCAGAGAAAAGAAAGTTTACAAGCTCCAGTCAGAAGGAAAAAAAAAAAAACACACACAACCTCATTAGAATTCACTTTAGTGAAGGTCCACAGAGGCATAAAATCTTTTAACTGCTTTCCTGAGGAAAATCACTTAGTTAGCCTACCCACAAAGAAGACATGAGAGGAGACTGAATAAAGGGTTACATACTAGCTTGCAAGGTCTTCTGCGATATGTCATTTGTGAAGGCTCCGATGCCTTTGATTGAAATGGCTGCCAGGGAGAAGTGGTACTCTGTGTTTGGGCGGAGCCCTTCCACAACATATGAAGATGCGGGTCCAAATGTTTTCTTCATCTGTTGACGGAGACAAAAGTTATTGACAAGTCTGGTTTAAAATGGTTGCACATATAATGAATTCATTATTGAATCGCTAAGAGATGATGTACACCTCTCAGTGCAAAAGGCGATGATATTTCAAAATGTAAGACTAAAATTCTTACCGGGGTGCCAAAACTGCCCTCTGAGTAGCGAAGTTCATAATTTATAATTCCTTCCTTTTCATAGGCAGGTTCCCAGGTCAGTTCAATGCTTGTGTCAGACACAGCACCAACCTGGAATTTGGATGGTTGACCTGGAACTAAAGGACACAGCAGAGGACATTGTTGCAGGATATGAAACTGGAAATTAGTAAAGACATGGAAATTAGTATTATACACGAGGGAGTGGTACTGTCCAATTACCAAAGGAAGGAAATTGTTAAGAACGGGTCAATTAAATTCTTTTTCTTATTCAGTGATTTCTTAATAAAAGCACAGTAACATGATGAGCATAAAGCGACTTAGCACAAAATGACGAGGATTCAATGAAATATAGAGGGAGAGATTACAGTGAAGTACAAAAGGTTTGTGCCCCGGTGACAATGCAAAGTACAGTTGTGATTTGTTGTTGTTGGATGTTCTGCCCTGCACTGGCATGGATAGAGAGATTTTGCACAGCCATGAATGTGATCCTGGTGAGTTCTCAGATGTTGGTTGGTTTCTCAAATTTTTTTCAGACTGCCATGAACAGACCTTTGTCATCATTTGCAGAGTCTGCAGATGTGCGGGAGAACTTTGCACAGCGGGAGTGAAAACTTGTCTCTTTGGCAGCAGACACATTCCGTTTAAAGTTTCAGAAAATGTGCTGCTGATGCACAAAACAGCCGAAGATGTTCTTCAATTGCTGAGAAAGTCTCCTTTCACAGAAGGCTGGATAACAGATGCAGCACTCTCTGAATTTCTTTATAAGCTATTTTAAATTAACTCAACAACTCGGATTCAACAATATTTGAACATTACACATGTGCCTGTTGTATGAAAAACCGCCAGGCATGAACTTCAATAACATCTGGGGAAGAGAAGGATATTTCAAAGTTTTAACACCAGTTGCCAAGTTGACAAAAACTGTTTTCATTATGCTTACCTCCTTGCAGCACTTTGACGTGGATGGGCTCGGAGAATGGTCCGTCCCCTACAGAGGTGAATGCTAGGACTTTGATTGTGTATGTCTCTTGGGGAACCAGGCTCTGGATAGTAGTGATGATGCTGTCCTGGACATTATGAATCTGCCAGAGGCTCATGGGCTGGGAGTCGTCCATGGTGTAATAAACACGGTATCCCTTGATCTGCCCATTGGGCTCCTCTGGCTCTTCCCAGCGCACCATCATGGTGTTTTGGGAAATAATCTGGGCCTGAATGTTTCGCGGTGGACTGGCAGGGGCTTGTTCTCCAGTCCGGGTTTCTACTGGCTCACTGGGAGGACCCTGACCGATTGTGTTGACGGCTGAGACACGGATTTCATACTCTGTGTTGGGGTAGAGGCCACCAATGCTGTAACGTGTAGTGGTGATGTCATCCACTGTCTCATACTTGCTGTCTGGGGACTTGGCCCTGTACTGGATGATATAGTAAGTCACAGGCTCTGGGTTGCCTGAGTCCCATGTGATGGTCACACTGGTGGCAGTGGTTTCAGTAACCACAGGCGTACCTGGAGGCTTGGGGAGAGCTGTTAAGGTGACAAAAGAGGGAGCAAAGAAGTGGAAATCATTTAGCATAACAGTGACTGACTGAAGAATTTTCTAGCAAAAAGGGAAAGCTTGGAAATGTCTTCACAATGCCCCGAGATCATTTCAGCAATACAAATCAGGATTGTAGTTTTCTGTACATTGAAAACTGAACTGATGCTTATCTCTTCATAAGTACTCTTCTTCACATGCACAGTCATCTCTTACATTTGACAGTGATCTGCGCCACAGCTTCAATGATGCCAAGGCTGCTCATGGCCACGCAGGTGTAGTTGGCTGACTCACGGACGCTGCTCAGTTCGAGAACGTTCCTGCCCACGGGCATCTCATCCTCTGGTGTCAAGTCCTCTGAATTCAGCATCCACTTCACGTAAGGCATGGGCGATCCCACTGCCACACACGTAATGTTCACACTGCCACCGGGCATAATTTCCTGACTCGCTGGTGGGATGGAGAAGCGAGGAGGCACCCGCCGGACTGGGAGAAGGCATGAGGAAGGGGAGAGGATGACAAAAGAGGGCAAGGGAGTCAAAAAAAAGAGAAAGAGAGAAGGTAACAAGAGAGGCCGATGAAAATGGACCCTTCTCAAGGATAATACTTAACACAAAAGGTTCAACATGGTAAATGTGAACTAAAATACAAAATAAAAAAGTAGACTTTTCAAAACATAAAAAATATACAAATAATGAGAAGGAACTAAACTAGCAGAACTGCTTCAACAACAATATAGATTAACAATAAAGCAACGATTCATAGCAACAAGGTTCCATTGACCAATATTTGACCCATCACAGCACAATTAAAGACACAAAAATCTATTACGAGTTTCTCATCTTTGGAACTGAACTGCTGACATATATACAACTATGGCATAACCTGATCACCAACTACGAAGGTGTGTAGTAAAGGCTATGTGATAATGCTATCACATAAGGCCAAGGTGGCAACCTGGAACTTCCTGTCCTCTCCGGCACACATGCCAAACAGGAAGTAGGCCATTACAGGCTTCTCCCACAGCACAGGAAGTGTAGGGTTACGGGGCAATTGACCATCTCTACAAGGTCTCTAAACACTTTCTAGCGCAAGTTTGCACTTGACACCTGTCTCTACTACCTAGATATCTTAAAGATGAGAAACTTTAATCAGATTTTTGTGGTTTAGGGTAGATCCACTGGACAAAGCCTTATTAAGATCTGACACGGTTCCATTGATAGATGCAGCTATCAGTTTCACAGACAGCATGCATAAATAGACCGAGGTAAATTAAGGAGTAAATGATAACAAAATCAGATATAAAAATTGAGATAAAATGCATAGAGGAATATAACTGAAGGGTCGCTAGCATGCCCAGACAAAAGACGATTGGAGAGGAAAGAAGAAATACAAGATTGAGGATAGAGCATCTGAGGAAAGGATAGAAAGAAAGGGAAAAGAGGAGCAAAGAGTGACAGAGGAAGAAGAAGAGAGGGGAAGGTTGGAGGAGGGTAAAGGGGGGGTAACCCGCTTCAATGCTGTGTAAACTTTGTTTTTCTTCAGCTAATGTGACAAAATGTGATGGTGGCACATTGTCACATCGCAGTCCCAGTTAACACAAAATAAGTATTGAGGAACAAGGTATGTGCCTAGAAATACATAGAAAAAGAACTGTAGTAGTTGTAGCTGGAGAGTCTAGTATCACAGAGTGTTGGAGTCAAGAAACAGAACTGGATCAACAGGGAGTAGAAATCCAGAGAACAAGAAAGAGAGACAGAGGGAAAGGGAAAGAGAGAGGTAGATGAATAAGGGCAGAATGACAGCAAAGAGAGGGAGACAGGGAGGACCTCAAAACTCATGGATAGGAGTTGAAATTTGAGTGGAGGGAGGTTGATAATGAGTCTGAGACGCAGAGGAAGGGCGTGGAAGGTACTGTGTACTTGCATGTGTGTGTATGTGTATATACATAGACGTATATATTCTTTTTTTGCGTTGGTATAGGCATGAGTGTGCGTGTGTACAGTATGTAAGAGTTAGAGAGTGGAAGAGTATGAGTTAGCAAAAACATTGTGTGTTCATGAGAGGCATCCCAGCAAGCACTTGACAGATAGTGACATGCAAGACTGTTCTATAGTATGGGGTTTTATGTATGTCTATATATATGTCTGTATATCTATGTAAATCTGAGGTGAGCGACATTAGTATTTACTTGAAAGCCTAATCCAAGCTTTAAACTTACTTTGGACTACAATCAAAAACATATTTAGGTTTTGAATGCACATAAAAGATACAGGCAACAGCTATGGACTTCTACAGAGGTCTATAAACTTCATGTGTCTCTCTAACAGCTCAACGGCTCAGCTTCAAACAGCTCTTCAACACCGAAGCAAACCACAGTGTCTGTCTTCATTTATTCAACATCAAAATGTTTGTTGGGATGCAAAGAAGGTCAAAGAGAGACAAGGAAAGTACTGCAGATGTAGAAGTAAAAAGGGATGAACTAAATGGAAGAGATGACTTAGAGACAGACAGATAGACAAGACAGGAAAGACAGGGACGAGAGACAAGACACAAGGCAGAACAAAACAGACTCAAGCAGCAAGACAGCAGACAGGAAGACAGACAGAGGGAGACGAGCAGACAGACAGTGACGGATGGGTACGCAGACATACTGTACAGTACGCAAAGGGTAAGGGGGAGGGGTTTGGGTTGTCGGAGAAAGGGAAGGAGGAGGAGGAGGGCATAAGTGGGGGATAGAATAAGGAGACTGGGATTCTAAATTCAAACAAAACAAAATAAATCAAAAAAAGAAAAAAAAAAAAGAAAAAAAAGACCATGGCTCAAAGTGGGTTTGGAGGTCTCACACACTGGGGCTTAAAATCAAGAATCAACTACACGTCCCCTCCTCCCCGCCTTTAACACCTCAGTGCACCTCAGTGCAAATGTAACTTAGGAAGTCTTGGGTTGGGCGGATGTGACGTGTGTGTGTGTGGGGGATGGGGTGGGTGGGGACTGAGGGGGAGATTCTAGGGAGAGGAGACTGGGAGGGGCATCAAGGATAGGTAGCATTCCAAAATACACCGTGTCGATCCAAATGGGATTCATATGATCGTTGCATGGGACAGTTTGCAAACAAACTAAGGGCACAGATATCACCTACACACACTCTGAGTGGTTTTTTATCTGAGAGCTGACTTGAACACTGAAATGGTTATAAAAATGTACATACACTGCACTGACATGTGGTTCATAGGGGCAAAGCTTTGTAGCACTTTCTAGCTCTATGTGCAACGTCCAAACACATCTACTCTTCCTGGCTTTGAATAACAATTTCACATCCAGCCATAGAAAACAATGCAATTTGTTTTATATGTAACAAGATTTAATGAAACACTCATAATCAATTACAGTTATATGTTGAATAAAACCCAGATGGAGACCCTCTGAAGCCAAAGTCAGGCCTTTGGTTTTTCCTCCTCTGAGCTATTCTACATGTATCCTCTCAGTCCTGTAATTCCCTGTTAATGTCAATTATGTTTCTACCTTGGGCAAGACTTGACCTGACCTTGAGGGCAAAAAGTTCATTGCTGACCTTTGAAGAAATGCTCCTTTGTGGTACACAAAAGTACACACTGAAAACGTACCATGACAAATGGTCAATAGCAAATTTAAAGTCGTTAAAAATGTCAAATTTCCATAGATAACAATCTCACAAAAATGTCTCTGTTAGAAGCAGAAATGGCTCTTTTGAATAGATTTGTTGGGAAACTTATCAAAGAATAATAACTTTTTCTGTCCTGACCTGACTGTAAGAAAAAGTGAATAAAACAACGGGATGCATGACGTTTTGGCTGAGCTATCATGCTTCGCGTCATCATGACAGTTTATTATTATTGCATCGTCATGAAGTCCAAATGGGAGATAGTCTCAAAAAAAACATGTTGAATTGGGAAAAAAGGAAAAATCCCATTATATCGGGAGAGAAAATGTATCTCTGCTTTCTAATTTGTCAAAAAATGTCTCACTAAACAACAAAGGTGAAAGGGCAGCCCATTCCTCACACGGACATGCATGGGTGTGGCTATGGCATGAGTGACATATACAGGTGCGCCCCCATCCACTTGGGCAGACACCAGAGAACCAATACAATCCAAAAATGTCACCCAAGCCCATCCAAGCATGCCATTCATTCCCAAATATAGCATTGTTCCGGACACACACACGCACAAAATCAAACGAAAGGAAACAAATCAAACTGAACAAATCCACAAAAAGAACTAAGTCCAAACAGCATAGACAGTACCAGGGTGCAGCTGTGTTCAACAAAGAGGTATGCATCAATACTATTAGATGTTTTTCAGCTATGATTTGTCTCTGCTTGAATTTTGCCTCCAATCCAAAAGAATGGTGAAAACTGAATAGGGCGAACAGGGCCTGTCTTTTAGGGGGAAACGTTCAATCAAAGTGTGTCTGGTGGTGCTATTCTCTCCCTGGGGCTCAGGTCAGCCAATGGACCGGGAGCTGTAGTGGCTGAGTGAATGAGGTTTCCCCACAGGAAGATGTCTCTGTTCACCTTTGAATAGCTACACTGTCAGGGCAATGTGGAGACTAAGACCAGCCACGTGCCAAATGTTGGTAACTTTCGGCTGTGGCTGGCCAGTGAACTCTGAAATATGCAAATCACTGAGCCAATACACAAGAACTTCCTTGCTTAAAGGCTTCACAGTACTGGGGCACTAAGTATTGAATGATAGGGTAATCAAACTAAAATTTGGAAAAACAAGGACACTGCAAAGCCATGGGAGAGTCTACCTGTCAACAGCATGCACCCTGTGTCTGACACATAAGTAAATTTGGTCTTTGGTTACAACAGAAGAGCTCAAGGTCAGTTACTACAGAACATTACACTATATCCTGGGAGAGTCTTAAAAGCCAGAAGACACTTTAGGGGACAACATTAACTAAATGTGAGTGTGACATGCAAATAAGCCGCACTATCATTACGTAGACATGGGCCTGTATGATATGACTCTTCAAGTGGACTGTGTAACTCTGTCATGCCAATGGTTCAGTAAGCTCTCACAAGCTGAGTATGTGCGTGGGTGTGTGTTTGTGTGTGTGTGTGTGGCACCCTCTCTTATCCTACCATTAAAATGTAGTGCCAGTGAAAGAAAATAAAGAATCCCAATTGCATGGACAGGCTCCTCATTCACAGAGACCAGGAGCCCAGCCGGCCCATTTGGAATTGAGAGAAAATAAAACAAACATATACCTTTCATTTGGACTACTAACAACATGTAATCTTGTTTCAAGCCCCAATGTGGAGAGAAAGACAAGAAGCCTTACAGTGGACGAGGTGAAAAGCAGTCGAGATAGAACGCCAGAGTACTGCACTAACGCTAATAGTGGGCGGTGTTGTGGAGGGATTTATGCCAAAAAACAGAGGTCAGAAGGTGGACATTATCGGCCATTTTGGTGAGGCAGTTTTTGCTGCCCCAAAATGAAGGGGGAAGCCAAAATAATGTGCAGCCTTTAGTGTCACCTTGAAGCTGAGATTACACCCTCTTGCTGCCTGAGGACACAGGCGCAGTATGGAGATCCTTTAGTCACACTTGCTGGGTGAGGCCTACGGCATTTACATATAAGCTGTAGGGGTTGGCCTGTATTAACATACCTTGGCTGCGCCAGTGCTAAACAGTCACTATGGGTGGCTCATCAAAATGGAAATTATTACCTAAAGGAAACTGACAGGGATAATGGCAGGGGTGTCTAATAATAGCAAGCAGTGAATTGAAGGGATTTCAGAGTGTATCACTTTTTTTGCATTGTTTTACAGGTAGACGAAAAGCAGCCAAATGATAATGCAAGTATGTCCCCTCACTGTGGTGATCCCTTCAGTGAATAATATCAGTCGGATTGGGAAAGGGAGTGTATTCATGTATTTGCATTAGAATAAGAGGTAATGAAACTTTGGTTTTGTATGAAAAATAAGCGTAATTCTGATACAAGGTAATTTTTCTTTTGACGGGTGGCTATTAACTTCAGGACTCCTTGAGACAAACATCTAATAGAGATGGCAGGATTTTGCTTTGGCCAGTGAGAACATAAGGTGTAATCTAGCTTTCTTTCCCAACGTTACACACAAATGCATAGCAGGACATGCAAGCACATTCAAAATCAGGCAGATACCATTGTAGAAGGCCAAACAGGCACATGCGTACATAACAGCGCAGTCTTTCTGCATCAGTGTTATTCATAGGACTCAGAATTAGATATAAAGGCCGAATGTAGATATTGTCAGGTTTTCATTATGTTGTTTCTTTCAGTTGGATTGCGCCATACTTTGTGGACACGATTTTATGGAGTGCAGCAGCGACAAGACTGAGTACTGATTTTTGCAAACTCTGCAGTTATGAGTACAGATAGAAAGTCTTTTGACAGCCAATTGGTGCATTGTTGGAGTTGGGAAGCAAATTTGCATCGGGAATAAATGCGAGATCAGAAGGGATGATTATATATATTTGAGTAATGACTTGCCTTGGTGAAATTTTTGCCGTGGTGCAAAGAAAATGGCATGGATGTAGTAGGATTGGGCCAAAAATAAATTAACTATATTCTACATCTTCTCAAAGGAAAAGTTGGCTCGCACTGAATATTTTCGAGGGGGTTTGTCTTGCTAATATTTTGGGGCTTAGTGTGGCTCATGGAAACAAGCAAAACGGCTCAACAAAAAGCCTCTTGTTGACTAGTGTATATTCGATAAGTAAATATTAACTGTAAAGGTGCCTTCGGGCACGATATGCATGGACTCTAAACGTGAGACTTGGTTAAAATAGAGAGATTCCAGAAGTAAATTTCGTGCTGGGTGTTGCTGAGGTAAAACATATGTGCTCCTATAGATGAATAAAGGTTCTGAAAACACAAAAATTGCTAATTTATTTTTTGGAGAAGTAGTCATTTTCAATATGACTTTCAGATACTTTACAGAGATAAGCCTAATCCCATGGAGATCAGCACACTCTGACAGCCACGCATACAAAAACTACCACACTCACAGAGGAGTGATAGGGAGAAAGTGTGTAATCTCTTCTGCCTGAAAGAATGACATGTCTGATCTACCCAGACTTGTTGAGCCACATCTAATACCTCTCGCCAAAACCCGTGGCTCCTTCCATGAGACTGGTCGGGCTATAAAACGTACAGGCAAGTTCACTGCAGCCGGCGACATGAGATTCAATATAGATATGATTCAGCTGAAAATGTCTTGGGAAACCTGCCTCACACGCTGATGCTTACATTTAAGTGAAACATCTTAAGAGATAACGGGAGGTTGGTACAAAGCCGGCTAAAACATAAATCAGTGCTGCTTGCATTGATCTCCATTTCATTTAGCACTTTCTTCTCATTATTGTTGTAAGATTACAGCAAGAACGCTACAAAAAAAAAAAAAAAAGCTAATTGTAGTCCAGTTTGAGAATCTTCATTACTTTAGTCACGTCAACCTGAAAATCAATTCTATTCTATGAATGCCTGGGTGTGTGTGTGTGTGTGTGTGTGTGTGTGTGTGTGTGTGTGTGTACAAGGGAAGGGGAGCTTTTGAATAATAAATTATAATTTGATTGAATGTCATGACTGCGAGGGAACACAAACAGCAGTCACTCAACAAAACCAATCACATCTAGCTGCCGCCATTTGAAAATAAAAGTATCTTTGAGCACCCGCTAAGCAACAGCAAATGTGATGTTGAAGTCATTATATTGTTATTGATCCACACGACTGTAAATGGCATCCCTTAATGGCTGCCTGAATCACCATGGAACCCAATCAGGTCCAATCAGGTCTAATTTTTTCAGTAATGGATCGCTATACACAAGATGACAGGAACACTGGCTGTATACACACTTATTATTTCATTCGGCATTTGCATTTGCACTCCGAGACTCAAGAAGCAGAGCAGCATCATTTTGAAAAAGAAACACAAATCTCACAAACAAATGAACCACAAAAAGACAAACATTTTTTTTTTCTTTAAATAGTAAAGTAAGGTCAGGAAAAGAACTGAAACAAAAGGAAAACACACAAACACTATACCAATCACAACACAAAAAAAAAAAACTAAATAAAGGAAAGCCAAAAAAGGGGTGTATCAGGGGAAACACTTGTAGAGAAACCAAGGAAAGAGAAGGAATCAATTGAACAAAACACAGGGTATGCAGAAAGAAAAATACCATCATGGCCAAAGGGATTCTGTACAGGCATGCAAGCGCAGTTACATTCTCCCATCATGCAACAAGTCCTGTTATTTCAACGTGCTGGGTTTCCATGACAACACGTGCAAGAAAGCTTTTAGGTGCAGAAGCAATACCAAAGGATGCAAAACGAGAAAAGGCCCCACAATGCAAACATAAAAGTAAATTAACAAGACCCGAGCTACTCGGGTTTGCTTTCATCATTTCTTCCTTGGAAATAAAGAAAAAATTCTTTTCATAATCATTTAGCAGTTTGGATTAACTGATTAGTATTTGTTCAAATTTGTAATGAATCGAGCTCTGTAATAGGCAAATACAGCTAAAATTTTTCAACATGTTGAATTTTTTTTTTCAAATGTGGGTTAAAAAAAGTAAAAAAGAAAAAACACACCAACCTTCTCGAAGCTCTGAGGGATGTAAAGGGGTTGATGCAGAACACAATGACATGAGGAGAAGAGAAAAATAGGGGAAACACAGAGAGAGTAAAAAAAGCCACCTCAAGGTGTTTAGCTGCAGCTACATTTCCCTTTTCTTTAATCTTTTTTTTTCCTCCTTTTCCCTTGTCCCTGCTATCAGTGACACCCGTCTTGAAAGTACACTTGCCTGCCCCCCCCTCCCTTAAATAAACTTTGAACCAAAACAATCAGATTCACCCCAGTGGCCGCACTGTCGCCTGGTAAGAAAAATATAGTGAGGCGCCACTGGAGTCAAATCAAGCGTACCATACTCATAATTCATAATTTCACAAGCTCCTTATAGCCACAAGGACAGGCTCCTGTGGTGGCTGTATTTGCTTTTGTTAGAGAAGGAAACCAAATAAAGAGAAAATAAAGAAAAACTAATGAGAGATAGAAAATAAAAAAAGACACAGTTTGGGCTGAAATTAGCAGCTGCAGTTCAAGACAGTTACAGTAAATGTTGTTAGAAGCCAATCAGGAACACTGTCATTATGGTTTCTGTTTGGGTAGTTGTCTTAATTTGCCCTGGTAAAGTATGCCCAATTTATATACAATTTAGGACTCTTGTTTTCTTTTGGTTTTTTTTCTCTGAAAGGCGATCCCTACCACAGCTGCTAATCTCAAGTGCATTTCGCTTTGTGAACAAAACATAGTCAACATCAAGTATCAGAATTGATTGACAAAAGTTAACTGAAAACAGACAAAGGTTGACACCATCAAGGCATAACAAGTGTGTTACATAGTGTGAAAGTACCTGAGTAATTATGACCCTTGTGTACCCTGTTTAAAAGCATGCTGATGGAGCCAGTGTTCATGGAGATTGCATGAATTGTTGGAAATGATATCAGGGTATTTGCTGTGTGTTTTTGACCAAAGAAACTATTCGTATCCCAGTGCTGTGTCAACATAGTGTTCCCAGTATAGCTATTTAATGATTCCTGTAGAGCACTTGATTGCAATTTACATGTACCCTTTAATTTCTACCATGCTGTACATGAGCAAGGTGGAGAGCTACTTGACATTAAGTGTTACTGCATCACAGTGGAGACAGCATGAGCCTCCAGGATGAATGCTGGCAAGAAGACACACTAATCTTGATGAACTATTTTTTACCGTCTGCTCCTCACAGTTGAATTTTTCTTCCCTATGCTGCTACTTCACAGCGTATGATAATAACAATAATAATGAAAAAGCAGCTCCCTGACCCATTTTATAATGTCAGAGTAGTGAATTATTTATTGGGAACAAAGTTATTTGGTACACAGCAGAGGGAACAAACTGAGTAGATACCGAGGCATCTTTATTTAATATGCACAATATAAATAATACATGTCAAAAATGCATCTGCTTCAATTTATTAAAGCTCCCTCAACTGGGATTCATTGCCATTTAACATTAGTGGTAGAGGGTAGGCTTTTGTCTTCATTGCCTGTTTCCTATGAAACTCAGCATTCTCTGTGACTGATTGTTTTTCATATCTCCACTTTGCTGGAACATGCCAGCCAAAATTACTACTGACTGTAAGGGGCTTTAAAGATAATACCCCAAAGCAGAAACAGGGGAATACTATGGATTTATGCTCCAGAACACCATAAAGAAAAGTAGAGGAAGTATGCTATTTATAATCAATGCGACAGAGTATTTTTTATGTGAGACAGAACAGCTGACTGTGTTAACAGTCATTTCTTATTAATTCCCCACAAGGAAAACCTTTTTTAAACCCCCAAATCTGGAGAAGGCTAAGGGGTTGAGATTTTGATTGGTGGGCATTAATACCTCGCCACCCAATCAAAATCAAGACTTACCGTTGTGCTCCTGTACCTGAAAAGAACTAATCAAAAAGAAGTCCCTCCCGACTCTTTTTGGGTTCCATAAGTTTGACGAAGGGGGAAACATTTTATCGGGCAAACAATTACAGGTAAAAGGCGTCTTACAACCGATAAAGACATACGGCTTGTTGTGCTACACATTTCCTTCCGAGTGAGTAGGGGAGGGCATTGAAAGACAAAATGGAGCATAACATCATAACAGAGAAGAACATTAGTAGGTCAATTATAGTTTTGACATTTGGAAGTTTCAGTGCATATGAAATTACATTTATGGGCAGGCAATACTATCAATGTTTAAAGATTTATATTACTCGGGTAACACTATTTTGCAAAATACATTTTGTGCATATACAGCTGGGCTAGAATGGAAGCAATTATCATTTGTTAAGCTCAACAGTAATGCCACTTAAAGCTGAGCTGCACTGTGCATTTTAGTTAGAATGGGTGGATGTTTTCATTTTTTTTTTTTTTTTTCTGGCCTGGCTCTGGGGCCGGGTTGCTCCCTACCTCGCACATAAAGGTTAGCAGGGGACGAGTAGCGCACGCCTTCCACATTAATCGCCACGCACTCGTACTTCCCCTGGTCTGTCTCCTCGCTGTTCTCGATCTGCAAGGCACCTGGGAAATGACAAGATCCAACAAAGACAAAAAAGGGAGGAGGGAGGGAGAGAAAAAGAGAAGAGAAAAGAGAGAGAGAGAGAGAGAGAAAGCAGGGAGGAAATGATTAGTCAACCTGTCAGTGACAGTGCATGAAGGAGTCAGACAATCTTCTTAATAGAGGGTATCTTGAATTTCTCAAGACCATTTCGTCAAGAACTGTTTCTCTCTGCAGTGCTAATGCATATTACCATGACAAACTGGGTTTCTCTCCAGCCTCAGCCATACACAGATAAAAAGAGGAGGTATTAAATAAATAAAAATGTGGACTGAACCAGTCGCACTAAATTTGTAGTCATGTTGGTGTATGAAACACATGCAAAAAAAACCCCCAAAAACTGCAATAAGGACAAAGAAAGGATGTAAATGTGATGAAAGGTAATGGAGAAGGGTGTTGAGATGGTCCTGTAAACTGAGTGAGATTAACAAATTCTCCTTTGCATAGCACTCACAAAGGGAGAGACTGTGTGTGCTGGGGGGGGGGGGTCATGTGAAACTATCCTTACATATAGTTCATGTCCAAATGAACACTGGCATGGTGCATAATGCAGTAGAAGAATTTCAAACTGTGCGAAAGAACTTCTTATCACAATCGGGAGTCATCTTATCCTTACATTATATCGTGTAAACATATGACCATATTAGTTAATAGTATGGCTTCCATTGTGATTGGAACGGGTCATTTGTGTTCTCTTTCAGTTGTTACTCGTGTATTTTCTTTTAATTGCTTTTCTCCGGTCTGCTAGGATCTGATGTAAATTCACTCATTTTTTTAAGGTTATTCTGTTTTATACAAACCCTTTAGGGCTTATGTGTTTCAAACAGACTGTATTTCTTATCACTTGCCTCAGATTTTATCTCCTATACATGCAAATAAACTCAACCTAAATGCTTGGCAACAGCGTCGGAGAAGGGGCGTGGGGGATGGAGGAGGGAGGTGAAACAACGGGCGTCAGATCATTCCTCGTTAGAGCGCTGTTGACGGCACTTCCTGATGATATCATTAGGGCTTCTGGCTGGCTCAGCAGACAGATTGCAGCCCAGGCCTCCCTGACAAACACAGCACCATCGCTCGTTAGCATTTAGCCAGGAAGCATCAATACGCCAGCCGTTGCCCAGGATGCTTTGTAATATACCATAACCTACTCCATCACATCAAGCAAGCGGAGTGAACACAATGTTGTACAAGGCTACTATTCTGGAACATTGGTCTAATAACGCTTTTCAGCTGTTGCACAAATGAGACTATCGATCCTGCTTAATTATAAAGATTAGTCACGCTTCCACCTTGGACACGGACTAAGAGTATTTTACCCCTCCGAGTCAGTACAATGATATCTACTCTTAAAAAAAAGAAAACAGACCTGAAGCTACAACAATCTATACTCTATTCTGTTTTTTTTTTTCTCCTCTTCATTTCCCTCTGCACCTCCAGACCATTCTCATCCCCCAGAGGGAGCTGTTCCTGGCACATGAACCAAATGGAAACGTCTACCTGCAGAGTGCAGGTGGTGGAGTATTTGCTCTGTGTTTATGCAGAGATCTGATTTGGATCTGTTTGATGTGTGCTTGGAACAGCAAATGCCAGCCCGGTGGCAGGTGGGTTGGAATGTGCTCAGAAGCCTAGCTCCTCAACACGAGGGAGACCACAAAGTAAGGACTGTGTGAAGTTCAACTCCAGGTGGACGGTTCCAGAAAGCTCTGCCAGCGGCTCGTCAGCCTTGGTCCCTGTGCTGAATTATAAAATCTTTGCGAGGCTAAATCTGAAGTTGGTGCAGGTTTTTTTTTTTTTTTTTTTCAATGCTTCATGAATAATAATGTGGAAGGGCTTGTGTTGGGCCAAAGCCCCCTTTTTGTTGACTGTTACCAAACAGTTAAATCACAAGAAATGTTGTATATTTCATATCCTTTCATTCCGTGTCTGCCAGCTGCTCAAAGTCCGTAGATCCAAATGCTTCCAACAAATACAAATGTCTCAATCTAAAAATACTACTTAACAAATGTCATCTGAAGGTCAACAAAACACAACCACCAACATGCAGAGGGGTGACAGATAATGAGCCAAACAACATTAATTGAAAGCCAATTAAAACCAACATTGGCTGCTGTGAATCGTACCTCCTGGCGAAAGGGAAGAAAAACAGAGGACACTTTGAAGGGATAGAGCGAGTTTCATCTGTTCCCGCCAGCTTTGGTGGAGGCTCCTTGCTAGGTGGTATTATCTATTGTTTCCAATCCCCCACTGGCTTCATTACATATTCTAGCTATCATTTCAAAGTGGAACTGTGAAGAACACATAAATACTCCCTTCACTTGCAGAGAGAGGGAGAACAAGTGAGGTAGGGGGAAAAAAAAAAAGAAAGAGGTAGAGAAAAGGCGGGGAGGAGAAGCGAAGAAGCACAGATAGGAAGGAGTGACAAGGGAAGTAAGAGAAAACAAATGTAGTGGAAGAGTGAGGAGATTTATTCCTATTCGAAGATCATCTAAAAGTTAAGGAAAAGAAAATAATAAAACCCTCTGTTTGACTTGTAACCAGCACAGACAGATTATTCTTGCCCTCCTGAAAATGTAGTTGTGTTACAATTTTGAACTAGATTCACAATAAGAATAAAATACTGATGAATGTGATTGTACACATTTGACAAGATTGCATGAACAAATGTTTGATGAAGGAAGCACAGTGAGGGAGTTTGTAGGAGATAAGGTGCGAGAGCACAGAAGAAATCACAACTTCGTTCTATTTTGAGATGCTTTATGCTCCTCGCTCCGCTAGAGCTGCACGAGGTGGAGATGCAATGTCCCGCTGGTGTTATATGTGCTGTGCCACACTTTGAGAGTTGCATGTCTCTCGTGTCCATTTCCACTCCCTTGTTCGAGTCCAAGCTTTGTCTTTTTTAAACCACAAAGAAGTTAATTTAAATGGATCTATCCCAGTTATTTAATTAATATTTTCACTGCACTGTCACTGCATAGGGGAGTAAAATGTTTTTTTTTTTTTTTTTTTTGTTGACCGGGCAGTCAGCTTTAAGCCTGATAACATAAGCATTTAAAGACAACAGACCTCTAAATCCAAATGAACCCTCTTTGATTTCCTATCTCCAGAAACAGCATGCATGTGCATGTGTGCACACACAGAACAAACTCCACCCTTTGAAAAAAACCTTGACACCAGCATGCGTCTCTTTCCTACAGTTCCCTTTTGTCTTTTTTTTTTGAAAGTGACTGCACTCTCCGTGTTTTGCATAATTGTGCTCCTGCTTGCCTGTGGATCACCAGAGCGCGAGTGGCCATTGGCACTTTTTTTTTTTTTTTTTTGCTTTTATCAGGAATAGAGGAAGGACACAAGGAATGAAATAAATGCTGAAAATTATCTTTCACAAGCACAATGAAAAGCAGAGCCCCAGTCTGTTCACAGAATAGACGTTTACTGATAAAGACTTGCCCAGTGAAAAAAAAAAAAAAAAAAAAAGCCAATTTACAGTGTCTCTCACAAAATGGCCATACTGTGCTTATGAGGCCAGACATACACGGGGCCTAATGGCATGTCTTCCCTGTCTCCAGCTATGAAGTCTAATCGCAAACGCAACAACTGCAATAACTACCGCAGACCGGTTTGTTTTCCTTGATTTCATTAGAAAACACAAGAAACAGTTCAAACAGGTGACTGCTTGTGTACTCTACTTTTAGATATCGGAGGTACAAATATGACCTCTGTAGCCACAGAAGAGATAATTTGACTTGACCAGTGATTGTTGTGTTAAATATTTCATCTGTCACATGCAAATTACTTTTATTTTATATTACCTTGCAAGTATCTGAGTGAATACTAATTTATTTTGCTCAAGAACACTTAAAAAAGGACACATGAAAGTTGAAGGACACTGTGTGAGCTGTTGCAAGGAGCGAACCTAAGACCAGAGAATGTCTTGGGACAGGACAGACTCTCAATCCACTTAGTAAACCGCAGAAAGCACCGCCCCTGCTCAGTAATAATTCATGTTTTTCTGGGTCAGAGAAGAAAAGACTTTCTTCTTTCTGTCTTATTCCATGATATATCCAGAAGAAGAAGAAACAGTGGCTCCAAGTCAGCCAAATAAAGTCATTGATAATAATGAAATCACTTCCATGTGGACCAATTAGTCTCCATCTAAGTCAAAGTGACCCTTCCTGCACACCAACGCTCACAACCTCCCATCTCCACTGCTGCCCACTCCTGGCTGTCTTGCAGCATGTTCACTGCCTTCATCCATTCAATAAAGAAGGCTGTAATGGGCGGTGGGTCTGGGACATTTGTCCCAGCCGTGACAGCTGCCCTGGTTAACAGCACTGCTTGCCGCAGGGTGGTCTGATGAGGAGCGTTGAGGTGCCAAGGTGCGATAACAAAGACTGTCTGGGTACAGTTCAACAAATACATGCTTTTGAAGGCCAAATCGGATTCCGGGACAGGCATTCTTGCACAGAGGCTGTTTAGAGTGCTAGTAATCTTCAGTATATTACAATTTCAACATTTTCTAACCAAAAATGTCCAAGCAATGTCCTATCTATTTAATGGTAGTAGAAACTCTGAAATTAAAACATTTCCCTGCATGTTTGCTGTAGCTGTAGACTAGCAGGAAATATCATGTCAGACAATATCTATTTTTAGCAAAACATCAATATCAACAAACCTATATATAAATTTAATTTGAGTTTTAGTCTAGGTTGTTGGGGAATGACAAGTAGAGAAGGAAGGAAGAGTGCATGGATGGGGGAAATCAGAAATTGAGATATGGAAAAAAGAAAAAAAGAAAGTGTTGGAAATTGAGTGTCATTTATGAGAGGTGCAGTGAACAAAAGAGAAAGAAAGAGAGAGAGAGAGAGACAGAGAGAGAGAGAGAGAGTGAGAGAGAGAGGGAGGGAAAGAACAGAACAGTCAGAGAGGGTTGGGAGGAAGACTTAAAGAGACAGACAAGCACAGAAAAACAGAAGGACAGATGAGAGGATAAAAGAAAAGCGAGGAGGGGCTGGCATGGATGATTAATTTCAGAAAGTGCCTGAAGCTGTGGTCTACCCACCCCAGTCGCTGCTTTGTAGCAGATTTGCCGTGTGTGTGCCCCTCCACCCCCCCGGTCCTATTTGTGTAATTCAATTAGTGTGCTCCAGCGGGCCTTGATTGATTTGTTTAGGCGATCAACAAAATGGCTGGCCAAGTCTCCCTCTTTCTTTCCCCTCCCCTCCTGCTCCTTCCGCAGCCCACTCAGGCATGCCGGTGGCACACTGTTCTTTTCATCATTTTATCTCTTGTTTTCAGCTCATGTCTCTCATTTGTCCCTCATTTCTCATCTCCTCTCCTGTCGTTCTCCCTCCATCCTCTCGTCCCAATGCCGCTCACTAAAGCTCTACTACAGTGTAATTAAAAGCACCTCGCTGTATAAGTGGATACACACTCATAATAATAGCCTTTCCAGTACATGAACTGAACGCACTGAAGTGCACAAAAGAGTGCAGGATACAATACCTCTAGTGTTTCAGCACACCTACTATTATGATTCAGGAGGACTTGTTGTAAAAAGCATCTTTGCTATTACATTATTACTTCACTAAAATTACGTAGCTGTTTAGGGATGCATTGTGCTATTGAGAATGGTAGTCAGGCCACATCTGTCCTTGCTGAAAAAGTAAAAAAAAAAAACAAAAAAAAAAAACAGCAGCAAGCAAACTGGAAGTAATACATTTCACACTGTGCGAAACATGTTATCAATATCCAAAACCCAGTAGAATCGCACCGCACTTGCTGGTGCTTTTCCAAGTTTTGAAAACACTGTTTCAAAAAATACAATTCTCCAGTTGCCGTTGTATTGTGGAACATCAGTTCCAACACCTTTTGCTACCACAGAGGGCGACACAATGTGGGAGTGTACGGATTTCAGTTGAGAACCCGCGGTTCTCATAATCCCACCAACTAAGAAGAGAGCTAGTGTGACCAGTGTGTGTGTAAGCCTGGACTTATAGTTATTTCTCTGTGTCTCTCCCTCTGTCCGCATCCTGGCTGTCACTCGCGCACACTCTGTCACCACCCCAAGGTCATTACACTGTGATCGCACCAGCATGGGGCCCCACGTGTGATGCCATTGTTGTCAGCGCCCATCTGGTGGCTTGTAACGCTCCCATGAAATCAGTAATGAAGCAGGTAGGGAGTCGAGCTACCTTTATACCTATCGCTTACCTCTAGGCCAACACCTGGGTGGCTTTGTATGGAAGCAAAATGAATGCAGATTTTACATTTTGAGAAGCCGTCTCTTACAAGGAGTGATGTACAATGACTCAGCAGAAGGACAACGATGTCTTCCCTAAGGCTTCAAAGAAAAGAAAAAAAAAGACGCTCTATTATGTAAAGTGGAAGAGTCAGCTTAAAGTAGATGAAAGTTTGCATTAGGGTGATCATGAACCTATGCATACAAACTATTTGTTTCCTCCTCAGACACCTTGATCTCAATTACATTTTGCACGCCTCTCCAGCTATGCAATTCCTTTTTCACTCTTCATAAGCGCCATACACTCCTGATAGCGACTCAGTGTTGGCATGTGCTAAAGTGGTCGGGAGAAATCGCCTTTTTCAGGCCGCTTATCTCATTATGCAAATGCAAAGTTCATAAGTCACGCCTGCTTTTGTTCACCGGAATATGATTTATGAGACGTTCTTATTCAAAGAAAGGAGATGTGGGGAGGGCTGGATTTGGCTATCTTAGTCATGAGTGAGGGCGTTAAAGGAATGAAGTTTAGTCTAAAAAACGTAAGATGTTCATGAATATGCTTGACAACATGCTACTGTTTAGAGATTTGCGAATGGTTGAGGATGGAGAACGGTAACATTACTGTAGGGGCTCTATTGTCAAAAGGGTTCACCTCCTTTGCTGTATCAAACTGTGATTGTGAAAATGAAAAGCATTTATTCCATCCCCTTGAATATGGGGAAATACATGACAAACTGAGATATTCACTTACCTGCTCAGCCTGTTGAATAAAAACATTTTTTGCAACAAACACACAGAATCTTACTGAATCAACTGGAAGAGAACACTTCAGCAACAAAGCCGGGTGGATAATTACAAGTGAAAGTTAAATTGTCTGGGGAAATGAAAAAAAAAAAAAAGAAAAGAAATCAGGCGAGAGGAAGAATTATTTTAACAAAGCTTTTCTATAATTCATCAGAGTCACACTCCTTTACCACTGTCATTCCTGTCCCACCTTGATATCCTCCTGTTTATCCTCTGACATTATAAAAGCTGGTTATGCAGCGGTAATAGGATGTGCAATGTTGCTGTTTTGAAAAAGCGGCCTTACTTAGGCAACGTGGCTATCGCTGTGGTGATGCACGGAGGGATGAGGAGGATATCAAAGCAGAGAAGGAGAGGGAAGAAAGGGGGATGCTAAGATTGTATTGAACAGTATTGAATGGCCTGGCCTCATCAACAAATAAGGTCACCGCCACCTACCCCCATCGTCCCATCACCAATCGCCCACCCTTCAGCCCCATGTCCATGTCCAAACAAACTTAAATGTCAGAGGCACAAAGCAAACAAACTTTCCTCCCTCCCTCCATTTCAACCTTCTCAAACCGACCGTATCATAACCAATCGACAACAAAGCTTGAATTGCTCAGTGGTTTTTCTGACACTGATGATGTGGAGGAGATTGCAGGAAGGCACAAACACTGAACGCCCACAGGGGTGGAAGAACTGCACATTAATGATGACATGGGGCATGGGGGTGTGAAACACATATGTTCACGCGTACAGAGAGCACAGAACAGAAACACGGATGAAATATAAACGTTAGTAGAAATGAAAGAGGTTTGTCTTTTTTTCTTTTTAAAGAGGAAAAGCCCACTTGATATTCCCCAGATTTAGTCAGTTGGGTGGAGTTAGGAGCGGTTATGTCTGGTTATGTGTCAGTTAAAGTCTTGTTTTTTTTTTTTGTTTTTTTTTTCCCCCTTCTTTGCTGTGATGGTTAAACGTCTTACCTCGAATCGGGGTACCCTCTGGAGGAGACACAAAAATGAAGACACAACATCAGTTTAGTTCAAGGTTAATGTTAGTAATAGTTAGAGGAGTTATTTGGGTTGGAACCTGGATCAATTGAATTAAATTATCAAACCATTTGTAATCTCTTAGGAATTTTTTCATTAAGAAAACCAAAAACAAAATAAAAAAAAAAAACTACAAAAACAAAACGAACAAAAAAAACAAAAACAAACAATACCTCTCATTGCTGGTATCACAAAGGAATGGGGAGGTTTGTATGGCCGGCACACTCCATTGCCCTATCGTTCTCTTTTTTTTCCCCACTTGCCTTAGACTTATTAAGAGAGGAAACAAAATGCTTCATCCGCAGGGCTGAAGAAGCTCGAGGTGTTCATGTGAGTTTTTATCTGGGCTGCAACCTGGGATGATAAGGCTGAGCGTGAGAGGTCTGACCTTAAGTTGACATGGATTGCTCCAGTGGCGTAAGCCCTTTCCCGGCCAATTGACCTTGAATAAGAAGTCAGTTAAACAGCTAGTGTGTCACTATTGTCCACCGGGTATCTGCATTAGTCTGGAACAAACTTGCTGAGGGAGGAATGGCGTCTCCACTGAACTAGAATTTCGGGATGTACCTTCAGGCAGCCGCAAGTCAAACCAAGCAGACTGAAGTTCTTATTTATCCTGCGAGTCGTAAACCTGCTTAACTGTAACAGATAGACTCTTCACCTCAAGCTTCATCCCTCCCCCCCCAGTCATTCAGTCTCCTGTTTCGTTCCGTTGTTTCATTTCACTGAGAGTTGTATGTTTCTCTATTCTTTGTTTATTGTGTATTGGGTTACATGCCTGACTGCAAGCCAAATGTCCCATTAGGACCAATAAAATATTGAGCTTATCCAGTAGGTGGCTGGTGGGCTTTTTAAATGTAGCCCACCAGCCACCTACATTGTAGTTGTTGCTGCAATGTAAAATGCATCCCTTATAGGCAGAGCTTAGGGTGTGGGTAGGGGTGCCAGCTTAACTTCAATCCCTTCTCTGCCAAGCATTAAACTGTCCTTCTGCTCTTGGCTTTTTTTTTTTTCCTCTCTCATTGTTTTCTAGCAGTTTCTCCAAACTCCTTTTACTTTTCTTACTTTATCTGTTCCAAAATTCCTCTCTCTAACTTTTAGATTTTTTTGTCTGTCTCAGTCTCTCCCATAGTTCCTCCCTCTTGCCTTTCTTAGTCTCCCTCTCGAAATCTAAGGATGACTCATGGCAGCAACATGCCCTTGGCCATCCCTCGAGAGTGCCAGCAGGGCGGCGCCAACCCAGGAGAGGTGCCCTACTTAGCATACACAGCCTGCAGGCACAGAGCTGCGGGTCAATGGTATGCACTTTCCATTGAGCCTAACATTACAGGCCCGGCCCCTGTGTGTTTGTGTGTGTGTGTGTGTGTGTGTGTGTGTGTGTGCGTGTGTGCATTCATGCAAGTTGCATACAACATATGCCAGCCCTCCTACCAAATAGCAGAACCAAAAAAAACAACAATACCTCTCCCAGTTAAAAAATGATATAAAATCAAGAGAACCCGCGTGTCCTTAAGATGTAAAGTGGTGGCAGCAAATTTCCACATTCTATGCGGCACATTAAGGAGTGTGGGTGGCGAGGTAGTGGGGATGAAATTCTCAATGTCTGCGAGTCCGATCGTTGTTGTAGCTCTGCATACAGAGACATCCTTTGTGATACCAGCAGGCAGGAGGCAATCACTGAGTTTGAAGTTCTGCCTGGTTTACAATGCACCTAGGTGGGTTTAATTTCCTTTTTTAGGGTTGCTGTGCAGTGTGTTGCACCGTGCTTTGATAGGCATTTCAACAAGTCAACAAGTTCGTGTTTATAAGTTTTAAGTGTAAATTTGTCGACATTAACCGTGCTGTACAATCCTGCTACAAATCTCAACATTATGTGATTAAACAGGAAATCGAAGTGTGTATAATTTTTGATGAAACATTTCAGAAAGATATCTAAAAATGTAATTTATTCTCGAGCATTTCTTACTTTGAAACTTTCTGTAGTCTATAGGCCAACCCTAAAATAATATCATCATTTGGTATCCATAAATAGTGTTCTGTATGCATCCATTTACCACAGTGATAGTTTACAGTCATTGAAAAACCAGGCAAAACAACAGTGACATTTTAATCATTACTGCAATGATTTTGGAGACCACATAATCATACGTAATCACAAGACAAAAGACAATAGGGCTCTGGGAAGGTTATGTTGTTATAGAGTTAGAGTTTGATTAGAGGCTGCAGGAAGCTGGTTTATTTTGCTTTAGCTGAGATGAATTTTAGTTGGGGGTTGAGAGGTTACCAGTTAAAGGTTAGGTGAGGTTAAGGTCAACATTAGGTTAAGGTTAGGGTAAGGTTAAGGTTAAGGTTAATAAAGCAGGTTTGTAAAGGGGAAGGCCACCACGCGGTCTTATAAAGTACTGAGTGACAAAAGAAAGACTGAAAAAGAGAGGAGAGTAATAAGGAGGATGAGGGGTAATAGATAGAGGCGGTTCAGTTAAAAAAAAAAGAAGAAAAACAAAATACAACGAAATGGGGGCCAAAGGTCATTGGAACTTCTAACTTTTAATAATAAAGCAGCATGAAGAGATAAAATTAAAACTATCTATCCAGGCAGGCTGGGTCCACAGCAGCCAGACTGTATTCAATTACAATTGCAAATCCACCTGTGTTTCAGACATGAAACCTCATGGCCATAAGCTCCCTTTCTAAGCTTTGGTCAGCCAGGGGTTGATCAGCTTAGGGTGACAATGACCTAAATATTCCTCAAACAGGCCGCAGACTTCCTCACATTATCAATGCAGCATTATCTGCTCCACAGAACATCCCAGCTGTTTTGTTAAACAACACTCTGAATATATTAAAAAATATTATTGAGGGATGTAGTCCGGCTACAGGCAATCTGGCCAGAGATGTTGCACATCTGCGTGCGAGGTGGACGGGGTCGCGTGATTGGCCGAGTGTCAAAGTCTGACCACCCTCCAGAGGGCGTCTGGCTGACCTTCTCATCACCACAGTCTCCCATCTGGGATCCTGGTGGGGTCGCAGCAGGTCTCAAGGAAAACTTGGCTGTTGTTACCACATCTGCAGAGGTCCTAGCCACTCCCTGCAGAGCAGCTTTGATGCCAACAAATGTGAGTGTTCGAGAGCAACTGAACTCAGCATGATTCCGACTTGGAATGTGCATAAATCTGTATGAGTAAGGGAGCTATCCAGTGTCAGGCCATGATTTTAAACATTTACATTAAAAAAGGACCTGGATCTCCATGGATATGCGCTCCTCGCCATCCTCTCGCTGTCTCTATGGCCTCTGGTTAATCTGTTCTGGCTGACAAGGCCAGCGAGGGCCTGGGGTCTGCAGCCACAGGGACTAGGGGAGAAATGTCAGGCTCCCTCCACACCTCTAGAGGAGCTCCTCAGGGGACCCGGACGCAAATATCACTGCCCCGCCAGCACAGCATGGTCTGGCACATAAGGAGGCAGTCAGCCAGCTAGTTAGTTATCTTGCACCCCACCCCTCCCCTCTATTTTACCACCTATCTATGGGAGGGTACCCATCAGTCTCACAGTTACCCCCTGAGGCTTAAGAGAGAGCCTGAAGCAAAAGAGCAAACAGGTAGCCCCCAGAAATTGTCAAAAGCAATCTGATCAACTGAGGAATTTGAAAAACTACCCATTGAAAGGCTGCCTCAAGAACCTCTGTTCTGTTTTTGGGGAGTGCATTTATCTTTGGGGGGGAAAAAAAAGAACAAATATTAAAACCTGGAGTCCCAAGATGGCTACTCGAAGCGCTGAGGACATGTGAAGATGGCAGCCTAGGGGGCTTGAGAGCGCAGGCCGCTTTCTCATCAGCATAAATCCTGCCTGGCTGCTGAATGAGCTTTCCAGCAGAAGGACTACAGAAAAAAAAAGGCAAGCCCCGAAAGCTTACATTACCTTATGAGAGTCTTGGTATTGAAACAAGGGAAAGTAATTTCCTTTTCTACCCTCCTATTTACACATATAGTTTGAACTGTAAGTAAAACATACCCAGCTTAAAGTGGCTGAGTATATTTTTGCAAGAAGTTCAAAAAGTCACAAGGCGTACAAAATGTGGCCAAATGTAACTATCAGTTGAGCCCTCGCCTTGTAGTACGGGCAATAGAGCCTGAGCTAGAGATCTGTAAGCCAGTGGGGATGTGGGCCAATTTAGTGAGAGAAGGAAATGTTCTCCTGAGAAAATATGAGGGTCGACCCAGCCAAGTGTGGGATTGGAGGGTTTAGCCATACAGTGGTCCTGCAGAGGCCCTCACCTGGAAAGAACTCAAGATTCTTTCAGACCCTATCAGAACTTGCGGCACTTTCCAAAGGTATTTTTGGACAGCGAGGCTGTTATTGTGAAAACTGAGGTTCAACAGTTAACATCTGAGTATTAAAAAAAAAAAAAAAAAAAAAGAAGACAGTCATGTAAATTGCTAGAACAAAGTGTTTGCTGTATATCTCACCAAGAACCCTAAAATACTGTAGGCTATGACTGCAGAGGGATAATTGTCTTGGATTCAAACAGAGTCCAATTATTTCCTCAAAGCCTTGCAACACAGCAGCAGAGAAAGAACTAGATGTGACAGGGGGCATCAGCAGTGTAAAGTCTGAATAAGATGGTCAGGGAAAAGTAAATAAGACAACAGCTTCTTCCAAGGTACTTAGAATCCCAAACAGTCCCGCAAACTTGCTAAAATAGTGCAGGAAAGGTGGTTGAACTGAGCAGTTCTTAAATCTTACAAGCAGCATTAATGTGGAGTAGGATGTTGCCTCAAAAGACCTGCTCAGCAAGTCTTCAGCATATAAATAAAAACTGCTGCTTAAAAGTGGACAATGATGCCTAAACACCTCCCTGCTACTTGTCCTTGAGTTGCCTTTCTGGTATAAGTTCCAGTGTGGTGGGAGGGGTGGGGGTGGGGGGGTTGGGGGAAGATGATAAAGTTGGCATAAGAAGGAGGATGGGCAAAACAAAAGTAAAAGTTTAGGATGAATAGAAACTGAATATAAATAACGTGACAAAGGAGGACGAGTGTAAGGGGAGAGCAGGGGATGCATGCATTTTGGAAAAAACTTTAAATATGCCATCTGCTTCAAGGAGAGTGGGTGGACTTGCTGGGCTTTGTAAGACACTTACCAAAGGTTTCTGAAAATGACAAAGCAAAAAAAAACAGAAAAAAAAGTAAAAGTAAATATAAAAAGGGGAAGAACAACATAGTTCATTTTAGGTTGAGGCTGAAAGTGACTGCCACCCTAGAATTAAAGGAACTGTAGTTTAGCTGGGTCTTGTGTCCCACCTCAGTATTTTAGCAGTTTTCATTACCATGAGATATCATAAGAGTAAAGAAGTCTCAAATGCTATATAATAGCTTCTCGCTTAACAACAAGTTCTACAAAAAAATTTAAAAATCTAATTAGAGGCTTTTTATTTTTGGAAAAATCATATTAACCCATTTTGGTGTCTGTAAAATATCCCAGATATGGTCTTGTTTGTCAGTTATATTTCATTTATTGGTTTATTTTGCTGTTATTTTGGTTTTAACTGGTGTTATGGGTCAACAGCCAAATGACACGTGTTGAAGACTCCACAATGTGCACTGAGACACATCGGAGTTTCAGACACAAATATAGACAAAAAACAGAGAGAGGGGGAGGGAGAGGGAGAGAGAGAGAGAGAGAGAGAGAGAGAGAGAGAGAGAGAGACACCACAAAACAGCAGTCTGTTTCAGTTGGACAGGACACACAGAGACAATTGAAGACATCATGAAACAGATAAAGACAGATGATGCAGAGGTTAGAAAACAGGCAGGAATTTGAATTGTCTTTGTTCATTATCAACAGAGGCTCAAAACTCACAATACCATGTTGACAATTAACTATATTTTTTACAGTTAACTGGATTTTAGGAGAAGAGCTGGCCCTCCACATGACTATAAATAACCGGAGAACACAAGCCTACCAGCTGTAGCCAAATGTAGCAGAAAGGGTCTGGTAGAATTGGGTTACAAATTATTTGATAAACACAAACACCAAAATCCCTTACATTTATTTACTGTTCTAAACATCTCAAATGTCTTTAATAGCCTTCATCATTCTTTTTGAATGTTTGAACATGATTAGGCTTAAATGGAAAAGTTATCTGTTGGAGCTGCATCATACCACAATACTATCCATATACTGCTATTGCCACCTACAACTAGATAACAGATATGTTATACCTGATATGTTATAGCTGATACCATGATTGTGTCTGTGAAGAGGCATCTCAGATGCTTATCTCCATGACATGATAAACTGATAACTGTAATGATACAGTATACTTGCCAATGTTATATTTCAGTTGCTGAATGTAAAATATCTTACATTTTCTCTTTGGCATGGTGTCAGACTACTTGATATTAGTATGAATACTCTTGTACCGTAAAATTGTATTGTGACATTATTATGAATCTGAATGCCTGTCATGTCTCAGGAGGTGCTGTGAATTTGAATACTTCAAGGTACCCTGTGGTTAATGCATATGAATGTAAACAACATTTGTTTGTTTACAAGAAAGAAACACACAGGGCACCTTTAAGGTTAACCTGCTAAATTACTTAGTTGAAGGCAGGCTGTGCAAGAAAATGACCAAAAAGGCAGAAAATATTAATGTTAACTTAAGAGTCCCTTGTGGAGGCTCAAACTTAAATCAAAAGCTGTGGCTAACAGCCTTCACCAAAGCACCTCGGGACAACCTGACATACCCAGAAGAGATTCCCGGGCCGCGACAAACCAAGAAACACAGTTCACGGTAAGTTGTACAACATCCTCCTGGAGAGAGCAAACAGTCGTGTATTTTAACAGAAGCTTTTGGTCTGAAAATTTAAAAGTCAAAAGGTGTACCTCAAAACTGGAGTGCATCAATAAATTAAAGATGAAACATATCTAAAATTAAAAGCGTCTTAGAGGAATGTGCACTTGTTGTGTTTGGTAAGGCATGAATAATGAGATGACAAATTGATTCTTTTGAGTGTACAGCTCATGAGGGCCACAACTGGGGCAGGAACTCAATGGCAACAGACTCTTTATTTAGTGGCGTCTACCCTGATTTACGTTTGCAGCAACAAATCAAATAGGAGTCATTGGATTTTTCAAATGGTGACAAATCATCGACCTAAAATATCTACCCCTTATTGCCCGGGGCCACTCCAGGGCCTGCACTTAATTAGCTATATAATTAGACTTTGCTTTACTAGGCCTCTCAGTGGGGTTTAATCAATGGGAACAAGACAACATATCCACCACTGAGTTGTGTCAGTAGAATGTGGACTTTGCGCTCATTGTCTACTATGACACGCTTCTGGGATGTTGTGAATCACTTGTCCTCATTCAGTAATGTCACAATGTCACACTCTTAAGCGTAATGTGTTGTTGTTTCAACATATCTTTTGGATGATGATCTATGGTTATAATGAGTCATAGATGAATGGTGTGATGCTTGACTTTATATTATCGTTTGCTTCTCACCTTGCAATTAACAAAGTGAAATTTTCTTTGCACTCATTTGACTTTTAAATGCTATATATGTAATTGTTTGGATTCACGTTGTCTCTGTACTATACTTTGGTTTATTTTCATGTTTTTAATTCAAGGCAAGGATTGCATGCTCCTTTATGGATTGAATGAATTCTTAGGTCTGTTGGTCTGATGCAACCCTATTCAGATCATCTAAATGTCATTAATCTAAAAGCAAACCATGATTTTCAGTTCCTAAAAAAAAAAGTTTACATTTGGACAAAGTTACAGACAGTGATGTGTTTATTACTAAACAATTGTATGTGTTCCCACACTGATGAAATGAATCTGCTGGAAGATTTAGAAAACGTTCTCAATCACATGACTAAACAACTTGGGAAAAGGAAAGACATTAATTGCAAAGCACAGAACCATTTGAGTTACTTTTAGAAATGTCCTGGAAAAGCAAACACATGCTGAAGTTAGCACGAAGGAAAAAGGCAGCAACATCATTTTTTTTTTTTTTAGCTTTTCTTACCTGAGCGTAGCTGTTTGATTCGCCCATTACTTGCACTGGGGTCAATGGGCAGGAAGTCTTTGTACCAGGTGATTTCTGGGTCAGGGTTGCCACTGGCGGCACAGAGCATGGTGGCTGTCCGAGTGCGCTCCACCACTTTCAACTGAGGGCCCATGTCAATGTTGGGGAAGCCTGGTGGGAGTAGGTCCTCTGTGAAAACAACAGGAAAACAGGACACATCAGTGCTTTGACTAGAAAAGCCAAAAAAATGTTGTTACTTTTAATCCTTATGCATAAATCCCCATTAAGAGACATAGCACAATAGTGATTTAAATGAAATAAGACACAACAAAGTATCTTTTTGACATCTTTCTGTAGATGTGGCCGTCATATTAAATATGTACATGTGACATGTCAGAACAATTGCTAACTGTGTGCTGTGTGATTTCCTCCTGAGTAGCAGGTGTGCTGCAGAAGAAATAAAATAACATCGTAGCAATAGAGTAAGATACCCCTGTAACTGCCTTTCTGAAATTAAATGGGGACTTGTTCATTCTACATATGAAATACGCAAAAACGGCTATTTCTAATTATAATATTAATTAGAACATCAACATAAAGGGAACATTTAATAGTGGCTTGTAAGAGTTAAATATGTAATAAATCTATGACAAAATTAATGTCACAAGGTAACTGGTTGCTCTAACGTAGTATGATGTGTAATGATGTGTGCATAAAATAATTTTCCATGAATTAGTACATGGGTTAATACATTGGGAAAGCACCCACATTACCATAAACCATGAAATCATACAATCTCATTCCAAAAAGTGTCAAATTAAAAAAAAACAAAAAAGGGCTGATCACTGAGCTATGAAATGTATCTGTATTTGACAATTTGCTTTATCACAGCAGGTTTTCTAACCCAATTTAACCTTGACCACTGAGACAAATGCACGTTGTGAATGAGATATATTATAATCAGCCATGTACAGTAGACAGATAAATGAATAGACCAATTGAGGAAATAAGGCTTGGATAAACATATAAACTGCATTTCATTAAGAATCTCGCTCTCCCATGAGCCTGCGATGAGGCATTGGAGAGGTTTAAGAACAAAGAGCAATGAAACCATGCAGGAAGCTCTCTTCCACTTCTTCTCTCTCAGATAATGAGATGACTTTCTAATGGCTAATGGCTTTTCTAATTGTTAGAAAAACCATCCCACAACCAGATGCTCACAGACTAGACTGCATTCTCAATATCGGCTCCCACACATTAAGAATCATGTGTCTTGTTTAAATGCCCTTATGGAGGACACCGTCTCCCCCTGCATGTATTTTGGTTATAACAAGTGGTAAATAAATGGCCTTAAATGAAAATAAACAGCAGCAGTGGAGGCGATGGAGTGAAAAGTAATACCAGGAAAAAAGACTCGTGAACCTGGTGTTTTCTCTGTCTAGTTTCTGCATGTTCAGTGACACTGAAATCAATCTGAGGTTACATAGAGCTCTGCAAAACCACAACTTGGTTCAGACGCACAATAACCCCTGCCAGGACAGGATTGAATTCAGATTTCTCTTTTGCATTAAAAGGTGCAAGACTTTTGCATAAGCCTCTGTGATTGTCATTATACTAATTCAAGAACCATGACACTAGCTAGTACTTGGATCCTTGCAACTAATAATCATGCATGATTGCACAGTCATTACACTGTTAAAAGATGACAGTGTGCTCTATGGTCATTGTTCTCCTTCTGCAGACTCCCTGCTCTCTTGGGGGCAATTAGTCCCATGGGTCAAACTGCCTGACCTCTACCCCGACTGGAGCCAGAATAGTGACTCAATCTCAGATGACGAGAGCCGAGGGGGAAGTACCTTGAGCTGTAATATGCATCAGAAGCTCAAGGCCACATCGCAACTCGGAGAAGATTGACTGACTAAGATGCTGGCCGGTGGCAAAAGAGAGGTCACTGTTCATCTGGAGAGCCAGTGACCTCATGTCCACTCTGCAGACATCACGGTGGTGTCATAGAGTGCCAGGGAACACTAAATTAAGGGAAATTAGGACAGTAAGTTGTTTTAGCTTCACTCTAAAAGCAGAGTTGGTCTTTCTGCCCGAGAGCTATTCCATATTACATTTTCCACTTGACACAAACAATGATGTGTTAAATGATTATTTCAGAATTTTCTATTTTTGGTTAGTCCAAGTTATGTCACACAGGGGGAAAAAAACAACCCAAAATGTCAGGAGGATGACTATTGTTGATGAATGTATTGCATTACTCTTTAGTCACCAGGAAAAATAAAGAAAACAAAACAGCAAACTTTGTGTTGTTTTATGCGCTTAGATTGTGTGGAGAAGAGAGGGGAAGTGAGGTCACATTTTGAAATATTGAATATTGAAAATAAAAGACAAACACGAGAACAGAAGGAAGAAGCAGAGGGTCTCTAAGTCCAGACAGGTTACCTATAACTAAGGCTGACATCAGCAGAGCATGATGAATATTTCAATGCCAGGTTCAAAGAAGTACAGGCATTTACACAGTTTTGGACTCCGTGCTGTATCCTCTCCATAGATTATTAATGATCACCCCTGTATAATCTCTTTATACCAATTTCCCCCGCAGCTCAGAAATGGCGAGCCCACACTTCACTTTAGAAACGTCAGGACAAGGCAGAGCAATATGTTCTCGCAAACTCCCTCTTCTGTGTGTCATCAATGATCTTTGTATAATGCCCTAAAAGGTGCTGCACTCTCGTAGCCCTCTGGCTAGCTCAGTCGGTCGGAGAAGGATATCTGCAAAGGGTAGGTCTGGCCCGCTCTCCGAGTGTTACATCTGATGTATTTGATGTTGCTGAGGCCTATCTGTGCGTCACATCACATCAGCTCCGCCTTCATGGTATGTAAACAGCAGACAGAGGCCTATACAGAGTACAGTAATGAAGCTGAAAACATACACGAAGTAAGTGGATTTGAGACTAATGAAATTAGGCAAGTGACAGAGGGAATCTGCCTGAAGGAGCAAGAGAGGCCAGGAAAAAGGTGGGTGAATAAACAAACCAACCAAAACAGCAGTAAACAAGAAGAAGGGATGGTGGATTCACAGAAAGATTATGCTATCATTACAGCTGCTCTGACCTGATACTGCACAGGCAGCCTATTCCTGAATAAATGGCATGTATGCTGGTTACTTACTTCCCTAGGAACAGAGTCTGATACCATCTTTCCCCCTGAAGCTTACAGGCTCTGTCGATAAAGGCGGCCATGCAAAAATAAATAGATCACTCATCGAGGGAGTGTTACTTCAGGGTTAGCCAGCCTGACTGTGAAGGGGAGAAGGCAACCAATGACACGGGCTGATAGTATCCTAGAATTGCCAAAGGGCCAGTCCCCCATAATGGCGTAGCAATTGCATTTCTATGATGTGTACTGGGGGTTCTCTGTGATGACAAATCTTCACAGGCCAAATAGAATTGACGCATGTGCACTCTTGGTCAATGACAACGCCGCTATTTATTTTGCCAAGAACAGCCTTTGTCACTTAAGCCAACAATCATCCTACTACAGAGCTATGAGACACATGCTACAGTTACATGCTGCATTGTGAGAATTTTCACTTTTGATCTTTTGTTTTTTGTTTCACACAAATTCATTTACATTTAATCACAGTGTAAACGCTAAAGCTAAAAATATGAACAAATAAACAAAAAAAAAAAAATCTATCTTCCAATTTTCAAGGATAAGCCTCACAATTAGGTAAACTGACATTTATTTCCTGTTTTAATACAGCAGTCATCATTGTTTGTCTTAACCATGGCCATTCTACAACCATAACTTTGTGTTTATTGCTGTAACAATGACGACATAGGTCCTCCATCCTTAAAAAAGTGCTTATTTTAACCCAAACCAAGACCTTTTCCTAAACTAAACCGAGAAGTTTGTGTATCTAAACCTAACCAAACTGTGACCGTTCCATAATGTGGTTGCTTTTGTAACCATGACGACGATGGCCTGGTTTGCCTGCCACCGTAGGGGTGCTATTTCAGGAGCCGCTTCAATGGATCGTATCAGAAGGTCGGGACAAATGGTGACCTATATGGTTGTTTGGGTTGAAGGACTTGTTGGCATATGCTGATGGCTGACATCAGCTCAGCCTGGTCCTCTCCACCGCTGTAGTGTAAAGCATTTAGGCAGCAATGACAAAGGCTTTAAAACCATGCTGTTGTTGAAAAAAACAAAAAAAAAATGTACCTGTTTTTCAACAATGGAGAATGCATTTTTTCTCACAAGATGATATTTCCATACTTTGGAAAATATTCAGTAGGATTGGCACAGGTTTCAGAGATCGCCACTTACTCAGTAAATAGTAGACTTTCAAGTCATGCAAGAGAAAGAATAGTAACCCAGAGTTACTGTGATGACAAACAGTCAAACATGTCCACATGCAACAGCTGGCTTGATCAGCATGACTCAAAAGCTCAGCCTCCTACAGGCATCTACAGTTATCTAAATTTTGATTTTGGTCATTCTCTTTTTTTTTTCTTTTTTTTTTTGGTTGGCTTGAGTGCCATCATTATCCATAATTGTCTTTAATTATGCTCCACCATTTAATATCATTACACAAGTGACAGGTGCAAAGCCTTTAATCAGCCTCTGGTCAGCTTAGCCATCGCCCGGCTGTTAATCTGCCGACTCATGTCTGCTGTTGCATTCTGCTTTCTATCATGCTAAGTGTGGCCCTCTTAAAAGGTCTGTCCTTTAGACTCATTTAACTCTCCTGCCTAATCCCATTTCCAGTGATTCACTCTTACAAAACCATGTCTTTTTCAGCTAATCTAACTCTGGTATAGTCATAACTGTACCAGAGTACAGCTACAGCTCTGTACAAACGGGCTTGGTGATCAAAACATAGCATTTGCTGGGCACTTTCATAAAAAGAACATACAGTATTTATACTGAATGAATGAGCTACATTAAATAAGTATAGCCTTGAAACTGCTATGGCTATGCTATACCCACTATATAGCAGCATATTTACATAGTATTCACCATATGTTGCACATACAGTGTAATACTGTGATATCAATTGTTTGTTGCAGAACCATGAATTGCATGCGCAACCTATGCTCTAGTCAAAGAGCACTTAACCCTCGTGATTGGCAGTTCTAATGCCTTTCTCTACCCACTGACCTACATCAAGAAGAAAA